TGCCGTGTCCGGTGACCTTCAGTGGGCCGTGTCCGGTGACCTGAGCCTGCCCCGCACAGCGCAGCGTCGTGGGCGTACCGTGAGGCGGCGTCTCGCCGACCACACGCTGAGTCGGTGGAATCGGGGTCGGCGAGGGGAGGAGCTCCACCGGCGGGGCTGACCACTCTGGGGAGGGCTCCACCGGCGGGGACTAACGACTCTGGGGAGGGCTCCACCGGCGGGAGCTGACGACTCTGGGGAGGACTCCACCGGCGGGGACTGACGATCTGGGGAGAGCTCCACTGGCGGGGACTGGTGACTCTGGGGAGGACTCTACCGGTGGAGATGATGGCTTTGGCACTCTTACCGGCAGGTCTGCGGCCACAGGTGGGCCAACCAGATTCTGAACAACAACCGCTACCCCAACGGCGTCTGCTACTGGACGGAAAGCGACGTGGCGGACTACGAAGCCAACAAGGTTCTGCCTTTGGTCCGCACCAGTAAGCAACACTGACGGGAACTGACTGGACATCCTGCCTCGCTGTGCTCCGATCATGGCAAAGCAAGATGCGCTGATGATTCAGTCTCAACAATCCGGTCCCTTGACTCATATCGTGTGTCACCATCCTTAAAAGCTTGTGTGTCGGATGGTACACCCGTTTCCCCAGATACCCCCTTTATGAGTGTGACTAAGCATCCGGCCTGGTTCTCTGGATACTTGTGAGCGATATCACCGCGTGCTGTGAGCAGTTACGATCGACCGACCACTCCGCGTGTGCCGCCGACTTTGCCCCGCCTTTCGCATGCTCCTGTCGGCGTGTCCCGCCAGCGCCGCCCTTTTCCACGGCCGCCTGGCGTGTTTGCGCAGCACCGCTGAGATCATATGCCTACCTTCCTCACCGCGCTCGTGGCCGCTGGGCCGCAAACACCCGCATCCCATGCCATGCTTCCGCCGGCCAGCATGTTTGCGCTCGCGCGCCGCCGCCGCCGCCGTGGCTTATCGTCTGCGCCAGCGACATCGGCAGCCATGCGCCAGTGTTGAGCCGGCCTGGAGCGACCCTGTGCTGACCTCACCGCGGAAACCCCGATGACGGTCGCGGCGCGAACGCGCTGCGTCAGCCGGTGCGGCGGCGGCGGCGGCTTGTCCCTGCGCCTGTACTGCGTGCGGAGCGGGCGGTGACGGACCGTCGTGTTTGCTGGGTGGCCTCCACGGACGTGTCAGGTACAGCTGTCTGTCCCGCTTGGCAGATCGGCAGATACTACCGGAGAAGGGCAAGGAGAGCTTCCTGTACGCGTACGGCCAAGCCGGGATATCCGTCCATTCACAAAGGTATTCTTGACGCGCTCTGATGTGACGCTGGTGGCTTCTCTCTGTTCTCCGTCATAAGTCAACTGACGCTACCACTAAAGAGTTTTGTATGAGCGGTGCAGCTGCATCCGCTCCAGTTGCCATTGAAACTAGCCGGTGTTACATTGAAGGCTGCCCGCTCTTGGAGCTGCACCATACCAACTATTACGACATGAATCACCCATGGCCAGGGTCACGCACCATCCGTTTATTTGGGCGCATCGTGGCCCCACAGAACACAAACACTTAACATGACCACGATTGTTGCAGTCTTCTGTTAAGACTCTTCCTTTATTGGTTGCTGCCATATCTCAGGCCATACAACCAGGCTCCCGACTCCCGCAGACGACCTCAGTTGAGATCGACGAGATTGAAAGCCACGCGCCGATATTCAGTACTCGACCACAACCACACAACGTTCATTACAACCACAAAGCACACAAGGCTCTCATTACAGCAATCCTGTTTCTCCCCTCGCGCGGCCGCCGGGCAATGGGATCCACTGCCTGATTCCACTCGCTCAGGCAGTGCCTTTGCCTGGTCAGCCAGCCGCCAGCTGACCACGGCATCCGCCGTCAGCCAGCCCGCGGTGGCACGCGGGGCGGCTCGTGCTCACGGAGCGCCCGGTGCCGTTACAGAACGGCTCCGAGATGCTGATCGGCGCCCCCGGCATCTACAACTGGAAGGGTTCAGTGGTCCGCGTGTCGGGAGTCATCGACGCCGACTTCGGCCCCGATCAGCAGCGGCGCCGGCGTCGGCGCCGGCAGCTCGACCCCTCACTCGAGCTCAGCGAGTTCCACGTGCCCAACCCCTACCATATCAACACCGTCAACGAGAACGACTACTTCGGTGAGATCCGCGAGCACCGCTGGTCGTTCAGACCTAGTCTTCCCATGCTGCCGTCCGTTCCCTGGCAATACAAGACGAGTACATATACCTAGCTGCCTACCGTATTGTACATGCGTCCATTTACAGTGCATCATGCTCTAGCGTAGCATGAGCCGGTCATAGCTTGTACTTGCACCATGCGCTGAGCCCTTGACCATCGGCTGGCGTCCTCGACAGGGTACTCGGTGAGCTCTGGTGAGTTTCTCGGGGACGGGCAGACGTATTACGTCGCTGGAGCGCCACGCGCCCGCCTACGGCAAAGGAAAGGTACGACGTTGACGGTACGCTGCACCGGTGTGCATATCTACCTTCGTAGCTCTACGGCACCGGTGTGCATATCTTCCGTCGTAGCTCCACGTGTTCTTGGCCTGCGTAAGCCTTAGCCCATCTTTGTACGCCATCTTACCAGCCACAGTACATTTCTCCATATGATGATGTTTTGTGATCGATTTTATCACAACATCTGTAGCTATTGCGCCAAATGAATTAAAGTTTTAACCAAGTGATCCCCAGAAAACATAATAGGGAAACTAACATCTGGCAAACACCTACGTGCTGAGCTTCCTGCACTCTGATGCCACTCATTCTCCGCTTCGTGTTATTTTGACATGTTCTCGGCACACTCAGGCTTCGCTCTGCGGCGGAATATTCGGCAAAGGGTTGACGAGTGCGTGCTTTGCGTCACTCCTTGCCATACCATCGGAACAGCACGGAAATTTACGAGGCGCATATGAGCAAGCCACCCACGTGACCCCCTCCCCCGACCTCCGCCCGCTCCGCCAGGTCTTCGTCTTCGACTTCCCGCTGAACGACCTGGAGGGCATCAGCATCGTGCTGGAGCGGACGGGCGACCAGGTGGGAGAATACTTCGGCGGCGCCGTGCTCGGCCTGGACGTGTCCGGCGACGGGCGGCCGGAGCTGCTGGTGGGCGCGCCGTTGCACTCCACGAGCGCCGGGACGCGCGGCGCCGCACCGGCCGGCCTCGAGGAGGGCCGCGTCTGCGTGTACCCGAACCTGGGCCGCGGCCGGGTCGGCGAGCAGCCGCTCGTGCTGACCGGAGACCGGGCCAGCCGCGGCCGGTTCGGCTCGGCGCTGGCCAGCGTCGGTGACCTCGACCTGGACGGCTACAACGGTGAGCAGGCGAGGCGCTGTCTGGTTCGGGATGTTTGAGATCGTTTGGTGCAGTGTGGACGGAGAACGCATATCTGGGCCAGTGCGCGACGCAGACACCCGGGTGCAAATGGTGGACATCAGTGTTCATGCACACATGTCGGCGTTTATTTGTTCATTTGAACATGACGTATGGTGATTTCTGGGCACGTCACATAATGATGTGGCTAAATTGCAGTAGCATTAAGGTCGATCCTTTGTTAAGAGTGCCCATCGGTGCAGCTTTTATTAGCCTCATTATCATCTCTCAAGCTTACCATACACCATGGACATCCCGCATTTAGCGTGTACCGCTGCACAAGGACATCAGTTATTGTGGAAATTCTCAGTATTGCCACTGAAGCGACTGCTCAGTGCCCACAACACATGACAATTTAAAACAATTCCGCTCAGCAGCTTGCAGCAAGGCTACACAGAGCCTACTCGCTACTCGCCGTCCTTGTCTGCCCGCTTGCCGGCGCTACTGCCTTTGTTCGGTCGCACTTGTGCCTGGGGCTAAGGCACCGGTTTCGGGACTGAAAGATATGACTTCGTTTCCACATTGCGGAAAACTTTGGTCGCTTCTCCACCGAATCGTAGTGTTATTAGCGACCTCTGAAGTTAAGCTGGTCCACAAACAAATAATTGGTTGTGTGCCAGTGACTTGCTTGACTGCCCTGCGACCTCGGTCCTGTCGATTCCTTGACCTAGCCTTGTGTGCCAGTGGCTTGCTTGACTGCCCTGCGACCTCGGTCCTGCCGATTCCTTGACCTAGCCTTGTGTGCCAGTGGCTTGTTTGACTGCCCTGCGACCTCGGTCCTGCCGGTTCCTTGACCTAGCCTTGTGTGCCAGTGGCTTGCTTGACTGCCCTGCGACCTCGGTCCTGCCGATTCCTTGACCTAGCCTTGTGTGCCAGTGGCTTGCTTGACGGCCCCGCGACCTCGGTCCTGCCGGTTCCTTGACCTAGCCTTGTGTGCCAGTGGCTTGCTTGACGGCCCTGCGACCTCGGTCCTGCCGATTCCTTGACCTAGCCTTGTGTGCCAGTGGCTTGCTTGACGGCCCCGCGACCTCGGTCCTGCCGGTTCCTTGACCTAGCCTTGTGTGCCAGTGGCTTGCTTGACGGCCCTGCGACCTCGGTCCTGCCGGTTCCTTGACCTAGCCTTGTGTGCCAGTGGCTTGCTTGACGGCCCCGCGACCTCGGTCCTGCCGGTTCCTTGACCTAGCCTTGTGTGCCAGTGGCTTGCTTGACGGGCCCCGCGACCTCGGTCCTGCCGGTTCCTTGACCTAGCCTTGTGTGTCAGTGGCTTGCTTGACGGCCCTGCGACCCTCGGTCCTGCCGGTTCCTTGACCTAGCCTTGTGTGCCAGTGGCTTGCTTGACGGCCCCGCGACCTCGGTCCTGCCGATTCCTTGACCTAGCCTTGTGTGTCAGTGGCTTGCTTGACGGCCCTGCGACCTCGGTCCTGCCGGTTCCTTGACCTAGCCTTGTGTGCCAGTGGCTTGCTTGACGGCCCCGCGACCTCGGTTCTGCCGGTTCCTTGACCTAGCCTCCGCCTACAGACCTCGCGATCGGCGCGCCGTATGAGGAGGATCAGCGTGGCGCCATCTACATCTACCTGGGCGGCGCCAGCGGACTCAGCCCCACCTACAGCCAGAAGATCGTGGCCTCAGAGCTGAGCGGCGCGCTCCGAGGCTTTGGCGTCAGCATCTCTCACGGACTGGACGTGGATGACAACAGATACTCAGGTTAGTCTGGCGCCACCTAGTTACGCGGGAGACAATGCGCGCAAAGCATTTGTGGTGAGAATGAGTAAATGAATGCATAAGAGAGAATCAGTCCCCATGATTAATATGCTTCTCCTAATCGTTGCACAAGAGATTGCATGAACATGTCCATTCGTCTAATACATCATCGACATATATTTCATTCTATCTTTCATTCCTACGTGTCTGTCGTCACGCGACCACACGGGACGCCTGCAGTTACCTCCCAAGCGCGTGCGTGCTGACTCCCTTGATAATGCGACCGGACTTGTATTGCGAGGAATGCGCTAAAGCCGCACTACCAGCGCAGGCTGGGACAGGCTTCTCTGGCCGACCTGGTGGGGTCAGGGAGTCGAGCTCGCGTTCAGTGACCCCGAGCGGCGGCTCCGAGCCGTTAAACTGCCGCTGACCGCCGGCCCCCGGTCATCGCCAGACGTGGCGGTCGGCTCGTACCTGAGCGGCGAGGCGGTGCTGCTGCGCGCGCAGCCGGTGTTGCGCTTCCACGCTGACCTCCGGCCCAGCACCGACAAGCTGCAGCCCACCGACAAACAGTTCCAGGTCCGCGCCTGTCTCAAGTACTTCGGCCGCTACCTGCCCGACCGCATCAGTGAGTGACGCGATGGCCTGCTAGCCTTCTGCTGGTGCTGCCACTGTGTGCAGAAGGGGGGGGGGGGGCGCTTCTAACACGTTCTGACACTCATCGAAGTCCTTGATGGATGGTCGCACTCTCCCGCGTCAGCGCTCTGTTTATGGTTTTACTTGGAGCAAATGGGTTGTCGTGCTGCTGTAAATTCGCCCGTCCTACGAACTGGATGGATGGTCTAGGTCCGCTCTCCAATGCGTATGCGATCTGTCTGCAATTCTATTCGTAGCACAAGGACGATGTCTAATCATGCTGCGGTGTCTCGTTACATTAAGAAGCAATCTGACGACTTCCTGATTGCAGCCGCCCAGGTTCAGATGAAGATCGAGTCGCTGCACGTAGTGTGCGCCTTCGACCTGTCGGGCGGGTCACGCGATAACTTCACCTACACACGCTCGTTGACCTACGACGGCTACAGCTGCGACGACTTCACCGTACTGATAAAGGCAAGCCATTTGGCCAGCGACTGACGAATAACTGATACGCACGAGCGGGACTCTTCATCAACCTGCAATTAAAATGCGCCGTTAGTCTTCGAGTCGGGACACAAATGCCGGTTATTACCGTTGTTAAGGTGTGTCTGTTCTTTACGGCGGCGGAATTTCATTAAGCTGCGTCATGCTCTGGGAGTTACGTTCAGCCCGGGGAAAGATACGTATCAGACCGTGCTGCCCCGTGTGCTGCGCCTTTGCAAACCCCGCACGGGTGACCGACCCCTGCTTGAAGAGGCGCCTTGGGCAGACAGCAACAAATGCAATACGAATTGCTAATGGTCATGCACCGCAGAGCACGCGTGCAATGTTCAAGATGAAAGTGCTCGCCGAAGTGCTGTGGTGTGCCGTTCATTGCCTGTGTGTAAGGATGCAGCCGATATGCATATCTGCTAGAGCAGTTACACGCTTTGGCGTTGTTTCTAGTAAGCGTGCGATATACTATTTATGTTTTTATTTATCCAGGCACCCACGCGCCATGACGACTCACCGCACCCACTTGCAGTTGTGGATGCGGCGATTTCGTTGGCCGCGAGGTGTCTGCGCGAGGCTCGAGGAATGCTTTTGATGATGATGTGATGATGCTCTAGAGATCAAGTTTTTTTGTTCCTGCAGTAACCCGTCTTTACTTGTCCCGGGTTCGCCATGGTAAAAATGCTCCGACTTGCGCATGCATCGAAACCACCGAATCGAACGACTGTTGTGACCTTTGCAGTCGGAGATCCACGACTACACCCAGCCGATCCAGCTGAGCATGAGCTACAACCTGTCGTCGGACGACAGCGCCGTGGCCGGCCACACCCACCCGACGCAACCCGTTTTCATCACCACAGACGTGTCGAAGCGGGCCGAGCGGCGCGGCCGCCGACAGCGTGAGTTGACCCCGCCGGCCGGGGTCGGGGTGCACACCCAGTTAGTGTTGGCCAGGAGACCGACCACGGCACGGAGAGCTGGGGCAGCAGGTTGTCGGTCCGTTGGAACATAGGAGTGTGCTCTCTACCTGAGACTCTACCCCTAAAACGTATTTTTGTTTACAGCAAAGGCTAATGCCAAAAAAAACGTAAAAAGTGGCTTTTCCTAGAAAGTTTCCTCACCCGTTCTTCATAGATTCTCGCTTCTAGCTCCCTGTACTGCCAGCACGTTCTTCATCTTGGAATTTTTGCCTGCCTGCCGCCCGCCCGCAAACCGAGCCGCCTCTGTCCCAGTCTCGCCGTTCCTGGACGGGGACCTGACCGAGTTCTGCGCCACCTGCCCCGTGGTGAACGCGCGCGCCGCCGGCCAGACCCAGGTGACCGCCAGCGTGCCCTTCTCGATCGGCTGCGGCGCCGACGCCGTCTGCCAGTCGGACCTGTCCGTCAGCGCATCGGTGCCCGGCCTGAAGGACGGTCGGTTCGTCATCGGCGCCACGCCCACCATCGACCTGGACGTGGACGTGACGAACGTCGGCGAGCCGGCCTCGCTGCCCAGTGTGCAGGTCCGTATGGCGAGTGGGGCGGTGGGCCATCTCAGCTCTGGACACGCGTGTGAGACCATCTTGTGGAGGATCGTGTCAGATGTCGGTATTGTATGTGCGTTGCCAAGTGTCGGCCCATTCATCATTGTTGCATTTTCTTCCGTTGCGCCAAAGCAAGTAGCAGGGACGAAGCTGATGGGAAGTGGACTCTCGATATCATGTCCCAGAGAGACTTTTTCTGAAGCCTTGCAGCGCTACATAGTTAATAGTGGTTCATTAACGAGCTTAACGAGCTGTTCGGTGCTGTCTCCCGTGCAGCACCCCTCCCCTTGCTCAGCCCGGGCGCGCCCTTGCAGGTGACGCTGCCGCGGCCCATCCGGCTGGTGCGCGTGCCGCAGCTCTGCTCGGAGCGCGAGAAGGCTGACCACGTGCTGCTGACGTGCCACGTGCGGCCGCACCCGTTCCCGGCGGGCGCCGACGGCCGGCTGCGGCTGTCGCTGGACGTGGACGAGCTGGCGCCGGGCACTGAGAGCGTCACCGTCGGCCTCAACGCCAGCTCGTCCGGCGAGGAGGTCGCGCCTGACGACAACGTGTTCAACTTCACGCTCGGCCTGCGCACCGAGGCCGACATCGCCGTCACGGGGTGGGTTGCGGTCGCGGACCGACCACAGGCGCCTGGGCATTGTCCCGCGTGAAGGCGTGGGGTCAGGGGGAGGAAGCGGGTCGACGCGTCTGCGTGCTTTTCGTGGCCCGTGTGTGTCATGCAAGATCAACATTGAGCGTATGGCAATGCATGGAAATTGCTGGCTAAGACGAAACTGTAGCAGCCCGCACCTTTCGATGTGGTTATACGTTCCCGCTGGTGCGGATCATCGGGTTTGCTATGTTATCAGTATGTGAGACAAGGCTGACTGAGGCAAGACAGGGCTCAGTGTGGCTTGACCGAGTCCGTCTAGTCCAGTCAGGGGAGACTGGTAGTTGTCTGCCGCAGCTCTGATGGACATCTTGAATTTCTCCGTCCCGCCAATCCCAGCGTCTCACATCGACGTGAAACCAGCTCTCTGGGAGCTGTTTTCACCTCTGAATTGTTGTCCGAATCCTGTCACACGCTGACCAGGACGAACAGCTACTCATCGTCTACGATGTGAGCGCTCACCCTGTCCCTCCCCACCAACAGTCAGCCGATGGAGGAGCCGCCGCTCTACTACGACAAAAAAGAGGACCGCGACGAGTCGGAGCGCAACGACCCCAACTACGTCATCATCAGCCACCGGTACCAGGTGATCCGCTACCTGCCGTCGCCGGTGGACGCCGTCAACGTCAGCTTCCTGGTGCCGGTGAACGTGACGACAGCGGACGGCTCGCAGCTCCGCTTCCTCGACCTGTACCGGCCCAAGGCGACGCTGGACGGCCGCCAGCTGGCGTGCAGCATCGAGACCGGCTACTACCTGGCGTCGGTAAGCGCGACGACGGGGAGCCGACGCAGTGCGGGGTGGTGTGGGAGAAGGCTTGCGCGCCTCCGTAGGAAGGGGGCTCGTGTCAATAGGATGACTGGAGTGCTTTTACTCGTGTTAGGGGTCATTCAGCTCAGGCGTCTCACCATGCCTGCCCCGGTAAGGTTTTGTTGTCCTAGGAGATTGCAAGACGCATGGACCTGGTACAGTGCCTCCAAATGACGCCACCTGGCCTTTCGAGCGGTGCTGACTGAGTCGCGGTCACGTGTCACCTGGCCTTTCGAGCGGTGCTGACTGAGTCGCAGTCACGTGTCGGCTGGCGTCCATTGCAGTGCGTCGTGACGGCCTGCATTCAGTACGTGTCTGTTTTAACCTGAGTTAGTATGTGTGAACATGCCCGGGTCCATCACATACAGACACCACTGGCATGACCGCTCCATCGAGAACGCGCGTCTGACCGGCCCTCCGGCCGCAGGACGGCAGCAGCTACGTGGAGGCTCCGCGCACCTGGCGGCGGCGCTACCAGCTGACGGACGAGCAGCGCCACCTGCTGGCCGACACCGAGTACCACTACGAGGGCAACGTCACCACCGTGCTCAACTGCACGCAGCCGTTCGTCTCGTGCGTGCGGCTCGAGTGCCCGACGGTGGCCTTCCCCCGGCGGCAGACGAGCCTGGTGGTGACGCTCTCCATGCGGGTTAAGATCCACGAGCTCGGTGAGCGGAGCGCCGCACGCGCGGCGGCGACTTGGATGAACCCATGTGGAGGGGAGGGATGCCTGTCGCATGCTGCTCCCGTGGAAACCGACCGATTTCTGGATTTATGAATAGGCAATTCATCTTACGTGACATTGAGGATGAGCGTGGATCATTGAGGATGACGCTGAGGAATGAGTAGCGTGACAGTATAGCCTGTTCTGGCTTGCGGCTGCCTCGCGTCCGGTATACGGTGCCTCGCTGACTCATCATCTGCCCGAAACGCCGCAGCAGTCATAACAGCACGCCCCTAGACCGGAGTGCGGTCACAAAGCTAGTTTACTTTTCCTCACCTAATCCAGATGCAGGGGCGTTGTCTCCTAATTCAGTTGTAGAGGCGGGGGGGGGGGAGGGAGGGGTGGCTGGCTTCACCTCCTGAAGTTTGAGGAGGACGCTCTTCAAATCCAGAGAAAAAAACATGGTTTTTGCTCATTGAGGGGTAGGTATAACCACTTTTCCTGATCAGCTCTGCGACTTATTTTGCGAAAGAATAGCCCATGTCCAGATGCCGTGCCATACATCGGTGATCTGGGGAATCCTTGAACTCTTCCCCAGTAACACCCACCATGTGACCCGCTCCTCGAACCTTGCCGGGGCTCGCACAGACCAGCCCGTGACGGCCGCTGACCTGCCGGCAGAGCCGTACGTGGGCCCGCGCAACAGGTTGGTGATCTCGACGGTGGGCCTAGCGGACGTGGGCGCCGTGCCATACCAACTGCAGCCGGCCGACGACAGGCCCGACCTGCACCAGGTGCACACGGTGCTGCTTCCCTCCTCGCTGCAGCCGTTCCCCGTCTGGGTGATCGTGGTGGCCGTACTCGGCGCCCTTCTGCTGCTCGCCGCCATCACCTTCGGCCTCTATAAGGTCAGTGGCCGGCGGACGGCGGTGGTGGGGTGTCAGGAAAGGAGAAGTTCGTCAGCAGCGTGGGTGACGGGGATAGTTTAGATCCGGGGTGGTGGAAACCAGGGTATAAAGTTCCCTGTTCTGTTAAGCGAGGGGGGAGGGGCATTTCGAAAAGTTAGCCAAATTTGCAAACATCTCTGTTTTAGCGCATTGTGCGGGTCGGTTTTGTCATTTTTCCTTGTTCAGCCACCCAACTTATGTCGCGAAGCCCTTGTAGAAACCGTGCGAAATGCCCGCTGGAGCTGGGAGGTGTGTGGTGATGGGTGACAGAAAAGCTGGACGGTGAATGCACTTTTGACGAAACCATGCCATCTTACATCACAATTCAGTATTGTAGCGTGTCTCGCTGAAGCTTGCATCACTAGCGTGACAGCGAGTGCAGCACCATCCCTCCGGTGCGCCTGCCACGCGTCCTAACCCATTTCTGTTGCGGCCAGGCCGGGTTCTTCAAGCGACGACGACCGGAGGGCGTGTAGCGACGTGCGGCGCGACAGTGGTGCCCTCGCTCTGAAGGGCCGCCTCCTGCCTGATCTCGCAGCACGCGGCGCCGCCGGCCGCCGCGCCGGGCCCGCGCCCGGACTGTGCCATGGAGAGGCCGCGGCGCGGCGTGGCGCGCTTTCTAGTCAGGGACTGCAGCGGCGCGGGCCGCGGCCGGCCGACCGCGTGCGCCGGGAGCGACGGAGAGCGCAGATACAAGCTGTGAACCCGTCCGAGACGCGACGGCCGCCCCAATCCCGGTCTGCTCGCGGCGGCGTGACGTGACGTGACGTGACGTGACGTGACGTGACGTGACGCCCATAGAGCCATGTGATGAACGGTGCTACCAACACTGGTGCAACGCGGGCCATCTACTGGGGTGGTTGTCGGTGTGAAATGTGTCCCATGCGACTTTGGGAACTGTTAGATGTAGGCATTACTAATTTTATACGAATAGTGCCTATGCGATAAGTGTTGCCTACGGATGTTGGTCGTGCAAGGACGATAATAACATGGTGTGGATATGCTGACCAGTGAGTGAATCGCTTGAAGTTGGAATATATGGTTGACTGAATGTTAAGCCTAGTGTCTTTCTTCCTCAAAGTACACCTTGCGAATCAAGAAAGGCACCTAAAGTGTGCGCACGTGGAGGTCTTTGTAGTTAATGGGTGGCATCCGTACATTTGTACCATTCTGTCCTCTCAAGATATAATGACGTGACGTCACCAGACCCACAGTTTCAACAACAAAATCAAATCGGCTGTCTATGAGATCAGGGACGGTTGCGATTAGGCATGTGTTTTGATCCCAAAAGCGAATGCAGTATCCTATAGGATTCCATGGTGATGGATCCGGGGATCCTGAAATATTTTTGTTAGGGCGCTCCTGACACATGTCTGGCTGCAATATCATAAAATGGCTGCACATTCTAATCCCAATTCACTCCTCAGCTGCCCCCCCCCCCCCCCCCCCCCCCTCCCATAGCTCAGCCGACTGCAAGACTGGACGCCTGGCCACCGTGTGACATAGGATAGCCACTGGTTGAATATTCGAGTTCGGTCCAATCCAAATAGGCCTTCCAGAGTCAAATCCCGTGACCGATACTGACTGCAAATCGCTTAATTTGATCAGATTCGGTCTGGCTTAGCTAAAGCATGCTGACAAAGTCCGTGTTGGTCCAAGGTAAGATCTTTACTTTGGTGATCATAAATAGACAAATATGGAACATTTTTAGATGTTTTTATCAATGCGATGTTGGTAATCACAAAAAGAGCAAGCATGTCTGATGGATCTGATGGAACGAGGAACCCTTGCCGCATTGGTAAAAACACATTATAACGCTAGTACACCTGTCGCAAGATTCGGATTTGTGAGACCTCCTGTATACTGCTCTGACATCCATGTGCATACTCTGCCGCCATAACATGTGAACCACTAACCTAAAGACAGGAGTCAAACATCGCATGCCGGGGACCAAACCAAAGCCCGGGAACTTAGCTTGCATATGCCTCAATACCCGCCCACCCACACACAGACACCCACGCCCACACGCACACCCACACACGTTTGGATTTGGAGGATATCATTTTGGTGTCACGACATATATATATATATATATATATATATATATATACCTCTTAAACATATACGAGATATCTACGGATGTATACATGTATATATACGTGTATACATAGATCACAGAAATTGCCGCGTTGGTATTGGATGCTTTTCATCCGTTCCCATTTGCGAAAGCCCCTTCACCCTTGGCAGAAGCCTCAGCAAGGTATGGTGTGAAACGGAGACCGAACCTCGCCCACTTTAGTTCGGACCTGTGACAAATGGAGTGTCCGTCATGTCAATGACATGCGCAACGTAGAAAACATTTGCATTGACATTGACATTGATGACGTGAAAACTGAGGGCCACGACCAGCCCAGAAGGCCTCCTGACATTTGGAGTCTTGTCTCTGTCCCTGTTCTGCATATGTTCCCCTGGCTGACTCGGGTCCTTTGCCGACACACGATTGTTAGGAACTGTAGGCCTCTCATTTTTGCACATGCAAGGCCCACATTCTTTCAGGGGTCCTAACGGATGTAAATCACAGGTTCGACCTTGTTCCTCGTGGGAAATGGGCCCAGAACTCAGACCGACACGGAGCCGGCTGTTCGGTGCCGGTGGTATCTGACCGAAATGGGGGCCCAGATTGTCCAAGGACGCCCTCTAATCGGTGCAACATGCGTTCTGACTGACATTTGCGGGCCCTGGCCTGCGGGTCAGGGTCATTAATGACACCTACAGCCAACCCTTTGGGTCCTCCAATTGGCATTTAATAGGCGGTCGCGAAGGGCCACCCCCCTGCAAACTCCCTCAAACATGGTCAAGGGCCGACTCTGGGGTCCTTGCCAATGCACAACCCTTGTTAGGCACCGGGGGCCCCTGACCGACACCGAGGGCCCTTATTGATTGAGGAGTCCGACCAATGGCACACTCCCATTAAATTGAGTGTTCCACATTTGTGTGGATTTTGAACTAAAATAGCCATTGGGTGCATCCACATTCGGGAGACCGTGCGGTTTAGCTTACAGCACTACCCTTCTTAAGACCTGAAACCCTCTAGTTTCTGAGCAACGCGCATGCGAAGATGGCAGACTATTTCGCGGAGACTATTGCAAGGTAATCCAGGCATCCATGACACCAAAATGACGTCTTCCAAATCCTGCCATTCCATTAGCTATGCAGCCATCAAGGCCAATAAAAATACAACCGTCAAGTCGTTTATGTCTGACGTTCGTGAGCACGACTTCCAGATACAACGGCCGTCAATTGACCCTTGATCTATATTATGCAAGGATGACGTAATCAAGCAATGACGCATTGAAGAGCACATTCACCTAACAAACTATGCTGTCTAGAGCAGTCCCTTTGACATAAACGTGCACCAATAGATCTGATGCTTGCTTCAAGATCATAGAGTTCAATATTCACTGTCCTGTCCTCCGCGCTTCCTGTCCTCCATGCTTTTGGGCCTCTGTCATTTTTTTGCTTGCTGTTTCTGTTATCTTCCTCACAGCAGGTCTTCATTTTTTGTTGCAGTCTCTTAGCTTTCCCCTTCCTACGTGCTCTCCCGCAACTGTGTCTTGTACGATGAACTCGTTGAAATGACCGCTCATTTTCGCTTAAACGTTTATCCTTTTTTGCTGGCGTGCTTCCGGCACGGGAAGTATATCAGCAGGGCTGAACGTCATCGGTAGCACTACAGCAGCTGGGCGAGGTGGAGAAGCAGGTGCAGCAGTCGCCCAAGCGACCGCCGCTGACGAGGATGGCTTAACCATCCCAGCAGTGGACGCCCCCACTGTTGTTGGCTCCTCCACTGCCGTGGCCATTCAAGCGTCCCATGATGCTTCTGTCATCCCAGAAGCTGCAGAGGTCTCTACGTTTCTAGACGCGAAGACGTCCGCAGCTGCCGAGGTTACAATCTTGATCTGCTTTTTCCCGATTGCGGCCAGGAGCTTGCTTGATTTTGCACGCACAGTTGTTATTCTCGTTTCATTAATATTGTATAGTCTGTGCGGATCAACGATGCCATCACGTACCTGTTCCAGCAGATTGAAGAATTTGACAGCGATAGCCTTGATAAATCCACGGGCACGTGCCACAGACGTGGCTTCTGGCGCACGCAACGATAGGTTTTTTCTTGTTCCTCTTCATAAAGCTGCCCAACCAATCCTTCCCGGTCACGCCCGCTTTGACCGTGGGGTATGTCATTCTTTTCGGCATGCTGGTACGCCGAGCTGTGCACATTTGAGGGCGTTAGGCCGCAGAACATGCTCTCTAGAAGTAGCATGTGATCTTCTAAACCACTTTTTGCAATGGTGTACACACTTTTTTGGCTCCACATCCACTTGAGGGACACTTAACATAAAGGTGACGTTGAGCTGACGTCCTACGTACTCCGTGCAAAGCAGCTTCCTAAATCACGCTGCTCCCCCTTTGACGGATGTGACAGCCGCTTGTATCCCTTCCCCGCTCCATCCTCCTCGAGTCGTCTTTCTCTTGACCATGATGTGTGCATGCAGGGAAAAGCAAAGGGCTCGGTAAGGTGATGCGATGAGGATAAAATAATATTTACATTTTTGTATCTATATTCATATAAATATTCTTACATATGTATACACCAAATTTACACATTTTTCAGATATTTATGCTCATATCTAATATGCATCTGAACACTTTACAGCTTTGCGAGGGTGTGGCCTTGCCTAGTTTACATGGCTGATGAATTCGCATTTTGTCAGTCAGGTCGCGCGGCTTTTTTTGCAATTCACATTTCGATGGCTACTGCCCACTGTCGCGGTGGTACCACCGGGCGCGGCGGACGGGTTGCCGCGGTGACGGCGCCGCTTCGACCGGGCCGGCGGACGGTCAGCAGGGGTCAGACGGCGGGCGGCTCGCTCCAGCAGCGCGGCGGCGACGCTCATCCGACGGCGACCATCGGCCGCCGGCTGCCAGCGCGGTCACCAGCGAGCCGAGCGGACTGCGCCCGAAGGCGGACGGCGCCACTCACCATGCTGCCCCTGGTGCTGGCGCTGCTGCTTCAGGCGAGCTGGCTGACGGCTCTAGAAGGTAAGCAGGGGCGGGGACGGGGCCGCGGAAGGGTCGGACGCACTGCTCTCTGAGGCCAGCTAACGTGCGTGACGCGCTTCAGGACAGCGGGCTGGGACTAGCATTGAGCGACAGGCACATGAGGGCTGATGTCCGGAGAGGCAAAAAAATGTGGTGGGTTGTGCAGGAGTCGATAGTATTGGTATAACGTAGATCATTCAGCCCCACAACCGCCACTAAGTCCTCGATAAAAAGGGACAGTGGGAATGCTCCGAAATGAAATCGAACAGGATGCTCGGTTTTGCCCACACAACTAGAAGAAGCAGTACACCGCTATCAAGCATGACACTCGTGACTGTTAATCCATCTCCCACAAGCGCAGGGTGGATGACATCCACTTCATATGTAGAAATAGCAACACGCCTATCAAGATTTCACCATCCGGGTGATAAGCTCAATAAATGTTCCACGCTGTGATGCTGCCCTCCTGCAACGCACGCGACCAGGGCGTGCGATCTCCCGACGCTGTCATTCCCCGCCGGCAGCGCCGCTCGCCCAGGCACCGGTCGGCTCCAATCTGCCGCAGTACCCGTCCTTCCTCCGTCTGGCGGCGCGCATCCGGAGCGGCATGTTCAGCCGCTCCCCGACGCCGGAGCAGCTCGGCCTGCGCGTGCGGAACGGCTCGCTCTGGGTGCGCGGCACCTGGCACCAGCTGGACGGCGACGGGCGCGCCAACATCAGCGGCCAGCGCTTCCAGGTGGCCGGCCGCGCCGTCTCCGTGGACGGCGTGTGGTACTGGCCGAGTAACACCTCAACGGTGCCGCCGCGCCGCAAGCCGGCGCACGAGCCGCTGACGCCATACGACGGCCGCGGCGTCCGGCATACCAACCTGCAGGCCATGCTCGCCATCACCGTGCCGGCTGCCGCCAGTTAGTGCGTGTGCATGGCCGCCGCACGGGCCCTACGTCACGCGTGCATTGTACAATCACGCCACAAACCGCACGTCGCACGTGCACTGCACGCCCGACCACGTCACATGGTTTGTTGTTCACACGTCTCGCACGTCACATGGTGTGTTGTTCGCACGTCTCGCACGTCACATGTTCTCGACATGTTTCATTTTCCAGGGTGGGGTTCGGATGTGATCTCTTATGTCTACGTAATGCGCACTAAGAGGTCCTCGTCCGGGGTTTCTTAGAAAGCAAATGACCTCTTGTTTATTCGCTTGATTTGCGTTAAACACAAACGCGTTTCAGCTGTGAGTTGAACTGCATCGATTTGCTAAAATGTTGTTGTGCATTCCTTTGACACTCTTCCAAGGACACGTCATATGGTTTGCAAAGACACTTTCTAACGAACTTAAGTTGACCGGATTAAGACCAGGCTCCAATCATGATGCTGCTCATTGGAGTTTTAATCCTGTTCAGCCGTGTTTTGTGCTTCGCATGGTCACATTGTCCCCGTAGGCACTGTGGTGTTTTTGTCAGTCTGCGCGCGCTGCCGGCCGCCGTGGTGACGCACTCCGGTGACGCGCTCGCCGCCCCTGACAGCGCTGCTCGCGCTGCTCTGCTGCTGCCTGGGCTGCACGCACCGCCAGTGCTGGTGCTGCAACCTCTGCGACGGTCAGCTGCAGCGGCCCCAGATACGCAAGCTGTTTGGTGACGACCAGGAGGAGCCGCTAGTCACCTGAGGGACGGCGGACGAGGAGGACACCGCGCCGAGGACGCGTGGATGAGGAGCCGGGCAGGGGGTCACGGACGGCGATCAAGAGGGGGGGGGGGGGGAGGGCAGGAGACGACCGCGGCGACCAATGGCGAGCTGGCGACGACACGCGGGGACCAGCCGCTCTTGGTCCCGACAGACCACGCTCTTGGTCCCGACAGGACCAACGGCAGGTGGTCCGCACGCGGGGACCAGCCGCTCTTGGTCCCGACAGGACCAACTGCAGGTGGTCCACACGCGGGGACCACCCATACGTGATCAGCCACAGGCTAAGCGTAGACAATACGAAGGACAAAACGATGGGACAAAACGCGGCAGAGCGGAGGAACGGAACGATGAGGACCAGCAGAGGATCACACATGGAGAACTGCACATGACGAGACCGCTCACACGCTGCTCACGGACTAGACACGGGCGAGTGGAAGAGGACCAGCAGCCGTCGGTTTCAGCGGCTGAGTGCCAGCGGACCCAGCGGACGCGACGGCTTGATGCACTTCTAGGCAGTCCTTGACTAGCAAAGATGTTGGCCTGTTTGACGAGAATGTGACAATTATTTGGTTTGCACGTGGGGGCCTGGCTTCAATAGCGTCATGTCACTGAACGCTACGGTTTTGACGTTTTTGAAGCATGTACCTTGCCGGACGTGTCCGTGCAACTACCATATATATTGTGAAATACCCATTTGAGTCGCCACTAACCACTAATCTTCAAGTGTTTCATTACCCTCCTGGTCATGTTTCGCTCGTTCTTTGAGGACGGGTGCAATCCAATAGCCTAAGCATTTTGTCGTTCTGATTCAATAAGTTTGTTACGAGATTGTGCAGCAAAAGCACCGCCCGTCTCCAAAACATCGAGAATATTCCCCTCGCCGTTGCCTTTGGTGTGAATTTGCCACCCATGTTTCAATAAATAACCTTTAGATTGCGTTTCTCGATCGTTGGCCTCCTCAGTAGCTCCTGATCCGGTACCGGTATGAACAACATATCCCGATATGTGTAAGGACGTGTCTCTGACATGCGCTCAAAGTCCCAGAGGTTCCGAGTAATCCGAAAAAAGCTACGCTGGGCTAGTGTTCCATCGACCTAATCTAGCCAGTCCCGGAATGTTTTTCCGTTGCTATCAACCGACGGAGCTCAATCAGTGTCGCAGACGTCCAAACACATAGTGCATTCCAAAAGCCCACACTCAAAGTGTTTTTGCGACAAAATAATACCTCTGGTGAAAGAAAATAGCCTGAAATAAGTGCAGCTCGCCGCACCGCAAGCGGATCTGTTCGGCGTGTCCTGGCCAGCGAGCGCGATGGCGAAACGGCTTCGGCGCTACCAATAGTTACCTACTCTGTGGTTGGCCGATATTCCGCTCGCGCAATGACGACAAACAAAGCCAGATGGGCAGCTCCATGGCAGCTCCTAGGCAGGGAACATTTGCATTAGTCGTCACCGGTAAAACCAATGAGAGCAAGAGTTCTGTAAAAACAGAGTAGTTCTGTTGCACATTTTAGGGTGAATCACAACGGTATCAGATATGTCTGAGATGCGAGGAATTTTGGCCACGCACCATGATCGTCACGTGGAATCCAATGCCGTCCAAAGCATATAAGTCAAAAACAAGCGTTATTTGGCTTAGGTTTAATGAGTTCCAATGCTTCGAGGCTATTCATAAACAAGAGACAATAATAGATAGTAACTGCAACGATGACATCCCTACTCGCATGCAGAGACGACGGCGCAAACTTTCTACGACAGCAAGTAGATCTGGGCGCCTCCTGTCCTAACCTCTTTCTATCAATAAATTTGTCTTTGGATTTTGCCCACATTTTGGGAAGGACCCCCTACACACAATGCATACATGTACATATATATATATATATATATATATATATATATATATATATATATATATATATTGATGACAAACATCGCCCTGGTAGGACTCGCGGTCTACTGATCGGGCTTCCTCTTGGGATGGCAGGCTTACTGTCTTTCGTATGCCTTCTACGTTTCTGATGGGCCTTCTTTAACCGATCTAAGGCCTGCTGTCGACCGCCACGGTCTGAGATTGCCATGTGGGATTCCCTACGGTGTAAATAACAGCTCATGCGAGTATTGAACTGTCTCCTTTAAATGTGATGAAAGCTGTCTCGCTCATCGAGACCTCGTATCATATGGTGAACATGTTGGGTCCCTCTGAAATTCCGAGAGAAGATGCGTCCGGAAAATGGCAGAGAGGATGTTGCTCCATTGATCCCTGGTGACGTCGTCCCTTTCCATGTGCATATCGCACGCAAACTAGACACAAATACTCCAAAACGGACGAGATTATGACGATGTAAATTTGTGCTATATGTGCAATTTCAAATACTTCGCCGCCGATGTCAAAGTGCTGTGAGGTCAATGTCATAGTCGTTATCAGCGGGTGGATGAAAACAGAACAAGATAATCGGCGCTGGGTTGACTTATCTTGCGCCATTGAGCTGAGGCAATTGACGTCAACAACTTTGTTCTATATTTGAATAAACTGCCCCACCGTCGTATCCACGAGGTGCCGACGCACGGCTACGTTATTACATTGATTATTAAAACAGTAATTACCGCTGCGCCTCAGGCCGAGCTCGATAGGCCGGGTACACACCGGCTGGGCCGGCTCGAGCAGCACCACTCCCAGCCGGAGCTGCCCTGCTGTTACAGTGGGAGGGGCCACAGAGCGTGCAGCCAACAGCGGCCGCACGCTCCACGGTTCATCCCATTGCAACGAAGGCAAAACGTTTGGCCACGAAGCCTCTGCGAGCCAGACACCTGTCAACGCGTCCACCGGGCACTGCGCTGTATATTCCAAAATGGGTTCGATGCAATACATACAGCCACTCTAAAATACCTACAGTGAACGCCGGCTCTGCACACAAGCGTGGCGCTGGCTGCGCTCTTGACTCCGGTCAGCTGGCGCGGAGGTCCGACGACGACGCCGGCATACATAGCTGAGGCCATTAGCCCAGTCCGATCCGCATGCCAACGGACGCCTAATGACGGATATTATTGCACAACTCCAACAACCCTATCACCCTCCATTAGCATTGGACACCATCACACTACCACTAGCTTTACTTCCAGTTGACGCATACGTCAGCTTATTTTAGCAACAGCACCACGGTGCACTCAAGGCGTCACAAGTGACAATCGCACACGCCGAGCGCACTCCGACGAGGGTTGAAGAGCGGCAGCCGTTATGCCATCGACGCCACATACCAACACCGAATATCATCCCTGTGCTGAGCGACCCGGCACGTCGCTGCGCTGGCTGACCAATCCGTTGCATTGGGCCACATCACAGCTGTAATTCCACAGTCTGCTGCTCTGAGTCCTAACCTGTCCGGTCCGGCGAAGACAAGGGGAAGGGGCCTGTTGCATGCCTGATGGCGAGTCGGGTTTGATTCATCAGCTCCAGCTCGGCGGACTGCACCTTCCGTTCGGTGAATGAGTTGTTTACAGGCCCTCTAGCATGATGGCTGAGCCGCCGCCGCCGCCGTTGCAGATGGAGGCCACGCCCCGCTGGCCGGCCTTCAGCGAGTGCGCCAGGTGGGTGGTGATGCGGGCGCCGGACATCCTGCGGCGCCGGGTAGACCATCGCGTCACACACGGCACGCGCGTCCCAGCAGACCCCCAACGGCCAGGCGGCGCGGCCAACCGACGGCCGCTGACATACAGCCTAATGAACAGATCTGGGGAAGGTAAGGGGGGGGGGGGGTGACATAATCGGCACGTCACGTCAACCAGTGAAACGCCATTGATTCATCTTCCGCAGTCAAGCCGGGAAAGAGCAGGTTTCGCTTCAGAAACCAGAGGCACCACAGGCATTCTCCCGCCACAGACATCCGTTCATGAGCTACAACAGGGTATAACATTTAATGAAGTATGTGGGGCAGACGGCAGGACGCTGCAGGACGCGGAGAACCGAGGAACCCGGTGGTTTGACCGCGGTAAAGATGTGATTTAAGCCGAACCGTACCATATACAGCTCGAGACCATGGACACCTCCGGACGATAGCGCTGCATGCAAGGGACCCATTACAGTGTCTCATGTTACATGTTCATTGTAAACTTGCGGAGCTTCGACGCTCTAACTTGATACCAACAGAAGGGTAGCCCCATCATATTCAATGGGAGCATGGGGTAGAGCCGGGCTCGACGACCACGGATCCCCAAGCATACAAAGCTGGAGACGGTACCTATATAGTTTCGCTGTCTTCCGCGTTCTAGCTGGTTACCTTTTCTACTGTGCTTTGCGTAGTGTCCTGAAAGAACTGTGCTCGCACGGATGGACATGAAATAACCAATACGAACACGCGCACGATAAGCCCCACGGACGCGCTGAGCCGGCCTACTGTGGCAACGTCAGCAGTGTTCGGCTGACCACCTCACTGGCCTGACCAGCTCCCCATCGCAGCCGCCCGAGCTCTCCACGTGTCCGGACGTGACGAACGTGCCAGTCCTGTCAGACGCTCCGTGGCACTATCTGACCTGCTGGAACACGCACACTCTATTTGTGAGCACACCGGCGTGTCGCCACATCGCCACCGCTGTGCGCGGGGTCGGTCGCGTGCTCTTACTGCTCGGGGCTATTGCGTGGAGTGGTCGAGAACGCAGCAGGACAGTGATCCTTTTTATCGATTCACCATCGATTCGCGATCCCTGCTGTGCGATTTTAATGTGATTCACCTGACTATTTCTCGTCTTGAGATTCGCTTCACTAGCAATAGCAACTCAAAGTAAGTTCTGTTCGTTTGAATTCGCTATCGCAATTCAAGAGTCATTTCTGATCCAAATCATGTTGTGTGAAACAATTTATCCTTTATTCATTCTACGCTCAATAATTCCATGCTAATCTGCATCCCGTTTAATTGGCAGATCACTGATTCGCAGTGTTAAATCATTTCACGTCAGGTGAAAATACAACAGTCGCATTCTGCTGTTGCCAGCAGAACTGTCAGGTTGGTAAAATCATCCGACGAATCGACTAGCGTGGTTCCAGATTTCAACAATGATTTGCACTGATTTGAGGTTTTTTACCTTAGCTTCCAAGCTATCTAAATATTTTTGAGCACGTCGCCTTAGCGTTGACTCTGCGTCATTCAGACTGACATTTTCTCATCTCGACTCACTCTTTCGAAAATAATGCGATTGACGAATTGTTAATCGATTCATCTCTCATCTAACCCAGGTCCAGTGCCGGGTGCCTTGCGTCCAGGAGGGCCCCAGCGGCCGGCAGCCATGGCACTGGAGGCCGGAGCCACCCGACCAGTTCACATCTGTCTGCTGTGTACGTCGGCACCAGCGCCGGCGAAGTCCGATCGGTCGCCACACAGCAAGCACAGCATGGTCAACACGTATGACTGGAGTCAGAGCACCGATCAAAATACCACGCTGAGAAACAACCGTCGAGAAATTGGTGCGCTTTTAAAAAACAGCGACAACACAAACTATACGGGCCTGATGTGAAAGGACCACTTTCCTCGGAAGCCGGGTGTTTTGATCCACTTTGCCCTGAAGTTCAGAACGAAAACAGCGTTAATACGATTAGCTATCCTCCAGCGGGTTACCACCAGAGCGACGACCTTTCGAGATCGATGCGCTGACCATTTCTCAACTGCAGGCCACGGAGTAGAAGGAACATTAGCACATACGCCCTACGCCCAAAACACCAATTACAGACGGCCCACACACGCTAACAAGTTCATTGTCAGAGGTGCATAAACACTGAATATGCAGATTCAGCCTCCTGGCATCTTACATAGTAGATACCGTAGCAGACAATGTATAAGGCGTGATGCAACGTAACACATGCAGTGCAATATCGGCCAGAGTTGCGCCAGTTTCCAACAGCTCTTATACCTCACAGCCAGACCGTTCGTCACTGCACCACACTTACTAGGGTTCATGCTGAGTGCTGAATCTCCCCCCCCCCCCGCCCCTCTCCTCCCGCACGTCGTAAGCCGCAGTCATAGCCAGAACCCTGTATTCACACGTCATGTGTTCGTTAATTTGCCGTTCGATCAGGACGGCCGATCAAGCGTCATAGACAAAGTCTGCTAAAACTGCCAATTAGCACTTGGATGGCAGCATCCGCACACAGAAAATGTGCTCCGGACAGTGAGACCCCTCCTGTCCGGTGCCGTCGCCGGGGTGGAAGCTTATATCGGCCGCGCCGCAACCGATGACAGGTTAACAACCACTGCCGCGCCAGCATCACCGGTGCCGTACGGTGCTGTCAGCACGTCGTGGAACAGGCACGGAACAAACGGCATTCCATAAATCAGCCGAACACCTCGAAAAGATGTCACTTCGTTACATTTTAAATAACTAAGATCCTGCGAGACTTCTAAGCAGACGACGTTTTAAGTAAGATTAAATACTGTGAAATACTGCGGAATGTTTCCAGTTCATTACATTTTGCGGGAACTTTTATGGGCCCGTGATGGTGATTTGAAAGTCCATGGAACTTACTATTCTACGGGAGTGTCCCATTGTATGGTAAATTCCCCGTCAAAACAGAAACACAAAACCGACTGCCGTTGTCTCAGTCTTGCGGACCTGTGAGGGACCCTGACGCAAAGGATGCACCACAGCTCCTCTGAAATATCAATACAATGCTCTACTCTCAGGCTTAAAACCCATGCGTGACAGCTGTTGCGCTGTTGACCTCAGACCTGGTCGCCGGTCCTGACCGGGACGCTTGCCGCCGCCCGACCCGACGGTCACGGAATCTGGCCAGGCCACGCGAATTACGGCGAAGTTTATTACTCACGCGAATCAGATTGGCGGTATTATACGTGATTTAAATGGCAGTAATGTTTGAGCCAGACAGGGACTCCGCCTCCGCGGCTGCAGTGATTATGATAAATGCGTCGTTACAAGATCAACGAACGGTGGTAGTAGTTTGCCACTTCGACATGTTGCATGCCTTGAACCCGGTTCAAGTTCGCCTTACAGACGGGGCTGTCTGTTAGCTTACTAATGGGTGTCGGGCCATGCCAGTCGATTGTTGGGGCTTCGGCGCTTCGATTGCGCGGTCGTGTAAGGGTGTCGGGATCAGCAAGCTAAGGCCAATAGCAACTCAAGGTGTGGATGTGGCACCTTCATGACGAACATATACATTGAACGAGGATGGCCTCTTCAATACAGGGGAGGTAAACGGGGCGGATGCCTGTAGCCTCCTATTGGTGCAGCCCGGAACTGTCTATTAGCTACCGATCCTATCGGGTGTCCTGATGACCTGCTACTTAATTCGATCGGAGATCGCGTGTTCCCCATCGATGACCCCCTACTGACCCCGTCGGGTGTTCCACGCCGATGGCCTGTCACTGACCCGATCGGATGTTCCACACCGATGACCTGCTACTGACCCAATCGGGTGTTCCACACCGATGGCCTGCTACTGACCTGATACACCAATGACCCGCTACTGACCCGATCGGGTGTTCCACACCCGATCGGTGGCCTGCCACTGACCCGATCGGGTGTTCCACACTGATGACCCGCTACTGGCCCGATCGGGCGTCCCACATCGATGACCTGCTACTGCCCTCATCGGGAGTTCCACACCGATGAACCGCTACTGACCCGATCGGGTGTCCCACACCGATGACCCGCTACTGACGCGATCGGGTGTCCCACACCGATGACCCGCTACTGACGCGATCGGGCGTCTCGCACCGATGACATGCTACTAACCCGATAGGGTGTCCCACGCTGATGGCACCGCCGTGGATGTTGACCTTGGCCGGGTCCAGGTCCAGCATCTTGATGTTGGCAAGGATGACGACGGCGAACGCCTCGTTGATCTCGTACATGTCCACGTCGTCCTTATTCATACCCAGCTGGGCAAACAGCTGCGAGGGACACGGAGACAGTTCAAGCACCGCACAGCAAAGTTGCGAGCTGCGCAGGACCACGAGGAACGCATTTCGCAAGTCCCGTCGATCCCACGCCCGTCAGTGCAAGACACCGGCGGCCTGCTTCTCGCGGTACATGTCATGTCAATAGATGCTTCACGCCGCACTCAGTTACTGAGACTATATGACGCTGCATGCCACTCACCCACACAGGAAGGGCGAGGACCACGGGTAATCGAGCCCCGCACCTCTGGTTTCCCAGACGCGGAGCTTAACCGCTGCGCTACCGGAGGCCCATGGCACATGACCAACGGCCCCGGTGCGCCCCACCAGACCATAGAGCCGGCCGTCCCGCCGCTGAGCCGGCTGCCCCAGCGCTGAGCCGAACGCCTCACCGCTTGGTCGGCTGCCCTACCGCTGAGCCGGCTGCCCCGCCATTGAGCTAACTTCCCGCCGCCGAGCTGGCCGCCCCACCGCTGAGCCGGCTGCCTAAATATTGAGACGACTGCCCCACCGCTGAGCTGGCCGCCCCACCGCTGAGCCGGCTGCCCCGCCATTGAGCTAACTTCCCGCCGCCGAGCTGGCCGCCCCACTGCTGAGCCGACTGCCCAGATCTTGGGCCGATTGCCCCACCGCTGAGCCGGCTGCCCCGCCATTGAGCTAACTTCCCGCCGCCGAGCTGGCCGCCCCACCACCGAGCCGGCTGCCCAAATCTTTAGCCGATTGCCCCACCGCTGAGCTGGCCGCCACACCGCTGAGCCGGCTGCCCAAATCTTGAGCCGACTGCCCCACCGCTGAGCCGGCTGCCCGCCGCTGAGCGGCATCCCATCTCACCTTCTGCTTGGCCAGAGCTGGCGCGATCGGGAAGTCGATGGGGTCGCAGGCGGCGTCGGCGAAGCCCAGCACGCGAGCCAGCGGCCGGCAGCCGTGCTGCGCCGCCGCCGCCGCCGTCATCAGCACCAGAGCGGCGCCACCGTCGTTGAGCTTGGACGAGCTACCGGCCGTGATTGTGCCCTCTTTCTGCCGGAGGGCACGGGACGAGGTCAGACCGAGCGACCGGCCGAGACAGGCCTGGCCAGTGGTGAGCCCCGGGGGACGTGCGCCTTGGTCGGCCACCGCCGCGACCACTGCCGTGACCACTGCCCATCATCCAGATAATATGCTTGCCTAATAAGACGTAGTGACAGCGCACCTTTCTCACTGAAATGATAGTGGTGGTAGTTTGTGGCATTAAGTGTTGCCATCAAGAGTATCATATATACGTAATGACGCATATTTGCGACGGGCAAACACAATAGAATGCAATCAGGACACGGCACGGTACTGGCACCCATAGGAGAATGCGATCAGGACACGGTACTGGCACCCATCGGAGAATGCGATCAGAACACGGTACTGGCACCCATCGGAGAACGCAATCAGGCCACGGTACTGGCACCCATCGGAGAATGCGATCAGGACACGGTACTGGCACTCATCGGAGAATGCGATCAGGACACGGTACGGGCACCCATCGGAGAATGCGATCAGGACACGGTACTGGCACCCATCGGAGAACGCAATCAGGCCACGGTACTGGCACCCATCGGAGAATGCGATCAGGACACGGTACTGGCACTCATCGGAGAATGCGATCAGGACACGGTACTGGCACCCATCGGAGAACGCAATCAGGCCACGGTACTGGCACCCATCGGAGAACGCAATCAGGCCACGGTACTGGCACCCATCGGAGAATGCGATCAGGACACGGTACTGGCACCCATCGGAGAATGCCCTCAGGCGTGGCTCCCCACATTTATGATGCCTCAGCCTTTGAAACAGACGTACGCGCCACCTTCCCGGACCTCTCCCACAGAAGATAGGGCACGCACTCAGATCAGGCTGACCGGCCATCGCTCCGTGGTGGGACAGTGCCGGCGGTGACGCACGCCGGCGTCCCCACCCGCCCAGCTCAGGCCGACCGGCCATCGCTCTGTGGTGGGGCAGTGCCGGCGTCCCCACCCACCCAGCTCAGGCCGACCGGCTACCGCTCTGTGGTGGGGCAGTGCCGGCAGTGACGCACGCCGGCGACCCCACCCGCCCAGCTCAGGCCGACCGCCCGTCGCTCTGTGGTGGGACAGTGCCGGCGGGGGCGCACACCGGCGCCTCCACCTGGTCGGCTCACATCGAAGATAGTGCGTAGCTTGGTGAACTTGTCGAAATTGACGTTGCGGTACTCCTCGTCCTCGGCGAGCACGGTGTCCGGCTTGCCGCGGCCGCCGGGCACCGTGACCGGACACAGTTCGGCGCCCACCGCGCCCGACGAGAACGCCGCCGCCGTCCGACGGTAGCTCTCCATCGCTGGAGTGGAGGCGGCGCCGGTCAGCGCGTGGAGGGGGTCAATTAGCACGGTGCGTGTGCGGTCTATCAGTGACCGGCGAGAGGGCGCAGCCGTCACCGCATGGGTCCGGTGGACATGATTCTGTGGTGTCCGCCCCGCTAGTGACGGCTGCGAATTAGGCGTTTGAACCCGAGCAGATCTATCACTGCAAAGAAGAGGGTGGAGGCGGGCGGACCGCCCACAGGGTTTCCCTTCCCCACTCAAACGTTAAAGCTACAACAGAAAAAGGGTGTCTTATCTATCTAGTAGTCCTAAACACTTGCAAATCAACAACACGCGGAACGCGTGTCCCTATTCGACACCCAAGCAACGTTTCGGACACTGTAGTTCGAAAAGAATCCATAAAACAAACATCCGATCAGTGTTCAAGGCGCCGATTGAACCAATCTGCTCCTGTACACCGCGTGCCTCGAACGCAGTAACGCAACAACAGAACAATCAGCCACACCACCAGTCATGGCAGGGGACCAGGCGTGCGCGCCGCCACGGCGGGCCGGCCGCTGGTCCGGCCGCCGCCGCGACTGGCTGGCAGCCTCACGCACAGTACTCGTCCTGTTCGGCGCGGCTGATGCCGAGCTTGCGGGCCGTGTTCTCGCCGCAGTTGCCCATGTGGATCTTGTCGTAGACGTCCGTCAGGCCGTCAAACGCGATACCGTCCTGGGAACAGACCACAGGCGGCCGCTGACACTGGCCGTAGTCAGCCGGGGCCACTGGCACTTACAGCAGTCACTCAGGGGCCGCTGACACTGACCGCGGTCAACGGAGGCTGCACGGCCGCTGACACCGACCGTGGTCACCCGTGGACCGCTGGCACTGACCGCAGTCGCCCACGCGCCGCTGGCACTGACCGCATTCAACGGAGATTGCATGGCCGCTGACATTGACCGCGGTCACCCGGGGACAGTTGACACCGACCGTGGTCACCCGAGGGCCGCATACAGCAAGGGTTCAATAAGCGCGCTTCAGCATGGACGGGTGCGATGGAGATTGGGTGGCAAATTCATGAGTGCAAAACGTAGCGATCGTATAAGCATAGCGAATCTTAGTATTTCCAGTCGCAGACAATAAGAGCACAGAAAGTAATCCTTGAAATGTAACAGAACCGATATGGTGTTCCGATCCCCATCAATGATCAATTCATCAAATTGTATGTGACTCTCATCGTACCATTCGATCTACGTCTGGTCGATACAAAGAGTAGATACGCGCCCCGAAGCCGAGCTACAGCTGGCAGGCGCGGCCGGCGCCGCTGCCCGTTGTACGTGGTACCCCGGCCCGGCTCGTCGCCTCACCACCAGCTGGCAGGCGCGGCCGGCGCCGCTGCCCGTTGTACGTGGTACCCTGGCCCGGCTCGTCGCCTCACCACCAGCTGGTAGGCGTGGCCGGCGCCGCTGCCCGTTGTACGTGGTACCCCGGCCCGGCTCGTCGCCTCACCACCAGCTGGTAGGCGCGGCCGGCGCCGCTGCCCGTTGTACGTGGTACCCTGGCCCGGCTCGTCGCCTCACCACCAGCTGGTAGGCGTGGCCGGCGCCGCTGCCCGTTGTACGTGGTACCCCGGCCCGGCTCGTCGCCTCACCACCAGCTGGTAGGCGTGGCCGGCGCCGCTGCCCGTTGTACGTGGTACCCCGGCCCGGCTCGTCGCCTCACCACCAGCTGGCAGGCGCGGCCGGCGCCGCTGCCCGTTGTACGTGGTACCCCGGCCCGGCTCGTCGCCTCACCACCAGCTTGACGCCGCCGTAGGGCGTGGTGCCGCGCGGCAGGTAGAACGGCACGTTCGACATGGACTCCATGCCGCCGGCCACCATGACGTCGTTGGCGCCGGTCATCAGCGACTGGCAGGCGAGCATGACAGCCTTCATTCCCGAAGCGCACACCTTGTTGACGGTGGTGCAGGGCGTCGAGCGCGAGAGGCCTGAGGAGCGGACGAGCCATCAGCCGTCTGAGCCCAGTGGCAGCCGGGCTCAGCGCACGACCGTCGAATGAGCGACAATAGAGCTGAACACTGCCGAACGCAGCAGACGACCAAAGCAAAGCTATCAAAAGAAATTTGCGTCAAAAATACAAAATTGGTTGTCAAATGTTGTTGGGAGAATATAATCTGGTATAATGTCGCGATTAAAGAAACAAAAAAAAAAACAAAAAAAACAAGAGACTATGCATGGCAAAAACTTGGCCAGGGAAAAACATCGGAACAAAACTATAGAGTGTCAAATAATCAACATGACAAAATTTGTCATGTATGCAGATCGCACACCAAAACGTATCACGAAGTACAAGATCAAGTTAAAGTACCGAGTGATACAGGTGATTGATTCGAAAAATAGACAGTGATACATGAAACTAGATTCTCATAGCGAACATTGTAAACCGATGCCTAATGCAACATGCGTCGAACCTTAAGTAAGGTTATGTCAGGTGTGGTGGCGGTTTGGTGTTTTAATGACGCGTCGGCTCCCAAGTCATCTTGCGCCCACTCGAAAACAACCACCGCTGTCTGTACAGGCAGGCTATACATACATTTTCAACTTTTACTAGGCGGCTTCACTGGTGTACTTAACCTCGAGGCCGAGTTTAAATAATGGCGACGCCAACGTTGCCAAAAATGCGAGCATATTCGCGATTTCGCAACACGGTTCACCACCAATCAAAGGACGGAGGGACGCTAACGAAAAACACCAGCGCTTTTCCGCGTCCTAGCGTCGGCACGAGACAACGACATGCTCTACGGACAGCCGGTCCCCACATACGTCACCCTGAGGCATATCCTGGCGCATAATGTACACTGAGTGCATTGCATATGCATGACCCAACCAACAAAGTCCTACCTACACCCTACACACGACTAATGACTCACCATATGAAGTCCTACCTACAACCCAACCAACAGTCTACGAAGCGCGACTTCTTGGAGGCGGTCATTGGGGCGAGTAAACAACCAGTTAGCAAGCATGGGCTTCATCTTCCACAATGGGTGAAGATGCTGCTCAAATATGCTCTGCCACGCGTCGCAGACGTAAGTGTATATGACCGACTTGAAATCTCGCGCAGGCACATTGATTTAGATATTAAACATTTGTTAAGATTTATTTAAACATTGGATATTTGTTCAGATTCATTTACACAAGCGCTTAGACACATAGATGCAGGACATTCAATTGAACCCCCGCACTCACCCAGACAAGAAAAAGTCAATAATTCTAGCTGTGCTAGAGTTTAATTCCGATTCGATTCAGATTTTCAGCAGAGGCCTGAAATCTTATTCGGATATGGCTTCATGCCGCTTTAGCACCGATTCCGAATCGATTTCGCCCGAGCGGCAACAGGCACAAGTCTGAATCGATCATTGTGATGTTAATGCTGATTACTGTGATGTTTATGCTAAGGTGAATGGAGTTCAAAGTCACTCGTACATAAAGGTCTAAAAATTACTTTAAAAACCAAACACGGATTCTAAGACACAAAGGCCTTGAGAACGCCCACAAAAACGTAAGGCAAAAAGCACCTTTGACCGCAACTGTTTTAATACAATATGTGACGTAGCCCCCGTCGCCTCAACCGCCTTTAAGCGCCAAAAACAGCAACATATCCTATGCAAACGTGCTACGTGTTGGCAGCATGTCTGCCCGAATGCCGGCTCAATGTGTCCGCCACAGCAGGCGCAGTTACCGGCGAACAGCGCAGCCTGTCGTGCCGGCGCCTGACCGGTGTTGGCCGACAGCACATTGCCCATGAAGACCTCCTGCACAGCAGACGGGTCTATGCCAGCCCGCTCCACCGCCGCCTGGCGACAGAGATCACAGGCACGACTCGTCAGATTTGCCGCTGCGACCCGGCCAAACAAAAATGTAGAGCTGCCGCGACATCGCGGATTGGTGAAACGACAAGCGCCAAAATTGCCCTGAGTGCGTTAACAAAGCTACACCATCACAGCGTGCGTAACAGGCCCGCGCCCATCGGCAAACATCGTTGGCTGACCTTGACAGCGACGGAGCCCAGCTGGGTGGAAGAGAGCGGCGCCAGCGTGCCCAGGAAGCTGCCCATGGCGGTGCGGGCGGCGCTGCAGATGACCACCTCGTTCAAGCCGGACGCCGTGCTCAGGCTACGGCGCACCGCTGGCGCCACCTGGCCGCAGACAGCCACACCACAACTGGTGAATGGGTAAACAGACTTATAGGGCAGGCTTGTGTCCACAGGTTTGACAAGGCCTAGTGGTAGGGTGGTTTGTTTTCCATGAGGCTTTGTCCTGAACCCCCTCATGTTCGACAAATAGTATGTAAAATGAAGTGCGGATGTTCGTGAGAAATGCTGGAAATAACAGATTTTCAAGAAATGGTTACTATGTAGAATACATCAGCAGACCAGCAACATTAAGAAATCAAACAATGAGCAAGAAAAGCAGGATGGCATAATTCACATAAACATGGATAGCATATGACCATACTTCACTATGCTGATTGCTAAAATGCATTGCATATGTTTGTACTTTAGTGCATCTGAATGCTAAAACTGAGGTATTGGGTCGAAAACCTAACAAAAACATGTACAAAACTTTTCAGTTCTATACTATTTCTTCCCTTCTCACACAAAACTTTATACTGTGTGATTATGCATTACAGCTATTCCCTATTAAATTATCTGAGCTTCTGTTATTAGACAATTCAGTACACAAAGACAATGAAAAATGGTCTCCAACACATGTCAGCACTGAACACATATGCTATTCCAAGTCATTGCAAAATCAATATCACAAACAGCCCATACAACAAGCAATTGCAAAAAATGAAGAACAATTTTGAGGGCATGATATCATCCTCTGCAGCTTGGAATTACAATGCAAGTCCTTATATCACAAAAATATACTGGACATAAACACACATCTACTCATTGGGATATGTTGGCACAGTCAACAGCTGGCTGCATATAAGCATCAGCATAAGCAAATTTCTGGATGCACATCATAATGCCAAATAAACTGTGGCAGCAAACTACTAACTACTAACCTTCATCTTCATAATGTGGCTGTTTAACAAGCTTGGAAACATTGTGATGTGGTTATGCCTTCAGCAGCCTGAAACTGCAAAGCATAAGTCATACTTTGGATACCCTCCAAGCAGCAGCATTTAAGATAGACAACTTCCATATGAATCATCCTTTATTCACCATGCCTACATGGTATGGTACCTTCATGACATTATGGCATGTCACAAAATGTAAATATTAATGCTTGTGGAAAATGGCATATAAATGACACAATAACTAACACACAATCAACAAAAATGGCTATAGACAGGATGAAAATGGATAATTTTGGCAATACAATTAGGCCATGTGAGTGCTACAGATATATAAGCTGCTAAACCCTGATCACAAGGCATAAGGCCATAAAATATAGTATACTCATTCACCCCACTTTACCAGAATTCATCCAAAACAAAGCACCTTCATTAAAAAACATCATAAACCCTTCAGTAAAAATCATCAGTCTTGCCTTTGACTTGACAAGTGAACTAGGCAGGTCAGATACCTGTGTTCTGAATCAAAGGCCAACAAAGTAACACTGACAGATTGCACGCTAAGGCTGCCGGAGAGCCAGGATCCTGGTAGAATAACTTTATATTTATATTCTGTATGCATTACTGTATGAATCTTGGCACCCTGCAAATCCTTCATAAGATTGTATGGTAATCACTGCCAGTAGCGGAGGGCAGTACCAGCTGAGCAGAATGTTCTACAATTATCTTCAGCATTAAGAAGAAAATGGAATAATATTATGGTGTGTGTAGAATTATGAGCATAACTGGTCATGACCAGAATGCTTGCTAAACGTTACAGGTAACATCATATAAAAATCACATTGTGAACAGTAGAAGATACCATTATACCCAACCCAACCCAACCCAACCCAACCCAACCCAACCCAACCCAACCCAACTTAACCTAACCTAACCTAACCTAACCTAACCTAACCTAACCTAACCTAACCTAACCTAACCTAACCTAACCTAACCTAACCTAACCTAACCTAACCTCCCCACCCTATACCTCCTTCAACCCAGCATCCCATTGGCATCCACGTTCCATGCCATGTATAGTTGCCGTAAAGTGAGCTTTTATTTAGCTGCCGTGTTCTCATTTTGCGCGTTACATTCCCCACCCAATTCCCCTGCAACCCATCGTCCCGTTGGCGTTGAGGATCAATGGATTCTTGCTATCTTGGCCCCGTACATTTATAGGTGTCGCGGCTGCTGTGTGTGTGCAGTGCTTGGGAGGTCGCCATTGTAATTGCAAAAAATTTGAAGGTAAGAGCATGAATCTACCTGTTTTGTGATTATTTACTATATGTCCTGCCTCAAACACGACAAATGGTGTACAATGATTTTTTCTAACATCGGGTAGGAAAGTACACCCTGACCGAATTAAACATTCAAACAATGTGAAAAACCTGCAATCATATACTGCACAAAATTCAATTTTCTTTACAATATTAAATAACTACATGAAAAACATGTTAACAATTTGGGCTGTTCAGATGTTCTAAGCAGGTAGTCATCAAACATCTTCTCTGAATTATTGAAGGTAATTAATGGGCATAATGATTCTACAAAGTGCGGTAAAATTTGTACATGGACGGTCCGGGAAGTGGGTGGTGTTTTTGCAGGCCGACCGCCGGGCCTCGGACCGGCGTAGGACCCCCACTTCCCAACACGGTCGGAATCAAGTTAATCTGGTGTAAATCCATAAAATATGGGAAAAAGAATATATAAGGCATGTATGAGTGCTTTAAAGACCTTCATTTACCTCTATGTGGTACAGAATGACAGTAAATCGCGTTTAACCTCAGTTAACGAACCTACCAAGACCCGACACCCACGGCTTTATTCCGACAAAACTGGCGCACAACAGACCAGACCGACGCAAAAGTCTACGGTAGAGGGCAGGGTTTAAGGTCCTTTTAGGCTGCTGGCGATCTCAATCCTGCATATTAATAAATCGGCGTGACAATAAGTCAGCTTCAATCACTTTTTAACATTATTTCATTGGTGAGATTCTTAAATATGGGCTAACAAAATTGTAGAATAATATCCAAAAAAGTCTAGAGAAGTATGTTAATGTGGCAATTTTCATGGTTATGGCGCTTAGGGAACAGCCCCAGAGGCCCGGATATAAAAAGGCTTGGAAATAGGTATAGGCCGCGGGGGGGGGGGGGAGGGACGTTGTCTTGGCTCACTTGGAAAGGGGATTGGAGGCATGATGGAGCTAATGTTTCAAGAGATTGGCATCTGGCATCTGGCATCATTCATTGTCAATTGTTATCTGTCACCATTCATAACTGACCTTGCACCCGGTCCTCGACGCGACGCGCCGCTTGTCAGGGGTGGGCTGCATGCGTAAGCCATGAGGGACTGAGAGGCTCCCCTGTATGGGGCACTCCTACCGGGGCCCAGTGCACGCTCCGAGGGGTCCTTGTGCGGGTTAATGCTTGGCAGTTGTCCCCCCCCCCCCGCCCCCAGGGAAAATTAAATCAGGTGTTAAGGGCCCACGATAACAGCTTACAGTCCTCATCTGAGCAAACATGAGTGCCTGGCAGGTTAGCAAAAAGGGACCTGACAAGAGTGAAGGGTCCTCCACAGATGAGATAAAAAAGAATAAGCCCTAGATCACTGAAGAGGACCTCTGAGAATTGAGTGTATTGATGCATTAATGTATATGGGCCCCAGCAAGAGCACAGCACTCTACAGGCAGGAGGAAGGAACCCAAGACCCATGTGAGGGGCCCTGAGCAACCATGAGTACCCTGGCAGGTTAATATATGGTGTCCTAGCAAAAACATACAGAGCCTTTCAGGCGAATGGAAATTTTTTTTTGGATGGCCCGTGATCGATCAAGAGTGCCCCAAAGGTTAGCAGATGGTGCCCGGTGTCGGCGTAGGGCCTTCGAGAAGATGCAGAGGTGAAGGGTTGTAGACGGCGTCACCTGTAGGCGGCGGCACCTCCGTAGACGGCGCCATCACCGTAGGTGGCGTCATGGAAGTTGTAGGCGGCGCCACTGAAGATGCGCCTGCCGCCCTATCCGCTAGATGTCACCGTGCCCCATGCAGTATCAGGTTTCACTTGGAATTTGTCACTGAACTCCGCCAGCTGTACCTACAATCATTTCCTACCGTGTAAATTATTTCTTCACGCCGACAGAAATAATTTCAACTCGTAAAGACCTTTCATTTTGCATTTGGTGCCGCCTACATTCTGAATCCGCCACTGTAACCTAATGACGTGTCACCTCGTGCTGCGCAGGTCATCGTCAGAATTTGGGATGCCCATAGGGCAAGTGCCAAAAACTTTTCATAGTTTTTGAACTTTTGCATAGTATACGTCCGAACCTGCCAACTTTGACCTGGATCTGCATTTTCTGACATTTCCAAACCGTCGACCGGTCCAAATCCAACAATACTCAACCATGTCATTACTGCAGCCCGATTCTTCCAAGCACTTGACACGACACTTGAGCCACGGCTTTTACACGTATTCCAGGATGCTCAAGATGATAATGCAGTGTGTGTTAAACATTCTGAATCGTTTGAGTACCTTTTCCCGACTTCGTTCTATCCTAGCCGTCCGCCAGCGGATAAGGGGACGGGAAGCGTTGTTCTGGCCGTGCCGCCTAAATGACCAAAAATCTTTCAACGGTTTGGCCCCTCACCAAACCGATTTGGTGCCGCTGTTGTAAGGAAATAATGTTTGCGGGAAGTTCCAAAACCGGAAAACTCGGGCCTTCAGCACGAATTCGCTATCACTCAACTGTTCTGAATTTATCAGCCGAGCTGTAAGGGTAGCGTGCGTGTTCTGCGCATATAGTAACACATACTGTGAATATCATCGTGCCTAACATGACGGCATGGTTCAACTGGCATTGAACACACTGAAACAGCCAAAGCACGAGAGCGCAAAATGGACATCAGCTGCATGTGCCGAACCTCAAGGGTTTTGCAGTCCGTTAATCTCGACATATAATAAGTGTGATTAGATTAAATGTAATTGATTAATTAAAAGAAGAGTGCACAATAATGTTCGCCGTCACTTCAAGGGGCTGTTCCGCAGTTAAACATTTGGTGTAAACGTGAAACGCGGCGGAAAAGGCGCCCTTGTTTCTATTTGTATGCCTGACCCGTCCAGCTGCGGACACGGCTGTCGGTTTCGTGCAGGGTCGGGCTTTTTCCTGCCGAGTGGGTTTCAACCGGTCCTTGGCACAGGTTCCATTATTTCAGTCGGTTTTGTGTCAGACCTCTCATTCAGAATCGACCCCTTTCAATCCGGTTTATTCAGAGCCGGCCCTCGGGAGGCGGGCCGGCCGCGACGATTTCCTTCGCGCCAATGGTGCTAGGCTTCATACCAAAGGGGAAAATTATAAATCGATGGGCGAATTCGTACGCCAGGAATAGGACAGTTTCTCGCGCCTGACTACACCAACGTTGCACAGTTATCATCACCATGAAAAGAACGCCGCTTGTTTCTATCGTCTATTATCTATGTTGCTCCTGCATAAAACGTACGCACACCATCCACCGCGCGCCGGTGATCGCATGCAGCCTGACACGCGCATGCGTGGACGCCGTGAGATCGGTCATGAGACGGGTGATGACCTCGACACCGCAGGCGGCCCTCCCGCCGCCCCGGACACGGCGGCCAGGCCCGGGCGGTCGCGTCAGCTGACGCCGCCAGGCAGCACCACACCCACCGCACGACCGTGACCACGGCAGATCGCACGGAACAGAATCCACCGCACGACCGTGACCACGGCGGATCGCACGGAACAGAATCCACCGCACGACCGTGACCACGGCAGATCGCACGGAACAGAATCCACCGCACGATCGTGACCACGGCGGATCGCACGGAACATAATCCACCGCACGACCGTGACCACGGCGGATCGCACGGAACAGAATCCACCGCACGACCGTGATCACGGCAGATCGCACGGAACAGAATCGGGAGCGAGTCGCGATCGGATCGTTTGGCGCCGGCGAACCACCCAGCGCCCAGCGCTGTCTCCTTGGTCTCCCAGCGGCGCGGCGTGCCCCAGGTCGGCTCGGCGCACTGTCCGCTCGCACCGTCGCGACATGCCGCCTGCCAGAGGGGCGCGCGATCGACCGACAGCGCGGGAGCCGAGTGAGCCCGCGGCCCAACATGACAGCACGAGAGAAGCGCGCGGGTCAAGCCCTTCGGCAGGGCGTCACACACCCATCCGGTGTCACAAACGTCTAATGGCAAAGCGATACGCCGGGCACGGAAAGCTACACTACGAGCGATTTACACCTTCAGTAAGGTGCGCGGCCGGGCGGCACCACAGGCCCGCCGGCGCCGACGCAGTGACCGTTCGTCCATGACACGTGATCCAGATGATTAGTCTGCACCGCCGGCATGCAGCCTCCGGCTGCAGTACCCCGGAGGCGCGGGTCCTGGCCGCCGCGCGGGCGTCGCCGCTGGCTCGTGGCGTCCGGATGCACCGCGGACGGCGGACGACCGTGCCGGCGGCCGGCCTGTTTGTACTGGTCGCGGCGCGACCGTCGTCGGCAGCTGCTCACAGCCGCTGCTGCGCCACGGCAGCTGCTCACAGTTGGACGCTGGAGAAGCCGGGGCCGCGCGTCATCACGATGTCGCTGTAGGCCGACTCCTGCACCAGCTCCAGCATCTGCAGCTTCTTCAGCACCAGCGCCGTGTAGAACTTCTGTGCCACCTGTGGCAGGGCGGAAAAGTCGAGGCCTCAGCATCACACATCACTTTGGTCCCGCGGCACGCTGGTTGGCTTCAGAAGTGGTGCCTTTGGAGGTTGCAAGGCAAACGGACAAACGCAAAAATTTTGGTGGCTGAATGCCTGGATTGCTGGCAAAGCAGGGACAGCTCGGAAGTGAAAAGATACCTATGTGTTTATTTCGTCCGTAAAAGAGTGCAGTCTTTTCGGAGTCAACTTGCAGCTGCGTACGAAGTACTGGTAGACATATGGAGACTACAGTTTTCACTACTGACGCTACAACTTTCAAACGACTTTAAGTTTCCCAAACAAGCCCGTGTGCGGAACAACGTGGCCGTGAAGACACAGGGATCCATGGTAAAATTTGAAGGCAGACACGCATCCCTTCCACGCAACAAACAAATCTTTGGCCATATTCTTGACTGGCAAACGCGTTGAGCCGCCAACCCGCGACGAAACCGCAGATGTCCCTGCAATCAGCTGACAAGTACGGCCCAGTGACCCGTCAGCTCCACGCCGCGCCGCGCCGCCGGCATGTACTCGTCTCCGTGACGGCCCTCACGCGCCGCCGGCATGCACCCGTCTCGGCGACGGCCCTCACGCGCCACCGGCGTGTCTCTGTCTCGGCAACGGCCCTCACGTGCCGCTGCCGTGTCTGTGCCCCGGCAACGGCCCTCGCGCGCCGCCGGTGTGTCTCCGTCTCGGCAACGGCCCTCACGTGCCGCTGCCGTGTCTGTGCCTCGGCAACGGCCCTCGCGCGCCGCCGGTGTGTCTCGATGATGCCCGGTGACGGCCCTCGCACGCCGCCGGCGTGTCTCCGTCTCGGCGACGGCCCTCGTGCGCCGCCGGCGTGTCACCGTTTCCGTGATGCCCTCATGCGCCGCCGCGCTCACCTGTTTGCGGTTGTTGCGCCGGACCAGGTCGCTGAACTGCAGCTGGTCGCTCAGCTCGAACTTGGTCTTGATGACGCGGTACATGACGGCTGCGCGCTTGTTGTTGACGCGGTCCTCGAACTGGGCGTACGTCTCGCCCTCCTGCTGTGCCTCCTCCGGCTGCCGGATCGTTCACAGGTCACGCTAGGTGGTATGTCGGGTCACATGTTAGGTCGGGGATAAAATGGTCGCCACTGGAGCTGCCGAGATCGCATGAACAAAACGTTGCTAGCACACACGTCATGTAGTCATTGAAGCTTCACGACACACTTAGCTACTGCTGAGGCTATATGGTATCGTGTCTCTCACCCTGACAGGACAGGCGGACACCGTGGGGAATCGAACCTCACACCTCTGGTTTCCTAGAAACGCAGCTGAGCACCACACCATCGCCCCCCCCCCCCCCCCCCTCCCCACTATGGAACCGCCCAGAGTCGGGCTTCGGAGGCCTACAGCACCACGCCCAGAGTCGGGCTTCGGAGGTCTACAGCACTACGCCCAGAGTCGGGCTTCGGAGGCCTACAGCACCACGCCCAGAGTCGGGCTTCGAAAGCTTACAGCACCACACCCAGAGTCAGGCTTCGGAGGCCTACAGCACCACGCCCAGAGACGGGCTTCGAAAGCTTACAGCACCACGCCCAGAGTCAGGCTTCGGAGGCCTACAGCACCACGCCCAGAGGCAGGCTTCGGAGGCCTACAGCACCACGCCCAGTTACCCTGCCAGTGACGCCAAACACAGTCCGCCTCCCGGCAGAGCATGAGCAGCAGCGGTACATGTGGCATAACGAAACAACGGAGCTGGTCACACTTCTACCGGAGCCCGTCCGTCGCAGGTACCTGGCAACGCGGAGGATGTGGTCCCCACCTGCGCCAGCGTCTGTGCTGTCATGCCACCTCCGGCCTCCGGGAATGAGAGCTCCCGTGCCTGGACGTGCCCTCCCCGCGTATGGCCTCGCCAGCCCGTTCTGCCGTGTGTTTATGTGTACATATCTGAGAGCGTCTGTGCCAGCCCGTCTTGCCGTGTGTTTATGTGTACATATCTGAGAGCGTTTGTGCCAGCCCGTCCTGCCGTGTGTTTATGTGTACATATCTGAGAGCGTCTGTGCCAGCCCGTCCTGCCGTGTGTTTATGTGTACATATCTGAGAGCGTCTGTGCCAGCCCGTCCTGCCGTGTGTTTATGTGTACATATCTGAGAGCGTCTGTGCCAGCCCGTCCTGCCGTGTATTTATGTGTACATATCTGAGAGCGTCTGTGCCAGCCCGTCCTGCCGTGTGTTTATGTGTACATATCTGAGAGCGTCTGTGCCAGCCCGTCCTGCCGTGTGTTTATGTGTACATATCTGAGAGCGTCTGTGCCAGCCCGTCCTGCCGTGTGCAAACCCGAGCGAGCGTCTGCACCAGACCGTCCTGCCGTGCACACACCTGAGCGAGCGTCTGCACCAGACCGTCCTGCCGTGCACACACCTGAACGAGCGTCAGCACCACAGTTCTGCCGTGTACACACCTGAGCGAGCGTCTGCACCAGACCGTCCTGCCGTGTGCACACCTGAGCGGGCGTCTGCACCAGACGGTTCTGTCGTGTGTTTGTCGTGTACACACCTGAGCGGGCGTCTGCACCAGACAGTTCTGTCGTGTACACACCTGAGCGAGCGTCTGCACCAGACAGCCCTGTCGTGTACACACCTGAGCGAGCGTCTGCACCAGACAGCTCTGTCGTGTACACACCTGAGCGAGCGTCTGCACCAGACAGCTCTGTCGTGTACACACCTGAGCGAGCGTCTGCACCAGACACTTCCGTCGTGCACACACCTGAACGAGCGTCTGCACCAGACAGCTCTGTCGTGTACACACCTGAGCGAGCGTCTGCACCAGACAGTTCTGTCGTGTACACACCTGAGCGAGCGTCTGCACCAGACAGTTCTGTCGTGTACACACCTGAGCGAGCGTCTGCGCCAGGTCGTCGTCCCAGGGCGTGGCCGGGCCATTGCTGTAGACGCTGAGCGGGCCCCGGTCCGACACAGCGCCCGGTGTCACCGGCGGCGCGATGTTCTCGTCGTAGCCCATGTTGGCCAGGTTGGACACCTGCTGACGTCGCAGACGATCGGCGGTGTGAGGGACGGAACAGACGTGCGACGCTCGCACGCGGCGCGACGAGACGCTCACCCAACAGCAAGCGCGTGCTGGCTGCCGAGTGAAGACGCGTCGCCAGGATTTGTTACAACATATCGCACTCAGAAGGACCTGATGTCCTACAGGTGCACACCCGTCATGTAAGGTAGCCTTATCCACCCCAGCAGCACTTACCTGGTCGTACCTCATGTTCTCTATGAGCGTGATAGGTCACTATTCCCCGAGCAGCGTAATGCGCGGTGTATGTACCTGGTCGTAGCCCATGTTCTCCATGTGCGGGATGGGCGGCGGCTGGTCGGTGATGGGTGGCTCCACGGCCGCCTGGGCCGTCATCACGCTCTCCGGCTCGGCGGGCGGCGCCGCTGGCGTCGGCACCGGCGGCTCCGCAACCGGCTCGGCCGCCTCCTCCGGCGCCGGCGTCGCTGCCGGGGCCGCCGCGGCTGCCGCTGCCGCCTCCTGCTCGGCCACCGCCGCCGCTGCCGCTGCTGCTGCTGCCGCTGCTGCCGCCGCCGCCTGCTGCTGCTGCTGTTGCTGCTGCTGCTGTAGCAACTGATGCTCCACCCCGGCCGGGGATTCCTCCTGAACGCAACCGACCCAGATACAGACGAGTCAGTCGTGTCAGACTATCCAGATCCAGACATATCGGACACATAAGTCGATCCAGATCCAGACATGTTCCATCAGGCAGACAGTTGGTCAGCTGTTAAGTGATACCACAAAGTTTGCCACCTACAAGGTAGGCAGTGATACACACACACACACACACACACGCACGCACGCACGCACGAACACGCACGCACGCACGCACGCACGCACGCACGCACGCACACACACACACACACACTCACACACACACACACACACACACACACACAAGGACCACCCGCAGTCCTCCAATGTTATTCCTTTGCCCGGCTCTGCAGCGCCGCCTGACCATCGACACGCCGGCGGGGCCGGCACGCCCTGGCCGTCAGCCCGGCCTGAACGCTGCCGCTCACCTCCGGCTCTGGCTCGGGGTCCCGCTTGCGCTTCCTGCGGGCGGCGGCGCGCGCAGGCCGCTCGTCGGTGCGCGCCGGCTCCGGCGGCACGTGCAGCTCGTCCTCCGGCACGGCAGCCGCCTCTTCGCCCCCCTCCTCGTTGTCGGCCGGTCGAGACGTCAGGTGGCGCATGTACATCTGCCGGGGCGGGACGCGGTCAACAGGGGGGGGGGGGGGGGGCGGGGCTCCTGACGTCGGGCAGCGCATGCAGGTTTGCCGGGGCGGGCTACGGTCGACAGAGGTGCGGGGCTCCTGCCGTCCGGTGGCGCGTGTACATCTGCCAGGGTGGGGGCAGAAGCAGAGCCAGATATGGCTGGGGCAAACCCATAGAGGCAAAGCAGCACAGCGACATCGTGCGGACGCTGTGGATGCTTACCATCGGGCAACACGGACAGCGACAGGACTTGCCTAGGACGTGAAGCATCTTAAAAGCTCCGGTAAAAGAAAAATACTGAATGCTATACAATGGAAAGCATGGTGCATATCCCAAAGCACCAAATTTTCGACAAAACAGCTGATCATTGTCTCAAAAGACTTAGACCGAACCTCCTCATTGGAGGGGTTTCTGGCATCAGCACCCACGCTCAGCGGTGTATGTCGCGTGAGCCCTGACCCCACCATTCCAGAGTCAACGGCAGGGTTTTGCGGGAGAAAACTTAACGTGCTGCAATGCTCGGCACGGTCCGTCCTGCCTTCTGACGTCATTCGACCTTTACGCCGTCGCTGCCACCGGCAGCAGGCCAATCACAGGAAAAAACGAGCGCCTGAAGCGTATCGAACCCATCCCATCTCAGAAAATGCAGAAAAGGCTCCTTCCAACCGCGCTTTCAGGACAAAGTGGTAAAACTGTAATAACGTTTGCCTGAAAGTGCCTTGCACTGAACACAAAGGGATCAGTAGCTTCCGAAACAACAGACGCATGAGTGACAGACCCGCACCAGCACCAGTCCCCTCCTTCTCTGCGGCGTGCCACGACAGACCGGGCGTCATCGGCTGTGCCACCCTCCTCGACAGCGCAAGGCTGCCGCCGGCTGGCCACCGTCGGCCGAGGTCAGTGCCTACCCTGCCCAGGCTGGTGGCCGGGATGGTGCGGCCGGGCAGCGCGAACAACTTCTCCACGCCGCCCGTCTCCTTCCAGTGCATGAGTCGCTTGGTGGGCGGCGCCAGGTCAAGTGAGGTCACGATGTCGGCCGTGTCCGACAGCTGTGTCTTCATCTCCTCGCCAGAAATGTTCTTCACCTCGTCCACGATCAGCTTCCGCTTCCGCTTGCTGCGCGTCACGCCAGCTGCGCACGGGCGAGGCGTCGCAATCAGGTCAAAGTCACAGGGGTGAGACACCACTGTCAGCAGGTCACGGCCACACCATTGAGGCGTCAGACATCAGCGTCAGCAGGTCACAGTCACACGGGTGAGACGCTACCGTCAGCAGGACACAGTAACAGGCGGTGCCGAGATCAACACGACAATGGCTTCTCTTTCTGAACGCCACCAAACAGCAAATAACCCTTCAGAAACACGGCCGTCGGACGGCCGTCGCCCCGGCGCCGCCCGCGCGCACCTTTCAGGGCGCTGGCGTCGACCGGCGGCAGGGCGAACGTCTCCTCCTCGTTCTGCAGCAGCGTGGTCTGCTCGTGCGCCGGCGGCTCGGCGTCGGCTTCCGGCTGTGGCGGCGGCGGCGGCTCGGCGGGCGCCTCGGTCCCGGCCGCAGCAGCCGCCGTCGGCGAGGTGGGCCGCGAGTCCCCGTCAGAGCTGCGGCCAGACGAGACGTGTCGGCCAGCAGGCGGGCTGCGCAGCGTCACGTGAGGCCGGCACGGACGCCAGACGGCCAGCCTTCAGCATGACCATTCCACAAAAACAAACAGCTTCGCCACAAAACATCCCTAGTTCTCAGCTGCCCTTCGTAGTCCACACAGGCGGCGCAAAATGATCCTCGATGTCGCGGACCCCTAAATTCCAATCATCATCATAGTCCACACCTATAGCGAACCGGGGCGTACGGTGTTCGTTGATAAAAAGCCACAAACGGTGGTCACATTTAAGGAACAACTACACAAGTAACGGAACATGATCTGCCGACTGCAGGATGCTGGACACAACCAATCACAGAACCTAAAAAGATCCACCCGCGTCCCAAGAGATCGTCATCGCAGAAAACATGGGGAAACATGGCCTCCTTTTCTGATGAACTTGCCCCCTTCTTGCTTCTTCTCTGTTTAAACAAATAATTGTGCAAAATGTTGGCTTCGTTGAAACCCTAATGAAAGGTGAGCGACAATTCGCCTTGGTGGTATCTTTTTCCCCCTCCCCCACCCGACCCACCCACTTCCCCACCACGGCAGCGCTCTGGACTAAAACGCTACGGCCGAAAAAGAGCACAGAGAGGGTTTGTAGCGTTTTAAGTGTTACTGATCGCCTGATAATTAACACCACTTCCCGAGCCAAAACCCTTGTTATCCCCGAAACCAGATAATTTCGTGATTATAAATAACAATAAATAGATAATTCAATAATTGTATGTTCAGCCCAATCTCCTTCGGGAGCGTGGCCAACTGCGCACAGTACAAAGGAGCCCACTGGCCGGTGCGGACCCACTGTACACAGGACAAAGGAGCCCACTGGCCCGTGCGGTGGTGAGGAGGCCGGCCGACCTGTGCCCGCCGCCCATCGGACTGGCGTCCATCCGGTCAAACTCGTCGTCCGAGTGGTGCGGCTCGGGCGCCGCCGCCGCCGGCGACTCGGGCGGCTCGGAGGGCGGCGGCGCGTCCGGCATGGGTGCGTCGTCAAACAGGCCGCCGTCGAACAGGCCGCCGGCTGTAATGGAACGGGGTGCGCGTCAGCCCGCGCACCAACGACCGGCAGGAACGGACAGAGAACTGGCCGCAACGGACAGAGCACTGGCCAGAACAGACCGAGAACTGGTCAGAACGGACTGTGAACTGGTCGAAAGGGACCGATGACCTGTCGGAACGGACCGAAGACTGGTCGGAACGGACTGAGGACTGGCCGGAACGGGCCGAGGACTGGCCGAAACGGACCGAGAACCGCTTGGAACGGACCGACGACCGGCCGGATCGGACCGAGAACTGGCCGGAACAGGCCGTGGACTGGCTGGAACAGACAGAGGAACGGCTGGACGGACGGAGAAACGGCCAGACGGAAGGAGGATCGGCCGGAATGGACCGACGACTGGCCGAAACAGACCGACGACTGGCCGGAACCGACCGGGGCGCTGTCAGCCGGCGCACGGGGACCGGCCGGCCTCTCCCGGGCCGGGGATGCGGAACCACCGTCTGACAGCTTCAGACTCTTACTCTGACAGGTGGCCGCAAACATGGACGACAGACAGCAAACATGGCGGCAAACGTCAGCTCCGTCACGTCGCATGGTAACCAAATCGTGCTAGCATAACCCCTCCCCCCCCCCCCCCCCCTCCACGTATCACCGGCCAACGCACACCTGACCATCAGATATCCCACAGAGTTCCGGGCAGCACCACCCACCAGCGCCCCGTGCGTAGCGGAGCGGCCGGCCCGCCAGCCCAGCATGCCCACTGACCCATGATGTCCTGGCCGAGGTTGCCGCCGAAGCCGTCGTCTCGGATCGGAGCGTCCAGCTCCAGTGCCGACACGCCGGCCTTCGAGGTGGACTGCTGCACGGCCTCGGGCGCCGGCGCCGCCTCCGGCTTGGGCGCGCCGCTGCCGTCGAACAGCAGGTTCTGCCGGCCAGGACGTGGAGGTCAGCTGGGCGAGAGTGGCCAGCGGCGGGCCGGAGTGGCCAGCGGCGGGCCGGAGCGGCCAGCGGCGATCGGGAGTGGCCACCGGCGGGCCGGAGGGGCCAGCGGCGGGCGGGCCCATTAGGGCACGGCACGGCAGCCCTATCGATGACAGATAGATGAGAAGGGGGATGGGGAGGGGCGACGTGACCTATCAATGACTATCCTGTGAGCATTGGCTGGTGTGACTGACCAACCCACTACACTAGTATTATCAGTGATGACAGGCCAGCAGAGGCTACACAACACGCCTTGCAGCGATCTTTCCCGCAACCTGCTCAGATCTGCCCGCAGTCCGCCATCTCTGCACGGCCGCGCCTAGCCCGCACACGCCCCGCTCCCCCCGACTCACGGCGTTCTCGAGGCTGGGCTCGAGCGAGGAAGCGTCTCGCATCAGCTCGGGTGGCTCAGCGTCGAAGCCCATGTCGCCGAAGCCGTCGTCGCCGGTCACCAGCGAGATGTTGCCGTAGTCCTCGCGCATCGTGATCTCCTCAGCCCGCGACTGGTTGAACGAAAACTGTGCCTGGATGTCCACGTCGCTGTAACCCAACACGGACGCGTGAGCAGCGGCGAGGGCCTGAGCATCGCCGCCGCACTGCCGTCGAGGAGCGGTGCGGCGGGCGCAGGGTTACCGCAAACCCGCAGAACATTCAGCGGGTGTGGGGTTACCGTATGTCCGCAGGGCGTTTAGCGGGTGCAGCGTTACCGCGGGACACCCGGCAGAGGAATGTCAAACCATGAGGTGGGCACGTTTCAAAGCACGTTTCTGACACAACGTACCTATCGCTGTTTAGCAACCAAAGAGTGTACTTGCGATCGAACCAACATTGGAGCTACGCTTGAGGTGGTAAACTAGCGTGTAAGGTAAAACAAGAGGTAAAGTTAAATGACTCAACCGAGCAAAAGATCGACAAAAGTACGTCAAATTTGGCCGGCAACTGCCTCGCAGCTCGCTATGCTATTAGTCCACTCAGCAGTCACCTGCTGGAGCCTTCCAACGCATCACGAGCGACCCGCGCCAGACCTCAACGCCAATGACACCCACTTGAGCTCTGGCATGGCCGTATCGAAGTCGTGAAAGACCTCTGGCAGGGTGATGGCGTTGACGGCCGCCTCCCGCTTCTCCTCCGGCAGGTCCACCATGCCTGGCCTGAAGGCCATCTTGATCTTGACGAACGCCTCATTGCAGTCGGCCAGCAGGTACTTCTCCTTCTTGGAGTAGATGCGCACCACGCCCAGCATCAGGTGACCAGTGGTGCGCAGCGCCAGCTTGACCTGACGGGGTCGGGTCAGGTCAGGATAGGTCAGCAGCGGGTCCCGACATCACAGCGCCGTTCACACAGACGGGACGCGCTCTCCTCGGGCTGTGGAGCCGCTCTCCTCGGGCTGTGGCAGATTATGGCCGGGAGCCGCCCACCACCGGCGGTCGGATACACGCTCCACCGGCAGCACCACCCTCACCGGCATCGCCACCCCACCACCGGCGGTCGGACAGCACCACCCCCCATCGGCATCGCCACCCCACCACCGGTGGTCGGATACACGCTCCGCCGGCAGCACCACCCCTCACCGGCATCGCTACCACGGCAGCCAGGCGTGTCACCTCTACAGCCATCGGCACTGAAGCAGCGAGGTGAAATGGCCACGCGATGGTTGGAGTTTTGATTTTGTTAAATGTTGCACGACGCATGTCATACATCACTGTTGTTGTCGTATCCTTAATACGCCTTTAGCGGCGGAAGCCCAAATAGTGATGCAGTAGGTGCACGGGTGCAGCCCCCGCAAGCTCGTTGATGGCAGGTCGTCAAACCTGCCCAAAGGAAACGTCCCGAGGATTTGATCTGCTTTACAAGGAGAGCCGCGGTCTAATCCGAACTCAGGGCGGGCTGTTCAGCGATGGCTGGCTGCAGCCACCTGACCCACAGCCAGACCTGCTTTACATGGAGAGCCGCGGTCTGATCCGAACTCAGGGCCGGCTGTACAGCGAGGGCTGGCTGCAGCCACCTACTACACAGCCAACTGCACGGGAAACCACGCCCTTACCCAACCCCAAGCCTCTAGTCCACACCGCGAAGGAGATCCAGCAAATAACCAGTGGGTGACGCGTCCGCGCATGACAATAGTGGTCACCACACCCGAATACTGGATGTGTGGCGCCGCATTCTCAACGCTCCATCCGCACCATCTGAACACCTCTCTGCTCGCCAGTCCAGCAGGTAGCACGCATCACCTTGGGCTGCAGGATGCCGTCGACGGACTTCTCGATGTTCGTCTCGAAAACATTGGCCTTGGTGAGCTTCTTGTCCCAGTGGGCAGCCAGCCAGATCCGAGCCAGCGGGCCCTTCTTGTTCAGCACGTACTGAGCGTAGAACATGGTTCACCCTGCTGACATGGCGTGCTAGTTAGTCGGCTGATAATGCAACACGAACTGGTGGCGAGCTTCATGGGGACAGAAGTTTACCATTACTATGCTTTCCCGTACAAGTGCTATTAGTCCGCCACCGACATGGAATAACAAAAAATATATGCTACATGAGTAAACCATGAGACATATAGTTTCGTCTTCCCATGGCATACGCAAGACTCACTTATGGGAATATCGCACACACAGCTCGTGCTTGCGACTTACTCATGAACAGTTTTAGAATGGTTCACAAAGCCCAGGGTAAAAATACGTACCTATTCTCAAATGCCCCTTCTCTCCTGATCACAGAAAGTTTCGGCGTCAACTGAAAACTTCCCAGTCAGTGACGAACGGCAAGTGCATAAAGTGACTCAAACCTAAGCCGTCACGAGTGGCTGAATTAGAAGGCAGATGCTAAGGCAAACTGAAATATTGGGACGGATGGAAACTTTTCTGAAACTTTAGCATTTTTTAGAGGGTGCACACCATGAAAAATGGAAATGGATGGGCCATTTTTGGGATGATGGGATATGGGTAGAAATGGTGGATATGGGAATGGATGGGATATGGGTACAGCTGATCACAGATGGGTAGCAGGTGGATGTGGGGCAGGACTTCACAGGTTGGGCAAGCCTATACATACCAAAGTGCTATGGGTAATGAAGTAGCTGGGCACACTTCCGGAAGATTATGGACACGGCTATGCTATGGTTGTGGGTACGAGTATGAGTAACACGTCCGTGAAATGGTTGGCAGGTTCTCTAAAAATACTATATGATGCTATTTCTTATTGTTTTTGGCTACAACTAGCTTTCTGGATATTTCTTTTAGAATTACAAACACCAAAGAGGAGGTTTGGATGTATACATTTCTAAAAATCCCTCATAATCTGCCTGAAAAAATCTCATAATTTCGAGTTAAAGATCTGGAAAAATGCAAATGGGCGGGCAGAGTAGGTGTGCCCGGTCAGGCATCGTTATCACCGAGGTATGGGTACAGCCTCATGGTTAACAGGTGGATTGCCTTACAGAAATAAAACAACATAAATACAGCATACAAAGACAGCTTTAATTTAGGCTGATTTAGCACACTACAGACTTGAGTTTGACTTAAGCCAAACCGTGAATTGGCCCCCGAGCTAACTGTTTCAGGGTGAGCCACGACCTGAGTGTGCTGGTTCAGAACAATGTCACTTGACACCACTTTAAACCAAGAGCTGAATCTCATTCGTCGTAAATGTCATGAGCTGAATCGTGGGCCAATCATTTTGTGGCAGAAAATCATGTTGCTCAAATTACAATGACACAGCATGAGGCATTAATAGTAAAGCTCTTTGAAAATTACCACACAGTGCGATTTTTTGAAATTTATAACCAGCAAGCACAATGTTGTCAATCCTTATCTAAAATTTGCAACTCTCATCAAAGAACCAGATGATATTTATTACATGGTACAGATGTCCTACATTACTAAATTGTTGCGAACTACAAGATCTGTGGGCTGGTCATACTTTTTCATGGCTAATTGAGATAGCCATGGATGAATCCATGGCTGACCCCCAATTCACTACCATCTGCATTGCTGTAAGCATGCCATTGCTGACACAATATGAAATAAACAGCAAACCTGGCAAGATTGTCCCACCTCATACATGCAGATTGTATGCCGCGGAATCCGAACCCCTGGGGATTGCATCAAGAAGTACTTCCAGTTTTGAAATGGGCAAAACATTCTCATTTTTGTTAACCTTGAACCATATTTAAAGCAGGCATGACTTTTCCAGAATACCTTAGGTTTTTGTTAATTTGTCACATTTAATGCAGTCTGCTCTACATTGCATGCTATACACAAATGGGTCTGTAGGGTAGGTAGAATCATGTGACAGGTAGAATGTGCTGATAGGGCTTAGAAAACAGGCATATGAAGCAGACACAAGTGTTCTCTTGAACAGCTCATCCAATCGCTTTGAAGCCTTCACTGGTGGATTCTGTGCAATGAGGTGAGTCATGGGGAGGCAAAATTGAGACCTGACCTGGAGTCAAACACCACAAAAACACAAAAAGAAAATTTTACATTCAAATGCAGATAACTCAGATATCAAAGCCTGCTGTACTGAAAGCATCCACCTCTCTGCTAGTTCACTGGTGCACTACCAATGGGTTTGGTCTGGCTTTGGGTCAGCATACAAAGTTGGATCACATTAATATATCCCACCACATGAGAACAATGTCACAAATGACGATTTTACTTCAGCTTTGGACTTTGTCCATTCACTGCAGCTTGCCAGGAATGACTGACCCAAATCCGTATCCAATAATCTGCGAAAAGGGCGACTCAGACCCCAAGTCAACATTGGCGCATAATATGGGGAGACGGATGCAAAGGTTTGACCCTGTGGCTAACGTAAACCAAAATAAGTCCCGAAAAAGTTCAGAATAAATCTTAAAAACACATGACGAAAAGGAACAGATAAAGATGGAATCGCAAGCAAACATTAAGTGATGTGGCATGTACCGCAGACGGTGTGAAATCACAAGCATCATACACAATGGGGTCTAAACAATATTTTTGCATGCCAATATGGCCTCGCAGACTGATAACCAGGCATAGCCAGGTGAATCCAGCTTTAACTTCCCCATTCAAGTTGATGTGTTAACACCCCAAAGAAGTTGTTGGCAATTTAAGTTAGCTGTAAGTGAGCTAACTTTTTTATCATTTTCCAGCACCTCATTCACGCCTCTTAACCCCATTTAAAAGCCAGAAATAATTTAAATGTAATGTTTGCCACCCAACCTGTGTACTACAATTCCTGTGTGCCCGCTTTACACAACCCTACTGACATCCTGAGAGGCCGAAAACCAGAGCTGGGGATTCCTTGGAATTTGGCCTCCAAATCCCAAAAATCCCAAATCCCCAAAAAAGTCAGATGAAATGGGCATTTGGAACAGCTCCCATCTCCCTACCCATTTAAATTGGTTGTGACTGACTGACTGCACTCAAGGCCTCTCCCAATGGTACATGCTATATTCCTAGCTTGGCCACGTGAAATGTATGATGAATTGGCACCTGCTTGTGCAGGTGCTGAAGTTTTGGTTTTTGGTGGGGCCTGAGTCAAGTCATCACCTTGTTGTTATGCCATACCATACCACACAATATAAGGTGTAACATACCAAACATGTTAGAGTAGTCTTTGGCAAAGCATGAAAAGTTAGGCATGGTGCCTTACTAATTCCCTTTAACATGCCAGTTTGGATGCAACATAACTACTTTACTCATTTATCAGCTAAGAACTGTATAAGAGTATGGAATCATTGGAGAGGAAACATAGAATACATTAGTGCAAGTTCAATTGGGCACTGGATGACCTCATTGGCGATCTTGCACTCTGTATGGTTAGGTTTCATAACCATATTCAAGGGCTCCATCCAAAACACTCAAACATCCATTGAACAATAGCCTGGGTGTCAGATCTGCCCCCCCCCCCCCCTTACATCTGGAATTGCCAGGTGGACAAACATTAATCTTGAAGGGCACACACTTGTGCCACAGAACTTGCTGGAATGTGCAGCACATGAACTTGTGATTTTGAAGACAAATTAAGCCTATAGGATATTTTAACATGTTTATTTGTATATCAAATGACAATATTTCAGGACTCATCAGTGGCTTCTGGGATTCAAATTCTAATTTGCAGGTTTTGAATACTCACGTCCAGAATTTCTGGAAAATATCAACCCCTGGATATGTTGCACAGGTTATTAGCAGCAAACCAAACAAATGCTGTCCCCAGACTGATGCCCTGGGCACCATGTAAGCATCAGTGCACCCTCATATTGCCATTACACCTCATCTCACTCAGTGTCCATGAAGCTAATCTTCAAAACTTGGCAGTTTTGCATTCCAACATTAATATAATTGCCAAAAAAGATTGCCTATAGGCCCTATCAATGACAGCTTGCTTCTAAGCAGTGGGACAAGAAACAAGTTACTGTTACCAATAATGTGGAAGTGGGTTCATGTTATTATAAAAGTGGCTAGTTCCTTACAGCATATCACAGAGTGGGAATCAGCTACTGTACACTTTGATGACAATGCTAAGAGTTAAATATCACATACACACTCACTTCTTTGCTTCTATACTTTTTTCAGAGCAGTTGTATGGCCTCAAGAATTGATATCACTTATGACAACATACAAATGGTGACAGTGTTGCTTTAAGCAGCAGAACAGGGACTTTGTTGCCCAGGGAGTGGCAGAAGGCAGCCCCACCCCATTGTGCAAAACATCTATTTTTTAGTACCTACTGCAGCATCCAATGCCTTGGCAACATCAGTGTACTGAGCCTCACACTTTCATGACTCAAACTCAGGTAAGGCCAAATTCTGCTTGATTTCTGCAACAATTTTACTGAGTATGTTTGCCCTGAAACTACATTTGCAAAATTATTACTCTATGAAAGACAAGCTCTGTACACACTGACATTGGTTCTGTTCATGTCTTAAGCTCTGAGCTGTTGTATTTATGATGTACATGCACTGGGATTGTTACCATAGCTTTGATGGCTGACCAAGATATAACACACATTTTGGTGTAGGTGTACTTTCCTACCTAACATTAGAAAAAATCATTGCACACCATTCGTCGTGTTCAAGGCGGCACATATCGTAAATCATCTCAAAACAGGTAGAATCATGCTCCTACCTTCGAATCTCAATAACTTCGATGGCGAGCTCCCGAGCGCCGCGCGCACCGCACCGCCTGGACTCCCCAGCGCCGTTTCTGCGTTGCCGTTGCGTAAATACAATATTTCTGCTTACCAAGAACTCTACAAAATGTACGGGACCAAGGTAAACCATTCGTCGTGTTTAAGGCGGAACATATAAATAATTTCAAAACAGATAGAATCATGCTCCTACCCTCGAATTTTAATAAATACGATGGCGAGCTCCCGAGCGCCGCACGCCCCGCACCGCACTGCCTCGACTTCCAAGCGCCGTTTCTACGTTGTTGCGAAAGCACAATATTTCTGCTTATCAAGAACCATAAAACATGTATGGGACCAAGGTAACAATAATAAAGCAACCAACATCGTTTCTTATCGAGTTTAGGTACATTTATGAAACACGCAGGCCGGAATAGTCCAGAACATATCCTAACCTAACCTAGCCTAGCCTAGCCTAGCCTAGCCTAGCCTAGCCTAGCCTAACCTAACCTAACCTAACCTAACCTAACCTAACCTAACCTAACCTAACCTAACCTAACCTAACCTAACCTAACCTAACCTAACCTAACCTAACCTAACCTAACCTAACCTAACCTAACCTAACCTAACTGAGAATAGACCAGAACCTAAGCTAAGCTAAGCTAAGCTAGCCTGACCTGACCTGACCTGACCTGACCTAACTTAACCTAACCTAACCTAACCTAACCTAGCCTAGCCTAGCCTAGCCTAGCCTAGCCTAACCTAACCTAACCTAACCTAACCTAACCTAACCTAACCTAACCTAACCTAACCTAACCTAACCTAACCTAACCTAACCTAACCTAACCTAACCTCCCCACCCTAAATCCCCTTCAACCCAGCATCTCATTGGCATCCATGTTCCATGCCATATATAGGTGCCATATAGTGAGCTTTTATTTAGCTGCCATGTTCTCATTTTGCTTTACATTCCCCACCCAATCCCCCTGCAACCCATGGTCCCCTTGGCGTCGAGGATCAAATTTCATGGATTCTTTTTCATGGATTCTTGCTACCTTGTCCCCGTACATTTTTATGGTTCGCAGTAGATATGGTTTATAGTTATAGTATGGTTTATATAGTATAGTTTATAGTTATAGTTATGGTTTATAGTATGGTTCGCAGTTAATATGGTTTATACGGTAAATATGGCTATGGTAAATATGGTTTATGTTAAGTAAACATTTTTATGGTTCGCAGTTAGGTTATGGTTGTCCTGCCTTAAACATGACGAATGGTTAATTTGGTCCGGTACATTTTGTACAGTTCTTGGTACTGGTACGCAGAAATATTGTATTTACGCAACGGCAACGCGGAAACGGCACTGGGGAGTCCAGGCGGTGCGGTGCGCGCGGCGCTCGGGGGCCCGCCATCAAAGTTATTGAAATTCGAAGGTAGGAGCATGATTCTACCTGTTTTGAGATTATTTACGATATGTCATGCCTTAAACACGACGAATGGTGTACAATGATTTTTTCTAACGTTAGGTAGGAAAGTACACCCTGACCCACATTTTGGCAGTCTGAATCCTCCTCAAGCCACAAAGTGTTAATATCAAACTTGTCACCATCTACCATCAGTGTCAGCTAACTGATCGCTGATGGCTGCACCTTAAAAGCCCACACATATTAAATGCTCTCAATTCCTAGCCCTCATGCAACAAGCAAGCAATCCCAGTTGGCATAACATCAGTTTACATTGATGTGCAATGGCATTCAAAGTCAAAACAGGCAAACATGATTTTGCCTTACTTGCTCAGATGGTTTTATGTCCGAGACATGTCGCCGAACAGTCCAAAACCATAAAACGGACCACAAAACTTCGGAAGACGCCTTATTCCATGGAGCCCCTTGACCGGACGAATCTCGACCCGTACTGAGTCAGCGAGGTTTCTTGCACTACCTTGGCATGCTCGATAGAAGCTCTTCAATTTACTGAAATGTAAAAAAATAACGATGGTGAGTGTTGCGGCATCCGGAAACAGACCCACAACTTCAACACAACGCCCGCCCGCGACAGAATCGATGTCTGTATACAACAGAACCTTCAAACTGCTACTTATTCAGCGCATAGACGCCAAAAATGTAACGGTTTTAGACGGTTACCAGTTTTTTGGTACGTTAGGGCTATACCCTAGAACTCACCACCTAGAAGAACCATAAACCGCATTGTATTTTTAGATGTTAGAGCCATTTTTTGTAAAATATCGGTACTTCAATCAATAAACCATCCTGTTTTTAAATAAATGAAGATATTAAGCAAGCAAATTAACTAAGTCAACAAAATAAATTTTGACAACTATTTGGCATATTGCATACTAAGCTAAATTTCGTCCAATCCTGAATTTCCCGCGCATTATCGCATCTAGCAGCGAATTGGTGTCGAGAGGATGCGTGTTTCGACTTGTGCACTCGCCTTTTACTCGAGAGGTTGCCGTATGTGGTAGTTTCTCATGCTCATTTTGAATCTATTAATGGCAGTGGCCCTCATATCATAGGCCATCCACGGACTTCCGAAACGTGAGAACTGGCAACAAGTTTTTACCGAGAAAAGGGGCATCTCAGGTTCAGAAAGAGCCCATTTAAATACCTAAGCCTAGTGGAGAGCCTGTCGCAGATCCCACAAGCTGTATCTTGTACCATGGAAGACCCAAAGTTTTTGTAAGGAAGGGGTGGAGGCGACACAGCTTGATAAAGAGCTCCGGGTGAAAAGGCACTCCGGCGGGCCCTCATTGCCCTTACGGGCCCCAATCGGCATCTGATGGACATTTGCGGGCTAGGATGTCTTGATATAGCCTCTGGCCAACTATTCGGACCCCCTTGTCGGGACCTTGATCGCCGGTCCCCAGGAGCCCTAAAGGCTGTCTGGACCAAAGGGGAGGCATATGTGCCCCTGGTGCCCCCTCCCCCCTCCTTCCGGCCTGCGCCCCGCCTTCAACTTATGATGGGCCTGTCCGAAGTCTGAAAAGAGCCCATTCCATGATAGGAAACGCGCATGTAAGTTAAGGCCTGGAAAGGACCCACTTCTAATCAGGAGAGGCCCATCTTGGACTCGTCTTCGAAAGGACCCGTCTTCGGTTGGAAAGGGCCTATGGTGGGTTCGATCAAAAAGGGTCCTCTCAGGTCTGGAAGGGGCCTCAGTCACGGGTGTTGATTTATATCCTTTTGTGAGGGTCCCGGCCCCCAATGTTGAGTTGCCCATCCCCCCCCCCCTTCAGTGTTGGCTAGAGCCCCCCATTGTTTGTGACTGGAATGCTACAAAAAACGTAGGTGAAAGATGACCACAACAAAGACTATCTTATTATCTTTCTGCCTAGTGGCGTCTCGTACTACTCTCATAATACAAAGCCACGGCTGCTCTCAACACCAGATACAAATCGTAACAGCTGAGGAGATATACGATGCAGTAAACTTCACATACTTAGGGTCATAGAGCACGCATTGGTTTGCAAGGGTAAAGTGATAAGCTCTGGAATATGGGATGACTTAAGCCCTTAATGACTAACCCCGTCCTCGTCCCCCACAAACAAAATGCGTGCCGCCTCCCATGACCGTCACAGAAGAGCGCCATCGGCGTCCTAAGGTGGCCTCTAAAGGAGCGCCTCCATGTGCCGATCAGGAGAGACACGTGCATCCAGTGCCTGCTCCCTGGATCCACCACTGAATGACTACTATGCTGCTTAAGTTAAAGACTTCATAAAGCATGCAAAGACTAAAAGCATATATTACCTTTAATCACAGTTAAGTGGGCTAAATCTGGCGAGAATAAATGGGGGTGGTATGGTAGGTTGTTGGGCCTTCGGTTCGGTCCCCCCAATAATTTACAAAAATTGACACCCCTGGCCTTTGTAGACCCAAGTGGCCCTCATTAATTAGGAGACTATAGATTTTAGGCTTATGAAATAAGTATCTCACGTGACAAAAAGGCACTTCTCATCTTTTATGCCTGGGATGGGCCCACACCCCGGTAAATTCAGGAATGGCCCACGTTAGGTCTGGTAAATGCAATTTTTCATGCCCAGAAACGGCATAGGTTAACACGCGCCCGGGTGGCCGGCCAGATACCCTTCGCTCGGGTGGCGGGGTCAGTTTGACCCCCCCCCCCCTAAGATCTCGGAAACTAAGAAAGCTGGAGACACCAAATTTTCAGGGTGTGTTGACCTGTACGTGAGCTCACTTAGGTCAAGATTTGAGGTGACTTGGTCATGATGTTCGGGTCAAATAAGGTCAAATAAGGTCAAATTTCAGGTTGGTCTCCAAAGAGCCCCCAGAACCTAGGCAACTGTTTCTAAGCAAAAGATCGCAAGCGCATTTAAGGTCAGTGACCTTGCTTGACTTTTTGAAGGTCATTGTGACCAAAATCATACAAGACTGTCCCGTGTTTTGCATTTGAATAAGGGACAAAATTACGCCTGGCAGTATGTTCTTTAAAAAATGTCGACCTAGGTCATGTTAGACCAATGACCTATCATGACCTCTAAGAAGTCAAATGAAGATGTATGATGCGGTTCCTGCTATCGATGAATTCAAAATGAGCACTGGAAAATGCCCCATACAGCAAGCCCTAGAGCAGTAAGACAGGTTGGTTTTGACCCTGGTGACCTTCTGACCTGACTTTACCTGACCTGACCTTCGAACTGACCTTCATACCTGACCTTGGGTCAACTTAATTTGCTCATTCAATGCTTGTGTTGCGTAATAAAGCGTCTCAAGGATGTATAGCTTCGTCAAACACTCCGTTGTTGCATCAGATTGAACGATTCCCTAGAAATTGGCTTTGCTGAGGCCATGGCCTGACTTTGACCTGACATAGGCTAGTGACCTTACAAATACATCTATTTTTTACACCAAACGATCTGCTACATCAGTTGTTAACATCTACGCAAAATTTGGCGCGGCTATGCCGCGACGTTCGGAAACCATCCTGGAAAAACCTTCGGGGGATCAATTTGACCCCCACCCCCACGCGAGCGCGTGTTAAGTCCGCGAAAGACCAATACTTGCTCTTAGACCTAAGAACATTTCCCCAGAGGCTTTTGCAGACCTGGGAGGGGCGCTCTCATCTTAGGCCCAGAATGGGCTGTCACTTATGGGGAGAGAACCCATGTTGGCATACCAACCTGCAGAACGCACCGGTAGCATGGCCGTATTTTTTTCTACCGCCCATATTTTGAAGATTTGGTTGCATTTGAAGGCTTTAGAATCGGCTTCTGCTTCTGAAACAGAAGTGCAAGCAGAGGGGGGAAGGGGGGGGGGGGCACAGGATGCAGATGCGCTCCAAGGCTCCTCGGGAACTGCGATTAAGGGCCCAAGAGGCCGGCCGGACGTTGTATTCAGGGGCCTCGGCGTGCAGAGCCGAGCACTCCAACGCCAGCGAAAGGGTCTGCGCGCTGATATAGGTCCCTGTGTCGAAAAGGGCCTATGTGTCGGTGAGACACTGGGCGCGCGGCGCTGTCTTCGGCGACGAAAGAGAAAGGTGGCAGCAGTTACCCTGTAGTTTTCTTCAGTTGACAACCCGAGCCCCCGAGCAGTGCGACAGAAGCGTAATCACCCGCACCCCAGGACTCGGGCTGCCAACCGGCTGGGTGCGGCCGAGTGGCCGGGACTAGCACTGCTGCGCTGGTTGTGCTGGTCCGGTTTGAAACATCGGTGCCGGCATTGCGGTGATGCCGGCCTGGACTGACAGACAGGGAAACGAGTCCAGAGGGGGACGGAGCACGAAGAATAAAGAATACTGCGTTGTCTGGTTGCACAAAATATATTATCATCGACATTTGGTTGAGTTTTTTTGTTTTTGCTTGTTTTTAGGCGTTTTGGCCGGTTAGGACTATTCCACGCCTTTAAAGGGTCTATTTCAACCCGAACTTACATGTGTTTTGAAAAAAGAAAAAAACGCTTCATCTTATCCTTTCACAATAATTTAAGCATTTCGGCACGTCTAAGGGAATTGAATAAAGGGTCAAGAAGATGTGGATGGTCATTACCTAGGAGGACCTCTAACGATAATGCAACGTTGTGGTGACAGTATGTTTCCGGTGTCTTCCGCTGGTGTTGAAATCTGTCATATTTAAGCAAAATATGCTTAACCGAAGGGGACGATCACACTTATGACATAGGGGCGCGGGTGTTTTAAATATAAATAGGTGTAAGCTTTGTGTGTCCGATTCGAAGACGTGCTAATACTTTTTCTCCCAAACGGTCTGGACGATTTACCGACGGCCAAGGTGCAATTTCCGGTTTAATGCCGTGAAGCTGTTTCCTGATGGTTTCTGTTCATTGTCGTTGCCAAACTTGTTTTGCTAAAGTGTGAATGACCGTTTTTATTGAAGTATGGTCAACAGGAACTGGTGTTATATCAGGGGATGCCAATGCTTCCTTAGCCAGTTGGTTGGCCCTCTTATTTCCTGTGATACCCCGGTGGCCTGGCACCCACAAAAATGCGATGTCTATGTCTTGTGTGCATAAAGAATGACAAATGTTTATCATGCGAACAACGAGGTGGTGGGTGAGGTCGGGGTTATTAAGTGACAAAAGGTTCACCCTAGAATCCGAGCAAATTACTACGGGCCTGGTCTTATAATTTTGTCGTTCGATATGTTATAAAGAAATAAGTAAGGCAAACAGTTCTGCGAGATATATGGTTGTTCCATCGGGTAACCTACATTTTTGTGAGTAGCGGCTGGTAGAGTATCACGCATCCGGTGTGGTTTTCAGCCATGGGGCCATCGGTATATATAAAGCGAAAGTGTGGATACTTTGCGATCATACGATCGAATTTTTGTTGTACATAAGCTGTTCTGCCGGTGCGGTTAGAATCAGTAAAAAGAAACATAACTTTGCGAGGTGCCAGTTGCCAAGGGGCTGCTACTAAGTCAGGTGGCACAGAGGTTCGCGGAAGGACGTAATTTAAACTATGGCAAAACAAAACAGTGATACGTGATACAATTGTAAGGCCCGAGCGACGCTCTGCTGGTCCTAAGTGTGTATGGTGGATAGATGCGGCAATAGATGTGTGGAGGCAAATGTTGGGTGACTTGGATTTTGTCTCATCTTTGTGACATATCTTGTAGTGTGCTCAATATGTCAATAATAGGAAGAACCAACAAATATATAATAACAATGACGTATGCCGGTCAGCACCGCACCTCGATCAAGGGATGTACCTAGAATTCAAACGTGTGACCCATTCGGTGCGGACCTGCTCAACGCGCTTGGACATGGACAACCTCGGGTCGAGAACGATGCCCAGCAATCTGAACGATGAAACAAAAGGAATATTGCGCTAGCACGAGAGAATATGCCGGTGTATCTCGTCGTCTTTTACTGAAAATCATAACGGCTGATTTTTGAGCGAAAAAATAGGGACTATAACGTATTGACCATTGTTGTAACTTGTGAAGGGCGTTTTGGGGGCGTGGCAATGAGTGATCATATTCTTCATCTGAGCACCAAATCGCTGTTATCCGCAAAAAGTGACGAGGATATGCTTGACAGGAGATCATCAAAGAAATCATAAATCATCTGCCGTCATTTTTCAATCAGGAGTAAGACCAGAGGTCACGATTTGCACTGGTTTGAATCCCTGAAACATTGGCTGGAGCCGCTTTGTCAGTCAGGGACTCACAGTGCATAACCGGGGGACATGTCTCGGCTGGTGGCCCCTAGTTGGTCACATATTTTATTTGAAGACAGGCTGGAGGTCCTCTGGAGACCAAAGATCAATGGCTGGATTGGACTCGGCGCCCGGAAATGAGTAAGGGGTCCAATTAGTGTTGGAAAGAGTGGGTCAAAATGAGTTCAAAAACGAACGGTGTCATCCCATGTTTGGTTGAGAACAGTCAAACAAGCTTTGAGATACGGCCAGTGAAAAAAATTATCACAAAGTTTGAGCCTGCAAGCCCGCATTCCCGGAAGCAAGGACGGCGATACCCTGGGTTGTAGTTTGCGTAAAGCCGAGCAGGCGTTGGCCGCTGCAAGTGACGCGAGGCGGCGGGTGCGGCACGCGCGAGAGTGACCGTCGTTGAATGACACTTCCGACTACCTCAGAAAACTATTTCGTTTTTTTCAGAGGTTAGGCTGGACGTGTCCTTTTTTTACGACTTTGCCGTTGTCTTTTCTACAGCTAGAGATCTACAGTAGGATGAAAATAGGAATTTTGCCTTTATTCTCCCAGTCCTACCACCAGATTCCAGCACCACTTCGGGGTACTGTGTGATGCCCAATCTGCTCAATTCATCAATTTAAAAATCGCACAAGTGAAACGGACGCTCGGCTACGTTCTCGGCTACCAGTCTGCTTTTTTGCACTCTGGTCCCAGGCCACGTGCCACCGCGGCGCAAAGCATAACGTACGACACGCACAAACACGCACGACCCGCTGTAGCAACGGAAACTCTCGTACTGGTGGACAACATTGAGTGCTCATCTCCCCTCCCCAGACATTTTGGAAAATTTTGCCCTTAACTTAAAGCGATCGTGCAAGGAAACAAACGACTCAGAGTGGCTGGTAGCTCCTGAGCCTTCTTCCCTCCCTCAGTGTTTGACAACCTCCCTCACTCCTGCGACAAGCGCTGCCCGTTTATTTTTAAGATAACGGTTGTCCTTGACGGGCGGTCTGAACGCCCGCCGTAAATACTTGCGCCTCGCACTCCTGTCTGCTCCTGGGACGTCGCCCAAAGGCAGTACCGCTTCCGCCCTTCTACGTCTCGGCGGGCAGCTGTTTCGAGGTCGCGGCCACAAGTGACGTAGGTGGGTTGTCTCGGGTGCGTCCCCGTTAGTAACCAATCAGATAGTCGCTCGATCGGTTAGCTTGGACTCCCATTGGCAGAGCGGCATGGTTCGACGAAACGGCGACGAATTACGTTTGTTTTACAACTACGATGCTGAGAGTGGGGTCGCGGTGGAACCCAGGGTCGCGGACCATCAACCGGGAAGGCGCTGCAGTCATAACAGAGGGCGCGGGTGGGCGGGAGGTGGAGCCTGGAGGTGTGAAACGGCAGCTGGGATAGGTGACGTGCAGGTGGCGTAGGTGAGGGTCTGACGTTTTACGAAAATGGATGGAATGTATGTGAGATTTTCTTAAGGATAAGTAAGTTTTTTTTTCGTCAGGCGTGCCATTGTTGCGGTTTGTTTCGCCCGTCTTGTGTGCTGCGAACTTTGAAAAGGAGCAAGGTGGAAGTCGGTTGCAAATGGGCTCAAACTTTTGGGTTAAGTATTGTCCAGAAAGTATGTTAATAATCAGATAAGTTGCCATCAGGGAGTGACCTAGCTATTTCTCTTAGTGAATTGTTTACTGTAGTCTGCCAATAAATACCTAAGTGCTGACATCAATTGAGGTGGGTAGGTAGGTATGTAGGTGCCCTCCATTAACAAAGCAACCAGGTCTATATGACAATGCCTCTCACAATGTGCATGCATACACTGCATTCAGTTCCATTTGAACTGCATTGCCTGCTTGTTGTATACAGGTTGCATGCTCAAACCCATCACTTGCTGATAAAATGTTCTCGAATTAAGAAATTATTGACATTACAGACCTTTTAGTCTCCTGCGTAGCAGTCCTGCAGTTTCCCTGGGTGTCAAAATGATATGCTTTTTTACTAATGGGTCAGGGGTGTGGTCAAGTGGTCTAGATCCCTCCTCTCCCCTGAGCTTAGAGGTTTATATTATAAGGTAGGCAGTGCTGCATGGATTGGGTCCAAAGTAGATGTCTGTACATTTTTACAAGTTTTACAAGTTACATTTACAAGTTTTACATTACTTTACAGACAATCTTTGGTTGCAGGTTTATAATTGCCAGTGAATAGCAGTGCTCATGGCCTGTAGGCCATGTCTGTCAATGACAAAGAGCACTCAGACTCACTCCACCAGCTGCAGGTGGATGTTGGGTGGATCCAAAGGCAGATGCTCAATCCAGCTGGGCTATGAGGACTGCATGTGCACCTATAAATAACAGGCAGGGCATAGATGTATAATGGATTAATGGGGTACCACTCCATCCAATACAAACATGCTTGGCCATGGATAGTGCAGGAAGTATATTTTGGGGATATGTATGCATGTTAAGTGGGCAATCTAACCCAAATTATTAGGATATTGTGCATGGTTTTTATTAAACTTAACAACCACAAGGTGAATAATGGGAGGGTCATTGCTGATACATTTAGAATGTCCTACACACTATACAGTGCATTATTTTTCCAAGAGTTTTCATGATGTACATGATGGAGTGGTGTTTGCACAATCCTGTTCAAAAATATTTTCAAAATTCAGTTGATGCATTAGCTGTGGGCTTGCTTGGCAGGAAAATTATGTGGTAGACATGCAAGGTAGTGAAAAAAACACCAGCAACTAACTGAAAAGGAGCAGGGCAACTAGTATATAAAATGTCAATTTAGCTCATATGTTTCAGTTTGCCTACTTGATTTTTTCTTTGATATCAGTAAATGTAGTCCCATGATTTTTCGATAAAGCAGTCTGCTTTTTTGGCAGCATTTTGTTTCATCTGTGAGTGATGGTGATAAACAACCTGCTGCCATTCAGTCTGAAATTTGGCTGCATTCTCGAGAAAACGTGCAGATAGGTTCAGCCTAGTGCCAAAGCAATCATATGATAACCATTTCAATGCCTGAAATTGTGTGAAGACTACAGGTAAGGTCACCCTGTCTGCTCAGAAATATAGAATGGAAAGAAAGGGCCTTCTGGAGCACATGGAAACATTTCCTCATAGGAGAAAACATAAGCTCATGTTCTGAATCACATTCACAGCAAAAGTGGTTTCATGCCCATCTAAGTAAAATATTATTGTAGATCACTTCATTTGATTATACTCTCTGTAGTGGTCATTAGCACACAAAAAGGACTTGTGCACTTCTACATGGTCCATATGTGCTGATTCTGAGCCCAAAGGCGGCAGTGCATCCAGAGGGAAAGGGAGACTCATGGCATCATGTCTCCCTTGTCTTGGGGGTGGCCAGACACAGCTGGGACCAAGGGCCTGGTTAGTTTTCAGCAGCTTAAAACTCTGACATTGCTTCATCAGCATAGCAGCTGGCTGTCAAGGCAATAAAACATGATCCATACCATTGAAGGTCTCTCTGTGAAAATGGAGACCTTACAAGTTGCAGGCAAGAAATCTGGCCCCTTCAGTTAAAAAGGTCCCTTATGCTGTGATTTTGCCACCTGGGCAAGTGGTCATGTTAGTGCTCAACAGTACTGTTTGTTGTCAACATTCAGCAGAAGAACTGTCCTAAAACAGGCCCAAAAACCTTTGGAGATGACACCATGGTTTGATGACCTGACATGACTGTGGTTGGTAGTTTTGCAAAACATGCTTACTGAATGCATCATCAACAAAGACAAGTTTCATGGCATTGCCATTTGCCATCTCGTCAGGGGTAGTTAACTATTCAGTTGGGGAGGGAAGGGAAAGGCTTCAGTCCCCCAACATTGATTCCGGGGGTCCAGCCCTTTAACATCGAGAAAAAAGTGGGCCAAATCCGGAGAGAAGTCTCTCTTTTAGCGCATTTTGGGGTGGATATTGCCATTCTCCACGCCACCCACACTCATTGGACAAAACTACCCTCCTGCGGCTAGCCTAAATCAGGCGCTTGTGGTGAGCCGTCACCGTCTCGCGGGAGGGATATCCAGAGCGCTGCTTGTTGCGAAAGAAGGAAGGGGGACCTGGGGCCTGAATCTAAAGAAATTTGCAACCAGGGAACCGAGAGGTATGATGCTATTAGAAGCCTGGCACCTCGTTAGACTCTGCGTGGTACAGTAAACGGTAACGGCAGCGCGGTAGGCTTAACCCATGGGATGGTATATTTATTACGGACGTTCTCCACAACAAACATACACGAACATGTCGGGGCAAAGGGCCATGGTATTATCTCTGGAAGTTTGCGGATTCATTTCACGACAGTCCTTCGACGTATGTTGGCAGCGAATGACGCTGGGCTGCAGCGTGGCCAGGATTTCGCCCAGGAGGTAGGCAAATCGTGACATAGGGTATCGTTTCAGTTGAGGGACCCAACGTCCCCGCTGTAAGGGCCCTGCTTTTGGACTCTGGGACCTCGAAAGGATTTGGATTTCACTAGAGTGTTTCAAGGACCCGTTTTTATGTTATAATAATAGCCTTCGGGCGGCTTAAACTGCTGCAAAATACAGAAACCTTCGGCCCCAGTTAGGCCCCCACCACCACGCGGGTGAGGACCCACCTGGCAGACATGGTCTCAAAGCCCCCCCCCCCCTGCCTCAGAAACCTTCGGCCCCAGTTAGGCCCCCACCACCACGTGGGCGAGGACCCACTTGGCGGACATGATCTCAAAGCCTCCCCCCCCGCCCGAGGCGGTGCTGTTGGCGTGGAATCTGCGTACAGAGACAGTTTATACATGTACAGGCCATTTTTGGTACGCCAACGAATATTGCAGACAGTGCATATCAAGCATTTGACCTATATCAGTTATCTTTTTATGTTAGGTGGATACCAGATCTCTTGCAGCGAACCTGATTCAGAACACGTCTTAGTGTTTTCCCCTTTAACTCAAAGTATTCCCAGACCCGTTGCCCCATATATATTTTTTTTGGCTCCATAGCTCAGGAGATATGACAACCTGGCATGTAGGGTCATGGAGCGATTTGACACGTTTATATCGATCATCGCTAGATTTCTTAGGCGTGATGCTGTTCTAATTTACGCCGTTTTTTGTGCATTAGGCAACTTTGGGGCCAAACAGCGGTGGATTGCTTACCATGATCGCGCTGGGCATAACGAAACGCTGCGGAGTGGAAGCAGACTGCTTTGTAGCCAAAATACTGGGACTCAGGCCATAGATCGGAGGGAAAACTTTCAAATACACGAATTCGAACAGCACCGTCCTATCCGGGTTTCATGCTTCAGTGACCATTTTAGTTTCTTACGCCGCCCTGTATATCTACTAGACAAGTTTCGTTGCCTCCTAGGCGGGCCGACAGAGAAGGCCTTACCCGATTATTGTAGCTTTTAGGAGGATGTGATTTGCACAAGTCACCTCGATAACCGTTTTTCTTACTTCGGACTCCCCGGTCGCGGTCGCTGCGATGTCATTCATGCGTTTTAACGCATGCAACGATAGCAGGTGGCTGGACATTAATATGAAAGGAACGGCCTAACACCTGGGTTGTACGCCTTCTTGGGATTGAACCTTACCAGTGTCTGCTTATCCGGGTGGGGAAGGGGGGGGGGGGGGGCGGCGGGCATACTGCTCCCCACCACCGTTGCGGTGGAGAAGAACCATCCATTTGCCCCTCCCCCGCCCTTCATAACTTGAGGGGCCCACAGTAGGCCAATGGATCTGTGAGGATAATAATTATCCTAATGAACCGGCACTGCTTAAATAAGTGTAGAGGACCCATCCCCTCTCTACAAAAGGGTCCATCTTTAGATTCCTATTTGCTCATATTTTTGAACGATTTTCAGTACCCTAGTGATAAGGGGCCTCTGGTGCAGCTCATGTTGAGATGGCTTAAGCAAACGTTCGGATGTAATGAATGGCTTACATTACATTACGTTCATTGCAACGGTTAAGGCTGTGTGTCTCTTCTTAGACTTCTGAGGACATCACTGATGTTTTTTCCTCTATAAATCAACTCAGTATACATAGTTCTGCCCGAGGGCCAACCCCTCGCCAGAATCGGCCCAGCACATTTCAAAATCTCAGCGTGGTGACCTAATGACTTCCCCACAATTTAGGTACGATTTTCCATGTGAAAATTGGTGCTTAGATTTCGTTATGATTTAGTGCTCTTCATTATTTGTGTCGGCCCGACCTTCTCATTCTCTTTTGCACCATCCTGCATCCTCACGACGCCCCGCTTGTTCGCGGTAGACTCCATGCGCTAGCCACAAGTGGGCGGAGAGGCCCCTGGAAGTGGCCTCGACCGGGCGCCCAGCGCATACCCCGCAGAGGGGTCCTTGCGCGGTCTAAAGCCTGACGGCTGCCTCCCCCCCCCCCCCTCAGGTGCATGCAGTCCTGCCCCACCGTTACCCAGTCTCCTTCATCCCAAAGCATTGAAATGATCATGGCTAGTGGAAAGAGCTCTGATTCAAATAACCAAATAACCGCATCTTGGTATCATTTTATTATTCCAGAAGCGCAAGTGTTTTACAAATGCGGAAGGTTACCCGGAAATATAACTATTTATCTGTCTAAATTTGAACTTTTTTGTTTGTTTGTTTTTTTGGTTTGAATTGAATTTGTTTGAAATATGTCAAAATATTCTTAGGTCTCTGTTTCGTAAATCCAGTAGATTTAGGTTCGAATGGCGATGGCTGCCGACCACACAATCGTCTGACGTGCAGTTATATATCAGGGCGCAAGACGACATAATACGCATATCAATATAATTACACCATAATGGAGATATCAGATAAGGTTAACCGTCAAGAGATAACAAGGACATCAATTTTAATTATCTTTCGGTCCAAACTACGCTGTCATCGCTTTCTAACTGCACTTCACTTCTTCCCTACAGTTCTCGCGACCGCCATCGTCATGACAACCGCAGTGGCACATCTACTGGTGCGAATAAAAGGACCTTCGTGATCGGCTCAGCCGGCATCAAGGGACTGTTGCCGAGAAGCGCATCGGTTGAAATTTGAATCAGTGCGTCACTTTGGACCATGTGATGATACTCCTATTCCCTAGGCCAAAGAGCACATCGAAAAGAGCCACTTTGTTCAACGCCATAGGGGAGAAATCAAAGCCATAGTGCAGAGTGTCGTTAAAGTCACACGATAATAGCTTCTTGCTCGCTTGTCTTTCCTGCTGGAAGAGCGTTTCAAGCTTCTGTAGCAGTAATTACACAAATGTTTTGACGAATTAGTGTGTTGCAAGCATTAAATAATACACGTTGGAAAAAGGAATATTACTTTCATAGTGGTGAGCGGGGATTTCGGTGAGATTTCTTTCTCAGGAGCGGCTACTTAAAATGGAAGTCCTGAGTTACTCGAAAGTTTTCAAGAAATTTGATATCTGTTAAAACTGGTATTTAGTCACCCAGGCATCCGTGATGCCATGATAATGTCATTCAGATCCCGCCATTCCGTTGGCTATGCGTCGATCAAGGTCAATAAAGGTGTAATTGTCGAATCGCTCATATCTTGCGTTTGTGAGCACAATTTCCAGATCTTGTTGCTTATTCATTGTTGTGCAAGGCATGATGACACCATCAGATGATGACATATTGAGGAGCATACTGCTAGATAGATAAATTGCGTTGTCTAGAGCAGGCTTTTCAATTTAATGACAGTACCAAAAGTTATAACTGAGCTTGTTCCATATTTGGTGCTCATTAGAAATTTTGAAATGTGGAACACTCCCTTTAGCTTGCGATCTCACTCGCAATTAAGTATGTGCTCCATTTTCCACTCTTGCTTGGCAGCAAAGTAACTTGGACCGCTTCTGTATGATGATGAATGTGTCTTGTTTCAGACAGTCCTCATTCACAAGGATGTCTTCCGGGTCCCAGCTGAGGAACACCTCTCTTCATCTGCGTTTAACTCAAGTCTTTAGGGATCTAGTTCAAAAAGCTATAGGAGAAGCACAGGCTTCCAATCATATACAAAGAGTCACGGATGATGTGAAGGGTTTGTCATCTTCATCATTATCCTCAGCCGTTAGTAGTCAGGAAAATAAAGACAATCTTTCTGTGGAGTCACCAACGCCTCCAGTGGAATCCCAAGAAGCTCCGAACTCGACCAAATCATGGCAAACATACATGAAACTGATGAAACCAAGTGATAAACCCGAACCGTCAGCTGTTCCAAAGTGGAAGCTTGAAGTGGCTTCTGCCAGGGTAAGCATGTGGTAGTTTGTTCCTGTGCTTGCCCGTGTGAAACGAACTAATTGATACTTCATACATTATTGTTAAACTTTTATCCAATTAACAAGCGTCGCTCAGTTCTTTGTCGTCAGCGAACTAGGATAGATAAAACATCTTGTCCCGCACCTGTGGCTCATAAGACGTGGTTACCAACGCGGCGGACGCGGCCTGGCGCAGTCCTTACGCGAGCGCCTCCGGCAGGGCGGCATTGACGCGCGCACCCGCCACCTTGTGGACATGGTGCGCTCAGCCCAGACGGACATGTCGCGCTCGCGGCGCGTGGAGGACCTGATCCGCCACCTGCGGCAGTACCCCGAGTCCTCCAATCTGGCCTTCATGGTGAGCATCGCCGTACTGTGGCCACTTCGCTTTCGGTTTGCGAGCATTTCGCAGTTTGGAGCAACACACGAGCGAGTAAGTCGTGAGCCTACATTCACACTTCCTGAGCTTTGCGAACTGGATCTCCTCAGCCATGGGTTGTTGGGATTTATCGCGTAATAGCATAGCCAAAGTTGCCAGGTCTGGGTATGGAAGTCCGAGTCTCGTCGGGTTTGCTGGCATCTTGCCAGTTCAGGAAGGTGTTGCCAGACTGGTGCCTTGTTGGTTAGCAATTCTTAATGGTGTACATGCAGATCAGAATAATGTGCTACTCGTAATTGACCTGCAATTGGCGGCTATGCAGGCCTTCGGCCACCGTGTGCGGACTTGTGAACCTTGGACACCGTGAACACACCGCGATCGTCACCTCCGTGCTGCTCCGTCTGCTGTTTCCTGCTTCAAGGGGATCGCTGACACGTCGCATCTCAGTGGATCGGAGGCTCCAAGTCCTGGTTTTTGGTCACACTAACGGATCGTCCGACCGTGTCTTACCGCTTTAGGAGGGCGCCGTGTCATCCCTGCTGATGATGTCGGAGCGGACGAGTGACTCGGTGGTGCAGATGCAGCTGCGGGAGGCGCTGGCCATGCTTGGCCACGTGTGGCCCGTGCCGGGCCGCGGCATCCGCATCCTCAGCATAGACGGCGGTGGCATCAGGTGGGACAGCGCTGGCCGGCTTGACTGAGCCGGCTGCCCCCACCCCGCCAGGCTGCACACTGGGAGGGAGAGCGGGGTCGCCGACCCTCCAGCAGCTACGGGGCTCAGAGGAGGGGTGGCTCGACCCTCCTGGTGCACATTATCTGATGCCCGATGTTGGTTTCCAGCTTTCACTTCTCCCTCGTGAGGATGGGACCCTGGAACCTGGTTCCTGACAGTTCTCTCGTTAATTACATCCCCGGGCTCCTGGCTCATGTTGGCAGCTTGGTAAGCGTCAAACCCTGGCTCCTGGTTCTTGCATATTGATACACCATGTCAATTTGCACTGATTTTTGGCAATAATTCCGCCTAAGAACCTGACCTTCGCTGGTTCCCGGACTTTGTGCTTGATTGTGGCTATGGTTCGATCCTGGGTGCAATTCTAGGCAGGATCTTGGCTCTTGCTGGATCTCTGGCAATAGCCTAGGCTGGATTTCGGCATAGCTCGTGGCCAGGTATTAGCTCATAGTGGATCCGCGTGCATATCCAAAGCTGATCTTGTCTCCTATCGGACCTCTTGGTGTCGTGCCAAGTTTGATCCGGGTTTTTGCTGGTTCCCATAGCACAATACAGTGCTGAATCCTGGCTGTTGCTGGATCTCCAGCTAGATTCCAAGCTGGTTCCTGTCTTTCCTGGTATAAAAACCGGAAATCACGAACTGGCTCCCCGGAAGCAATCCTCGAAACTAAGCGCGTCTCTGTTCCTGGAACAGGTGCCACCACGGAAGCAACAAAATAGGGGCGGAATTATTGGTATTGCTTAAGTTTCGTGTGCCGTGTCAAAGGCGCGATCCGTCCTGGGAGGTACGGTGATGTTTGGTGTGGCATCATGACCAACTCGGACTTCAGACCGCTGCTGGATATTTGCACCACCCTGTCGGTCAGGGGCAGTCTCATGCGAGGATCACACCAAATTATGAGGTGTAATGCCATGAAGTGGACTTATACAGATCGTACCCAATCGGCTTTTTACTATTGACTTGATTTATTTTCTGTGGGAGCTGCACTTTGCTACGCCCACGTATAAGATATATATAAAATGTACCATACGCATTTCCTATGACTGTAACACCAGCAGTTAAATAATTTGATGCGAAGTCATCTGTCGAGTTAGGTGGTGTGAGTTTGTTGATTCCGTTAGGATTGACCAGAGCTACGGCTTGTTGCCTGATTTTTGGGACCCGGCGATTAGTTCCAGAGATAACAGGGATCAAATATTGTACCCCGTCCCCCGGCGGTCTCCTGTGGCCACATGGCCCAGGCGGTGCCGGGTGAACCTAACCAGCGTGTGGCCGACTGGAACGGAGCACAGATGAGGGACCGCTCGCCGACTGGCTGCCGGGCCTGTGCGTCTGACAGCGCGTCCCGCCCGGCAGGGGGATCCTGGCCATCGAGCTGCTGCGCGAACTGGAGCGGCTCAGTGGTCAGCCCATCTACCAGATGTTCGACCTGATCTGCGGCGTCAGCACCGGCGCCCTGCTGGCCGCCCTGCTCGGTAAGATGGCCAGCCCCGGTGGTGTCGCCCCGCGCCTTCGCCACGCTGCGTCACGCACGGCCAGGTCTCGCGTCGCCTGACGCGGCCGAGGCGCGAGCGGTCCCAACCGGTCTGATGACGCTGCACACGTGTATCGTCTGTGTATTTGCAATTATGGTTAAATCGGCCGCACTGGCAGGCTGTCCGGTGTACGTGATCTGGTAAACACCGGGATTGCGCGGCGCCGCGGTGTGTGTCGCGGCACAGACCACTGGGTGCCCCCTCCCCCTCTCCACTCCCACCACTTGCTCCCTGCCCCACGCCACCATCGACCCCGGTGTGTATGTGGCGCCACAGACCACTGGGTGCCCCTTCGTGCTCCCGCACCCTGCCCCGCTGACGCCGCGGTGTGCGTCGCGTCACAGACTACTGAGTGCCACCTTGTGCCCCCGCTCCCCGCCCTGCTCCGTCATTGACGCCGCGGTGTGTGCCGTGTCACAGACCACTGGGTGCCCCGCGTGCTCCCGCTCCCTGCCCCGCCCCGTCACCGACGCCGCACCACCGGCAGGTCCGCTGAAGCGTTCGCTGGACGACGTCGAGGAGCTCTACACACGACTGGGCACCGAGGTGTTTCAGCAGACGCGCCTGCGGGGCACCACTAAGCTGCTCTGGCAGCACAGCTACTACGACACGGACGCGTGGCGTAACATCCTGCAGCGCCACCTGGGCGAGACGCGCCTGATCGCCCTCTCCCGCGACCCCGACGTGCCCAAGGCAGGTGCCGCGCTGGGACGTGCCGGCGTGGAAGCTCGGTCGAGCAGCGTATGGGCGGGCGTGCCCTCCGTGTCCGAGTGTTTCGGGAATCCTTCCACGGTTTGAGGGCGTCGCACGCAGCGCTGTCGCACGTGTCGGCTGGTAACGGGGCGGTGTGTGCACCAGATGGCGGCCGTCTCGACGCTGGTGAGCAGCGAGCAGCTGCAGGCTTTCATCTTCCGCAGCTACAACCACCCGCACCACGTGCAATCGCAGTACCAGGGTACGTGCGTGGGTGACTGCACGCAGCCACGCCCCGTGCACGCGCGCCCGGTGATGGACGGACTCCTTCAGGCTTTTGCGTACGGCTCTTTCTGCGGGCACCAGCCAACCTTATGTTTGGCAAGTCCCCCGCCACGTGATGCGCCAGGGTACGGCTCTTTCTGCGGGCACCAGCCAGCCTTATATCTGGCAAGTCCCCCGCCACGTGATGCGCCAGGGTACGGCTCTTTCTGCGGGCACCAGCCAGCCTTATATTTGGCAGGTCCCCCGCCACGTGATTCTGTTTGACAGCGTGCAGTCGGTGACGTGTTTCGAGTTTGTGGTTATCTGAGCTCTGGAAGGTCGTCTGCCGGGCTCTGGAGCACGTCGGAGTCGCCGAACCCTCCATTTAGGGTTGCTCGGAGCAGACTTGCTGTTCCAGGCGGCAGCCAGTACAAGATCTGGGAGGCGATCCAGGCGTCGGCCGCTGCACCGGGCTACTTCCAGGAGTGCCGAATCGGGGACATGCTGCACCAGGTGGGGCGCCCTGGAGGGTCAGCCGAGGCTGGTGCCAGTTGTAACTGGAAACAGACATGTCATCGCAAATGGTGCCCAAACATGTCGGAATTCGCAACACAACAGGGGTGGTGAACATGTTGAATGTTAGCTATATGTACTGTCAAGGCGGGTCTCTCGGATGATACGTAGCGGGTTATCCAAGCCGACCGTTCAGAGCGTTTTTTCCGGAGAACGTTCCGGCTCGGATCTGAAAATCCTGCCTGCCAAGCCCGTGACCCCACGTCGTAGGATCGAGTGAGCCCCATCGAACTGCCCTGAGAAAGCCGCGTGTTCCGCCCCCGCCGCTGCCGCCGTTGCGCTGCCCGCGCCAGCCTCCGACGTTCGCTACCGCGCCTCAGGACGGCGGCATCCTGGTGAACAACCCGGCAGCGATCGCGATCCACGAGGCGCGCCAGCTGTGGCCGCGCGAGCCGCTGCAGTGCGTCGTCTCGCTGGGCACCGGTCGGTTCGCGCCGAACTCGCTCAGCACGCTGCCGGTCGCCGCCAGTGCCGACTACACCTCCTGGGTCACCAAGATCAGGAAGTTCGTCGACAGCGCCACCGATACAGAGGGTGAGCGGTGCACGCGCGTTGTGGGGTGCCTCGCCGTGCTGGTGGTTGCATCTCCCCCTTCGCGGAACCCGGCACGAGATGTCGATGCCGAATGACCTGAGCTGTCGGACGCGTCGTCAGCCCCGATGTCGATACTGTACTGACGCGGGCGTGACATTGCCTGTCGCTGCCGTTAGGAACGTGTTTGAACCATTCTACTTCACGACTGTGTTGGGCATGATGCCAATCTAGTCTCCGAAGTGGCCACTAACGCCCGAAGTTCAACCACACGGCCATGTCGTTATCATTCTCACGCTGATCGATTCCACCATGGCGAGTGCGCTGTCCCTCCTGACTGGGCGTGGGCTCTGGCTTGGCGTGGTGCGCACCTGATTCCCGGTGTCGGGCCGTCTGTCTCCAGGCGTAAACACCATCCTGACGGAACTCCTGCCGACGCACACCTACTTCCGCCTGAACCCCTACCTCAGCCAGAGCGTGACGCTCGACGACAGCTGCCCGCTCAAGCTTGGCGCAGTTGAAGGAGGACGCGCGTATGTACGTGCGCAAGAACGGCTTCAAGCTGGGTAGGGCGGTGACCGAGCTTGGTCGCCAGCGGCGCCGCCACCAGCAGCTCGTCGACTGGGTGCAGCGCCGACGCGACACGTACGCCGTCTAGCCGGCGCCGCCTACGGCAGGGACCGCGGCCGGTGTCCAGCGGCCTCGCTGACGAGCGGGTGTGGTGAGCTCGCCGGCGGCGGCGCGGCACCGTCCGCGAAACGATACGCGGCGAACGGAAGGACCCCGACGAATTGCGGCCTGTCGGTTGTTGATGGCTGGTGGCTCGTGAAGTTTGTCAGGTTCTGAAAATGGAGTCGGCTCGGCTCTGCCGACTTGTACTCAGTACGGGTTCCCTTACAAGTACCGGCCACTGCGCTGAGCCTCACGGGCGACCGAACCTGTTGCGGTGGGCGCTGCTCCCCACATGATGATTGGGTGATTATTAATTGATTGGTGTCAAATCTTGACAGCGTCGCCGAGAAACCTTGCACGGGTTAGTCCTTTTGCCGTCGCATGATGTTTGCGAGGCTAGAGTTTTATCTCCTGCGTAGCTGCGGACGGTGCGTGGTCCTATCTCAAGGTTCGCTACGATCACATCACTCACAGAGCGTCGGGAGGGGTAGAACACGTATTTGCTTTTAGCTACCGCCAATGTCACTCTCAGGTTGCTTTAGCTTCTGTTAAGTTTGCTCTGGCTCCTCACTGCAAGTAGCAGCCAGTGACTTGCATGGGCGATCGCTGCGGTGATATGTGTGGAGCCCACGTGGTGTTCCTGTTCGGCAACTGAAATCAGCGGTGAGCGGCCCCGGGCGGTCTGTGCTGTGGTATGCATGTGTTGTGCTCTCATGATGTTCGTGTTAGGCGTCCTAGTCTCGTGTATGTGATGACTGACCAAGTACCTGAAATGCCTGAGAGGAAAAATGCAAAGCACGAAACAACACGTGTCTTAGGTGATATTTCAATCATCGGACCAGTCCGCCGCTCATGCCATCGACATTACTTCTTTCAAATTATCAACGTCGCGCTCGGCTTTTTATCGTGGGAAGACCTCGAGCATTTCGTTCCCGCTCATCAGCGCTCTCGCCGATGGAAAGTGCAGTGCTAACTGGCGCTCCCCATGGAAGCTGCTAGCCCGGTGCTGACCGGCACTCTCGATGGAAACTGTTCGCCCGGTGCTGACCGGCGCTCTCGATAGAAGCTGTTCGCCCGGTGCTGACCGGCACTCTCGATGGAGGCTGTTAGCTCTGTGCTGACCGGCGCTCCCGATGGAGGCTGTTAGCTCTGTGCTGACCGGCACTCCCGATGGAGGCTGTTAGCCCTGTGCTGACCGGCGCTCCCGATGGAGGTTGTTAGCTCTGTGCTGACCGGCGCTCCCGATGAAGGCTGTTCGCCCGGTGCTGACCGGCGCTCCTGATGGAGGCTGTTAGCTCTGTGCTGACCGGCGCTCCCGATGGAGGCTGTTAGCTCTGTGCTGACCGGCGCTCCCGATGGAGGCTGTTAGCTCTGTGCTGACCGGCGCTCCCGATGGAGGCTGTTAGCTCTGTGCTGACCGGCGCTCCCGATGGAGGCTGTTAGCTCTGTGCTGACCGGCGCTCCCGATGGAGGCTGTTAGCTCTGTGCTGACCGGCGCTCCCGATGGAGGCTGTTAGCTCAGTCCAGCACGTAGCGAAGTTCTGGCCGTGATCCGCGTTGGGACCTCGTGCGGGCGTCCGAGTGGACGTGGTGGGCACCATGCGGACGATTGTCGACTGGCGTGCGTCTCTCCCTCTTCAGGACCGGAGCAGACTCAAACAGACCAGATGTCGCATGGTGGGGCGTCCGTGGGGACAGTTCTGCAACGTAGGGGATTTGAAATTACCTACGTGAAGAATACGCATTTTTCTTGAATTCGGGACGGCTATGCCATAAAGACACGGCTCTGACAGTCTGCATCCAGTCTCCGCCCAGAGACTAATTTCAACCGTGCACGTATGTAGTGTGTCGAAGCCCCTCAGCTTCGGCATGTCTTAAGTATCATGGAGACCGAAATGGTTTTCAGCAGTTTGGAGTGAGCAGAAAAAATATACCAATGAACGGGACACCAAAATCGTCCCTGTCATCTCACATCGCAATACACCGCACCATAACCACATCAAATGTCATTGTCCAAACAGAGCGTTGAATTTTGCCTCTGCGTAAGCCTGTGGGTTTACTAGGAGTGTCCAGTACGTAGTGCCAAGCCATCTTTTAACCTCTTGTTCATGGGCTCCGGTTCTCTATTCGTGGTGTCCTTTACAGAGTTCATGTTTTTTTTCATTTGAAACATTCTTTTCGTGAAGTTCCAAAAAATGTTAATCGCCATAAACCATCATTTTTACAAAGTGCTGGACATCCGTTCTGTTCATTTGCGGCATAAAAACTTGTTCATGGAACACTGACTGCAATAAATCGCGGAAGTTTTTTGTGCCTGATCCACATAACACGCGCCAAAAAATGGCAATTTCACGGAATTCGGGCAACTGTTCGGATTGACTCGCGACACGCTGCAGATGAAAAACGCTACGCCGACCGGCACCAGCGCCACAACGTCGTCACTAGGGCCGCAGTGAATGCCTCGGACGTTCGAACTGAACAGGTAAACCTTGGCGCACTTATGGCGTCCAGCATACCTCAACTGAAATCATGCCGTCCACAGCTTCAACCAGGCTTCGTGCTTGAAAGCCAGTTAGATGAATCGCGTATATGTAATGTACATCGGTTGACCGGGGCGCACTTCTTGGTACAATGTAGGATAACTAGCTTCGCGCATCCCATGCAGGGCGCATTTTCGTAATGACATCCAGAGACCCTCCTAAACAAGGCAGCGCATTCAAGTAGCTACATCACTATTCATGCGATCTCGTGCACCTGCTCGGACCACACGCCACCCGTAACGTGACCAACCCTACGCACAGCGCACCGCGCGCGCGCGCGCGCGCGCACACGCACGCACGCACGCACGCACGCACGCACGCACGCACGCACGCACGCGCTGCGCCATACGGCGGCGCGACAAAGGACCGCGCCGCGGGTCTGCTCGCCCCGTGAGACACATGTCACTGCCCCGGCGGCTGACCCGGCCACCAGCCCCGTCGGCGCCGTCGGCTACTCACCCAGGGCTGCTCCATGTCAGCCATGTTGCGCACGAGGCGCGTCATGCCGGCCGGGGAGAGCGCCGTGCCGATCATCACGGAGGTGCGGCACGCGCGCGACGCCAGCACAGCGCGCACCCGGGACGGCCTGCGGGCGGGGACACCGGGCCGGTCATGGGCGCCTGCTGCCCAGACCAGGACCACTACATTGAAGACTATGCACGTTCCTGTGGCGCTTTCAGCGGCCCGTGACCGACCTGAATGGCGCGAGCAATACCAGTGACTGACGGGCACACAAGTCACGTGACATCCCCGTGCCTGACGGGCACACTAGTCATGTGCCATCTCCGTGACTGACGAGCACACTGGTCATGTGCCATCCCCGTGCCCGACGAGCACACTGGCCATGGGTCATCCCTGTGCCTGACGAGCACACAAGTCACGTGACATGCCCACGACTGACGAGCACCCTAGTCATGTGCCATCTCCGTGCCTGACGAGCACACTGGCCATGTGCCATCCCCGTGCCTGACGAGCACATTGGTCATGTGCCATCTCCGTGCCTGACGAGCACACTGGCCATGTGCCATCCCCGTGCCTGACGAGCACACTGGCCATGTGCCATCCCCGTGTCTGACGAGCACACTAGCCATGAGCCATCCACGTGCCTGACGAGCACACTGGTCATGTGCCATCCCCGTGCCTGACGAGCACACTGGCCATGGGCCATCCCCGTGCCTGACGAGCACACTGGTCATGTGCCATCCCCGTGCCTGACGAGCACACTGATCATGTGCCATCCCCGTGCCTGACGAGCACACTGGCCATGTGCCATCCCCGTGCCTGACGAGCACACTAGCCATGTGCCATCCCTGTTCCTGACGAGCACACTAGCCATGTGCCATCCCCGTGCCTGACGAGCACACTGGCCATGTGTCATCCCCGTGCCTGACGAGCACACTGGTCATGTGCCATCCCCGTACATGATGAGCACACAAGTCACGTGACATCCCCACGACTGACGAGCACATTGGTCATGTGCCATCCCCGTGACCGACACCAGGTCTGTGGGTGATACCCGCGGCTGACGTGAGGATGAGGTCCCGGCGAATGATCGCCTGTGGCTCACTTGAAAGGCCCCATGTGGCTAGCCTGAGCGCCGTTGGTGATGTCCTGAAGCTGACTAGCGCGCGCTGCTAGCCATCTAAATGCACCTGATTTGAGCACCGTTAGTGATCTGCACGGGTGACGCCGAGTTGGGCGGCCGGTGACGACCAGGGACGGACCTGATCGCGGTCAGCGGGCCCGGTGACTCCTGCACCAGCCAGATGAGCTCCTCCAGGTCGGCGCGGCCACAGACCACGCCCTGGACGGCCGGCGCCGCCAGCAGCCGCAGCCGGCGGCCGGGCGGCGCCGACTCGTCCACCGACACCTGGAAGCCGGCCTCGGCGAACGGCTCCGGTCGCGACAGCAGCGTCTCCTCGGAGACGGCCGGCAGCTCCAGCTCCTGCGGACTGCCGCGGCAGCACCGTCAGGCCACACACCTGGCTCTCGTGGACAACAGATCACACAGTGCAGGGAAGAGGTTCTGGCCCGTCTCGCAGCAGGTAACTTGATGCCTTAATTTGGGAATCAAAAGATCCCCGAAAAAGAAATCTCTAAGCCCCTGCACGTGTTAGCCCCGAGACAGGGAGATATTATATGCACGCTAAACTAGGATGACTTGAGATAATTCTAGCTTTAGGCTCGAAAATGGTGTTCCGAACATGAGCAAAGCCTTACACTCTCTCCACTCCCTCTGTTCGTCTTGACCTGCCCAACGCAGGACCGAAACAACCATGAGTTCCCAACCCACTCAAAACGGCTAAATTCGTTTTAGTCGCTCTCGTCTCCTCAATGACCTGCAAGAAACCCGCTAATGGCTGAGGTGATATTTATGACAGAAAGAAGACCAAGGTTCAACTGGGGCGTATGTGCATGGTAACATTGTATAACTGTTGGACTCCGACTTTTTTAATGATGCCATCCGAACCTTTTTCGAATGGATGGGTTTCTGGGATCAGAGCTCACGCTAAGCAGTGCTTTTTGTGCGAGTTCTGGCTCCTACCACCCGATCGCGCAATGCCAGGTCAACGACAGGATTTGGTGACGAGAGTTTAACGTGCCGCAATGCTCGGCACGGTCCGTCCTGCCCTCTGACGTCACCTGACCCTTAGCGTGGCCGCTGCTACCGGTCACCGACCATACGTAAGACAGACAAAGAGGGAGCGTTTAAAGCGACTCGAGCCCACCCCGGCCCGAGTGGGTGGATCAGACGGCAGGGGCTCTGACCAACTGAGCCACCGGGACGGACGGACGGACGACTCACACCACGAGCGGCTGCTTGGCCAGCGGCTGGCGACTCAGTCGCTCAAAGTTGAACTTCTCGTCGCTGGCGTGCTGGTCGATGAGGAACAGGTCCTCACCCAGCCGGGTCACCAGGAAGCCCAGGTTGAACTGGCCCAGCACCTCCATCTGGGATAATGACGGGCACTCACGACACGCACATATCCTACCCAGGTGACACGTGTATGACCAGAGACAGATATAACCCATCAGCACTAGACATATATGATCCATCATGCACTAGAACTGAAGCGGACATCGAGGAACATACCGCACCGAGTGGCTGAGATGTAAGTCACTTATCTAAGCTGGGACATCCAGCGCACATGGGACAATATCACAGCGCAGAACAAACTGTAAGTGGCATAATAGACATGAAGACAAAATACACACAAAACAAGCTTAATGGGAGCGTTTGATTCACCACGATACGCTTGTTCAGTAATGCACTCGGAAACGAAGAAGAATCGAAACCTCTCTTTTTTGAGAGCTAAGTCAATTGACAATGTAAAAACTTAAGATCACGATACATGCATGAACCTCAGATTACCAAGCCCAGTAACCAGGGCTTTTGTCTGGTGCAATACGCTCACGTTTAAAAACCACCACGGTTTTGACCACAGGCGCGCCAGATACATGGCATGTATATCCAAGACCTTCAGCTCTGCTCCCTTCCAAAAGACGAAACACGCTCACACAAATGCACCACGCATGCAGATACATTACTATAAAAGATATAACGATTGCCTCATCAAATTCAGCGTGAACTATCGCGGACAACAGCAATCTACCTACCTCTAAGAAGTCCTCCTTTTTTATCTGCAGCTTCAGCTCCTGTTCCGCCGCTGAATTTTCGGACGGTTGGATGGTGGCCCGAAACCGCCACTCCCGCCCGGCATCACCCGCCTCCGAACACGGTGTTTCCAACGTGGCTACCTGGCGCCTGAGCTCGTCCATGCTAAACGCCAAGCGGGTCCGTTTCCTGGCGTTAGCCATGGTGTCACCTTCCGACGAGTCGGTGATGACGGCCCCGGGTGAGCACGACACCCTCCCCCCGGCCGGAGGCAGCTGCCGTGGTGGCGAGCACATGTCACCGGAGCTCTGCGGGCCCGCGCGCACCGCCGCCCCCTCCAGTCCGCCGGGACTTCCGAGAACGTCGCTTCGGCGCGCCGCCGACGCCTCGCCCCCGCTCTCGCCAGCGCCGCCCCCTCGCCACCTGCGCCTGGCCGCGTGTCCCGTCCAGGCACGTCCGCGTGTCCCGGCCGACGCCCTCGGCGCCGCCCGAAGGCACAGTCCAAGACTCTGGCGCCCCGCCGGCGCCTGCTCTGTCCTCCTTCGCGGCCACTGCCGTTGGCGACGTCACCCCGTCCGCCACCAAGCAGCTGCCTTCGGACGGCGGCCCGTCACCGCCTGCCGGGCTCGGGGCGGCCTGGCTGGCGGCGGGTGCGGCCGGCAGCAGAGCACTGTTCGTCAGGCAGCAGGCGGTGCTGTCGCCGGCGGCCTGGGCCTCCCACAGCGGCAGACAGCTCGCCAGGCCAGGTGCTGGTGCTGACACCGGTGCTGCCGTCATCATGGTGCCGCCACTGGCAGAGCACGAGTCCGACGGAGGTGGATGTCTCGTCAGACGGGGGCTGGCGCTCTCTGCGTCCGTGGCGGGACGGAAGTCGGCGTCGCCGTCCGACGCTGGTGACGCCGTAATGCGCGTGAAGAAACGGTCGAGGCACTGTCCTGCCGGGACAACATCAAAGGTGAGCAACATCTTGACAGCATCAGCATACCAAGACACGGAATGGGAGGTGCAGTTCCCCGGAGTGCAATGATTTAAGTGACAGCTTTTTTGGACTATCTGGACATACCGTGCAAACGGTATGTTGTACGCTTGCTTGCAAACGGTTAGTTGTATTTGATAGGAAAAGGCCACACAGCGATTTTAAATGCAGCAGCTGACTAAGACTTAAGAGAGTGTTCATGATTGCTTAAATTTATAGCAGTCTATTGTACATCAACAATTTCATCACGGAACCCACCCCATCTTATTAACTGCGAGCAGCCACGGTGCTGGCTAAACACACGCACTATGTACATGACAGATGCTTCAGTTTTTTGGGGCATCTTGCGGAATTCTTCATCCCACGCTTGCTCGTAAGATCCTCAGGTGGCATTTGTGCACACGCAAGGACTATCCCGACCCCTCAGGCCCTGTAAATCAGAGGACTGCTTAAGCGTTAATTCTGAGGGAGGGTGAGCACTGCCCAGTTGCTGCCTGCTGGCATGGAGCCCGTCCAGGAAAAGGCCACTGAAGACAGACGTGAACCATGAAGCTCCCAAATACATGGACACGCGCATTACCCATCTGCGTCACAGCGTGGTCGCCATAAGCAGCTTACGCTTGACGGGACTGGCCGGCTTATCACACTTCTTAATGCTTCGCTTGATGGCCGATATCCAGGCCCCAGCTAACGTTGGCGACGTCAACGGCTGAGGTGACGTCACGGATGGAGAGGCCGGCGATTGGCTTTGAAGGTGAGAGGCGACGGTGTAGGATGACGGCAGACCTTCGAAGCACTTGGTCAGCGTCTCCTGGAATGGTTAATGGTCCGGGCAGATCGGACGAAAAAGCTCCGTTGGTAAAGAGCACGTGCGAGTCGAGCACGCGCGCGCGAGTCGTCTGGATAGTGTGTAGTCGAATCTTGCGCACCCCAACAACTCCGCGTCAACCACAGACAAGCGTTGAAAATAATCACAAATTATGTGTAGAGTTCTCTCACAGTTTTGCGACCATCAGCCTTCATTATCAAAGACATAGTCATCTGCCAACCAACCGCTTTAATGCAATCCGTCCACGAAACATACGACACGGCTCCGTGGGCGAACGGTCTGTACCTTGATGGAGGCCAGCAGGTACTTCTCGTTCTGGACGAACATCATACGCTTGTCGGGCGTGACGTTCACGTCCACCCTCTCACGGGCCAGCGTCACGTCCAGGACGAAGAACGGACTCTGGTGCCGGTTGTGCGTACGGTACACCTCGTTGACCAAGCGGGCTATCTGCCGAACGATAGCACCCAGTGAAACGAACGAAACGCGCCTGACTGCAGACTTGCTGGGCCTCCTCATGTTACACGCCCGGCAGTTCACACTCCCGTGAGACATCTGCACTAGGTTTTTGCTGGTAGTTCCAGTACAATTTCCCCCGACTGCTGAAGGCAGTCAGCTGACCACAGCATACGATCGGGGAACGGCTGGTGATCGAAAACAGTAGCTTAAGCACAGCGGGAGAACTCGAGGGTGCTTTCGTTCAGTACAGGGCAGCATATAATTAACTCGAGGTACCGCGCCGTGGATCACATATCTTGGCCGATTACCACATCGCTTGCGACCAAATTATCGACTACCGTTGGTTGCCAAATGTAATGTTCCGAGATTTTATCCCTTGGAGAAACAACGCTACAGTCGACGATAAAACATAATGTGGTCCCAGGGATTATTAGCACTGACTGACTGCTGACTGACATTGGTGAGTGGCATAAAATGTGACGCATTTGAAATATATGACATGCGCCATCTTCGCTTTACTAGGCTAATAAGCATCTCAAACATACGCGCCCCAGTAGCTTCAATACGAACAAGGGCACCCAAACCATTGCGCGCCCAGGGCTCTGTTGGTGTTCCGAATGACGGTTTTCTTTGCTGCTAGCGGCTAGCGAAGGGCTGAAAGAATCGTCAACAACGATTTGTGGGCAAACTTGGGGAACTGAGGGAGAGATGGCGAACATGTCCGACAAAAAAATCCCCTTGGAGAATTGTGGAAACAAAAGTAAAAGAAAAAGTTATTCATTGATGCGAATGGAAACTAAAATCATCGAGCGACATAACGAAGTTATATCATTCAAACATGACACGTGCTGCAAAACGTCAGTAACCTCATCAAACCTGTAACGAAGATACTGGCTACATTCCATATCGTACCAGCAGAAAATACTAATCATGTCCTGTTGGACATGATTAGTATGACATGATGGACATGATTAGTAAACTGTAACATGATTATTCGTCAAGTCAATGCGAGCATCCGCTTACTGACCGGCAAATTGTGTTCGGCTGAGGAGCCCCCCCCCCCCCCCCACACCCAGAAAACACCGCGTGTTGCTCGTGAGGAGCGTCTTTACGTCTCGCTGTTCGAACAGCGAAGAGAAGCGGACTGACCGCGCGGGGTCCGGCATGTAATATGCGTGACGTCACGAAGGACCGTCACCGCTCGCCTCCAGCGGTCTTCACGACCCACAGCAAGTGACGTCACGTCAACTCGATGCTGCCTGAGCCTATCCAAATATCCGCAACATTGCTGCACAATGAAGGTATACGCACCCATTAACGTCAGGGCAGGGGCTGGGTAAAACCAAGCTGAGCATGCGCGGATAGGTGACTTATTAACTATTAATCAATAGTTCACCAGCAAGTGAAAGTGCGTGGCTGAGCCCTGGCTGCACGCGAGCCGGGAGGCACGCGGTCTGGGGTCCTGACCAGCCATGGAGCAGGGTCAACACACCTTGGTGTGGTCACAGGGCCGGCCGTTGATAAAGACGAACTGGCGGTCGGATGCGCTCCTTCCCTTGCCGTGCTCACAGGAGGAGATCAGACCCTGCAGCAGCGGACTACATCAGTCGCACCGACGACAATGCGGCCGACACAATGCCAGCGTCATAACCACAGTCACGACGTTGGTAATGTACTACAGACGGCGCTATTATTATAATTAGTAAACTGTAAATCGCTTGAAAACATTTCTACCGTCCAAAGGCAAAAGAGCTTAAGTGCTAACTAAGAGCTCTTAGGCCTTTCCCCTTTGGACGGCAGACTGGACAGACTGTGTAAGGAGCAGACGACGGAGATACAAGGTTCGTGATAGAACTGTGGGAGAATCAGGCTTGAGCGACATCCCCCAGAGCGGGGCGACACACCACCAGGTCAAGCACCATCGATGTCTCGAGCCCCAGACACACCATCATGCCTCTACACCGGCAGCCACCAGCTGCCGCCATACCTTGACCGTGACATCGGCGGCCCTGTCGGCGGCGGCCAGGCCGAACTCCTGTCGCGTGGCGTCCGTCGGCACGGTCGACACGAGCGGCACCAGACTGGCCAGCTGCTTCTGGCCGAACAGCGCCGTCACGCGGTCAGCGAGCGCGGCGCTGACGGATGACGTCAGCAGCACGCTCCTCCTGCCGTCGGCCGTCTGGTGCGAGCACACGAGCCTGCAACGACCGGCCGGCAGGCTGAGGCGCGCCGTCCGAGCGGGCCGACGCCGCACCGCCCGGCACGCGGCTGGGCGTTACTGTCGAGCGGCTGAAGTCGGCGGAGCCAAAGACGTCCGGAGGCAGCCAGCAGCATGCAGACGCTCCGGCATTACACCAGGTGCTCGTGGTCGCGGATGGACCTCTGCATCTCATTTGGGTGAGAAGATGTCCGATCTCGTATGCCCCCCCCCCCCCCCCCCTCCCTCAACGCCACCTACCGGTTTACCACCGCGCCACGGCACACGACTCCAATCCCTCCACGCGCCACCTCCTTCCACCGACCTGACGCCGGCGGTGACCAGGCCGTAGCCCCAGAGGGTGTGCAGCAGGTCCGTGAGCTCGCGGCGCGCGCGGCCGCAGAACTGGCGCCGCCGCACCGGCAGCGGCGCGAACAGGTCGCGCACCGTCACCGTCGTCCCCACCTGGCCGAAGTCAGACGCCGTCAGCGCGGCCGGCTCGGGGTCTGGCCTAAGTCGTTGTAAAAGTGCATCAAATATGACGGATGGAATCATTAATTTTCGGACCTGCATCCTCGTCTGATGTGTCAGGACGTACCTCACGCATCGACCTTTTAAATAGAAAGCAACGCCTGACGTCGGCCAGAAGAAAAACTAGTCGAAACGCTCTGCACATGTTCACACACCAGACGGGGGTCGCAATCCGAAAACTATTCCATCAGTCATACCAATATCTCGCAATAATCCTGCCATAAAGTAACATGAGAATACTCAGCCAAGCAAAATATCCAGGGATCTATGGTCTAGTACTCACTACTCACGCCGGCTGCAACAGCCCTGGCCTGTACCCTAGACTGAATTGGACCAAATTGACGTTAGAGTAAAACAGACAAGGTGAATGTCACCAAACGCATGAAGCAAATCACATGGAAAACCCTGTATGTATAATCTGAAGCTCACTGCATGTTGACTTGCGGCATAGTGGCGATCAAGGCATAACACAAACAGGAGATCATAATGAACGTCGTTTTTAGGAAGCATCGACTGAAATGGTTCACGTCAACTTGCAGCACATGGACCTCTCAGCCGAATCTGCACAGCGCGCTGATCGCAACATGGTCTGCCGTCTCGGGCGACGGTCCCACCCGTCTGGGCACCGGCGTCATCATCAGCCGTCTCGGCCGGCGGTCCCATCCGTCTGGGCACCGGCGTCATCAGCCGTCTCGGCCGGCGGTCCCATCCGTCTGGGCACCGGCGTCATCAGCCGTCTCGGCCGCGGTCATCCGTGGGCCGCGTCATCAGCCGTCTCCAAGGCGGTCCATCCGTCTGGGCACCGGCGTCATCAGCCGTCTCGGCCGGCGGTCCCATCCGTCTGGGCACCGGCGTCATCAGCCGTCTCGGCCGGCGGTCCCATCCGTCTGGGCACCAGCGTCATCAGCCGTCTCGGCCGGCGGTCCCACCCGTCTGGGCACCGGGGTCATCAGCAGTCTCGGCCGGCGGTCCCATCCGTCTGGGCACCGGCGTCATCAGCCGTCTTGGCCGGCGGTCCCATCCGTCTGGGCACCGGCGTCATCAGCCGTCTCGGCCGGCGGTCCCACTCGTCAGGGCACCGGGGTCATCAGCCGTCTCGGCCGGCGGTCCCACCCGTCTGGGCACCGGCGTCATCATCAGCCGTCTCGGCCGGCGGTCCCACCCGTCTGGGCACCGGCGTCATCAGCCGTCTCGGCCGGCAGTTCCACCAGTCTGGGCACCAGCGTCATCAGCCGTCTCGGCCGGCGGTCCCACCCGTCTGGGCACCGGCGTCATCAGCCGTCTCGGCCGGCAGTCCCATCTGTCTGGGCACCGGCGTCATCATCAGCCGTCTTGGCCCGCGGTCCTACCTGTCTGGGCACCGGCGTCATCATCCCCCATCTCGACTAGCGGTCCCACCTGTCTGGGCACCGGCGTCCGCTCCGCGATCCGGCCATCGGCAGAGAAGCGCAGTCGGTGGCCGACGGCGGCCGCGCGGTGGCGCGTCACCACGGCGACGTCGGCCAGAGCGCACAGCGACCCCAGCGCCTCCCCGCGGAAGCCAAACGTACTAACGCCGGGCAGATCGGCAAACTCGCGCAGCTTCGAGGTGTGGTGCTTCAGCCCTGCGGAAGGTGGGCCAGCCATCAGCAGGCTGAGAGGGTAGTTGTTACGGTATGACACGCAGCGGCAGAGGTGACTGGGCAGTGGCTTGCTTCGGACGGTGTCAGACGAGCTTGGCGACCATCACATCATTACGACGCATATGGTGTGGCCAGGCCGAAAGATGGGCTTAGCGGCGCTGACTTCCAAGCGCAGCGAAAATCGCCGGCCTTGACTTGTCAACCGACATGAGACATTCTGGCGATTATTGCCTCCGCAGTAGCCAGCGTAAACGGACCATATACTGAGCAATGGGGGACTGACTACAGGACAAGCAGTGGAGACAGCATGATAGGTGTCATCATTCAGCACCTGAAAACATCATTTTCGCGTGTTTGATGTGGTCAGCACAGAACATTAGAAATTGGATTTACATATGTATGTATCTCCTCTGGACATATGTGAAACCTTGGCAGCGACCGATGACATGTGCCCCACCCATCGCGGACGATTGAAGGACCCGGGCAGACAACACCCAGAGATTGGCCATGCCCTCCTATACTGCTCCTCTTTTCATACGCTCATAGGGTGTGACACTTCAACAATATTTCGGATAGTGTAATCCTCTGGACATCTGACAGAGGCCAAAGGCTTCATACCCACGGCTTCGAAGTCGTCCTCATGGATGCCGGCACCATTGTCGACAACTTCAATGGAGGCGGTGCCATGGTCGCGCAGGTGGACCTCCACTGACGTGGCACCGGCGTCCAGCGCGTTCTCTACCAGCTCCTTCACGGCTGACCGGAGACTGACGATCACCTGCAGTCACCACAGTATGTCACCACTGTCACCACTGTCCAACGGGAGCGGCGGGACAGCTGTACACTGGGCCGAGCACAACAGACGCCACTCTGCTGTGCTGCCGCCATAGACTAACCAGCAGAGCAATTTACCTTGCATATGATTCAATGAATGTGATGCTTCTATGCGCTAATTTTATGGTTAATTAAAAGATACAAAACAGATAGTTAACTTCCCAGTTACATCATGGAGATTTATGAAAACATCCTGTTAAGCTACCATAACAAGCACGTGATATTATCCTTGGAGAAAAATGTCACTAGGTAGCACCCTATGCACATAAGCTATCATCTTGCTACCAACACTTGAATACAGGACTAGTGCACCAACAAATATTGTAACTTACTTGTCCAGAGCATATGTTATGTACAGTGCCTTTATCAATTCTCTTGATTGAGGAACCTGCACTGCTAGGCAAATCCATTTTTGAGAGTGTAGGCCCTGAAAAAAAAATTGGAAAATTATTATAAAAATGAATAGCTCACAGCATTCAAACAAGCCTACACCTCTGTGTTGTTAAGTCACAGAAAAACTATTTATTACCAAAACATGCCAGTATATACTTCCAAGGACAAAGTCACACTAACTGGGTACATGCTATGATGTTCTATGACCTTTACTTTTGATGACCTAACATTTCCAATTTGCATATCCAATGATGCTATTGGCACACCCATAAATGTCTTTTGACCTTGATCCTGGTGACATTCCAGCTCTGGCCTCATTGAATAAACACAATCAAAATTATTTGCAAAGATGATAATTGTTCTTCATGGTCACAGCTGTTGATGGCTCAAAAGACAGCTTTTGGGAACTAAAGGTCAAACAACAAAATGATTTTGTATTTGATATAGAGAGCCTTACCATTAGCATATAAAGCTTCAACAGTACAGCTTCAAGATATAATTTAATATGTGTTTTACACCACAGTGCTAAATAACAGTGAAATGAAATTAAATGTTGGGGATATTTGAACTATGAGCTGCAAACAGGGATCAAGAATAATTTCTACTGAAACATGACAAAATTGATTGCATCTTTTACCATGCAAATATAGACAGTAAACTAAAGAAAATCAGAATATGATAATTACAACAATTAAATGGAGTTTACTTAAAATTCACCATATATATTTTGGATATAAAATGATGTCTATATCATGACGCACCATGTGTAATACATATAGACTATAGCTTAGCAAATTTACCACAAGCATATTATCACATTACGTCATCAGAAATAATACTCAGTGTAATTTAGCTATGCAGGTACAACTTGACCTTTACAGGTATTAGGGGCATAGGCATCACACTCCTTAAAGCTGTCTGAATCAATCAAATCTAACATGAAATCTAAGCACAACTGAATATTTTTGGAGAGAGGCCTTAAACTCCCTTAAACAGCCTCAAGCAACTACATCCAGCATGCAAGTTGCACAACATTGGTATCAGAATGAACGGCAGACCTAACGCCTTCGATTATCTGCATGAGTTGGGTGGGTAGCATTTAACATATATGATAAAGAACACTATGTTGTCATTAGCTAGCACATTAAGGTACACAACTGTGAAATGGGTATTTATAAGTGTTTTGTAAATTTAACAAAACCAAATCTGTACAGTCTACATGATATATTTAGTTAATTCGTCGATTCCGAAAGTGCGAGGCCTACGCCGGCCATACCCGTTCCCGTACCATTTGCTGCGAAGGGTCAACATGAATGATATCAATGGCAACAAACACCGCACTGCGTTAAATACGAGCAGAGCCACAAGATGACTCGACCTTGCAGATGGTTGTTGAACATGTCTTTTTAAAAGGAAAGCATCTAAAAATTGAAGACAGAAGACCGCCAAATTCAAACGGTAGACAACTGCGGACATACAAATGGCATGCTGAAAGTAGACACTGATCAATTCAGCTCGCGTAGGGGACATTGAGATGATAGATGGAGAAAGCGAACATAGTTTTACCACAAACAAATGCAGAAAATACGCCAGCCCGGACAATGACAGCGATATAGGCCACCCAAAACACATACCCGCACGATGCGCTGCCAGGAGATAATGACCATGAGGCCAGTGGACGTTGTGCATCGGCTACCGTCGTATTTCCACTCGCTCTAAGTAGGGCAGTGACGTCACCAATGTCTAGGCTGCTGCGCTGCAAGCTGCAGCCAGACCATCGGCGTTCGCGCAGATGATAAGTAATATATCAATGGGAGATGCACATGGCAACCAAACCGGTATCGTAAAATTATATGGTGAATATGATGATGTAACTTGCAAGTCTACGCCGCCTGAGCCTAACTTATGCCACTAACCACTGAAATACAATAACATGAAAAGTAAAATACGTACCCACGAGAATCATACCAAGTAGGAGGGCCAGCACATCGCTGCTGTCCAAAGGCAAATCCCCAGATGTTCGTTTTTAGCCATTTTGCGTTTTTCGTGTCACTTGATTCGTCTTTCCAAGCCAACTTCGGTCATTTAAACCGTAAGATGAAATTTTCACAAGCTTTTAGCTAAAGAAAGGGCGAACAGTTCGTACAAATTTCAAGTAAGGGTTTAAAAAATCGAATTCAGCCTATTAAAACGAATCAAGTAAGATCAAAAACACAAAATAGCCAAAAATGAGCGTGTGGGGTTTTACCTTTGGACGGCAGATCGAACTGTCCTCGTATTGATAATAATGGGACTGTTAGCGACAGGTGCACATGATCAGCGAGTCAATCGCGAAACAATTAATGTTGAGTGTAATGGCATGTTTTGCAACCCTATGCCTAAGCTTACGCGGCCATTGGCGAACCATTTCAATCAAATTGTCGCGGAAATTGAACACATTTATGCGCAAACCGATGCAGAGATGGGCGGCCGGAACATCGGACTGGCTTCGTACCGACAATAAGCAAACCATCGGGGGTAGGTGCACAGCATAACCATAGTATCCGAGTGCTTAGAATTTAAATGAGTGTTATACGTTAATTACAAACTTATATACGAGGCAGTTGAAGTCTAATCAGCGTGAAAGTCAATGCGTCCGTGCGTGAGCTAATGTGTATAAGTCAGCCTGAAGATTCGGCTGCCATTTTTTCCCGTAAGGTAACAAGTATGTATGATTTACAAGACTATTACTGGTTGGTGCATATATTCGCGAACGGATGGAAATTATCAAATGACAAACAAAATCATGTGCTTTGCGAGCCCATGTCACGGAAAACCCATCAAAATATATCGTCGTGGGAGCAAGGGCGGATCCAGAAAGGCAGGGATAAAGGGGTCATGGCTCCAAAAGTTGTCAAACCATCACCCCTAAAAACACGGCCGGACGCATACATGTTGTTATGTGCACCTTGCGTAGTGTATTCAATAACTAATTGCTTCTAACAAATTGCGAAAGTGTATACGAAGTTCGTGTCGGTGAATGCACGATTTGCATTGTTACCAATAGTGTTCTCACAATACCATCGTGTGCACATGGTAGAGCGAACATCTGTAGTTTTGCCTCTGGACAGCAGCGTCATGCTTCCAACAAATTGCGAATTCTCTTCTTTTTTTCCCTCAAAAGTCGCAAAAAATAGCATCTTGCTACTGCCGTGGCTTGTCAAGTTGGTTATTTCGGGCACTCGTAAGCATACTTTTCAGACGTATCAACCGTCAGTTGGCTCTCGATCAATGTGCTAAATATTGTCCCACCTGTTGCAGCATGTAGCCCATCACGACACGGGAAGGCCGGCCTCGGTTAGCCATGCGGTGTCAAGGGGAGATGCTCAGACGGAGTTCGTGTCCGTGAATGCACGATTTGCATTGTTACAGATAGTGCTCTCACAATGCCATCGTCTGCACATGGTACCACACGGCGCACACGACAGACAAAAACATGTAAATTGAATGCCGTACCATTGCAAATAGCCGCTCCTGCCGGCCCGACATCACTTATTGAGACACTGTCCCGGGTTCGACCGGATAAAATGAATGCCATAATCGGGCCATTGTGTTCTCCTCACAGCAGAAAGCTTTATAGAAACACCGTCGAATGCACACCGCTGCAGTTTTAGCGCGCGGTTTTAGGGATTTTGCCTGTGCCGCGCCATTCGGGCCATCAAAATGCGTGCAGGCCGGACGGGGTAACCAAGGCACCGCTAAGGGGTAAATTGAATAAAAAGGTCGTCATGTCTGCCGTTCAGCAATTTACATTGCTATCTCAACATGTGCAAACAAAAACATCAACTCCACATGGTCAGACGCATCGCGAACGACTTGGAAGTACTTTAAATTGCGCGGCAAAAAAATTCGCCGTGTCAGAATTGTTATTGTAGCCCACGAACTGACACTTCTAATACTGACAGGTGGCGGTGTGCTGCTGGAGCGCGATTGTGGATCCGAACATTGTCATATTCGGACCCGTGTTTTGACCCTCTCTAGAGATGCTGTTGCATATTTGTCTGTGACGCCATGTTATTTGCTTGCATTCACATCCTCGACTATAACGCTATTCTTACTTTTTCGATTATTAGCATTGGTTCTGTCGTAACTCACATCACTGCCCAAATTTCCTGCATTATGTAGCACAAAACGTAATTCGTGTTCGAAACATGCACTGAATGCATTTTTTTGGTTGAGGTCCAACTGAAGTCCGCGGATGCCAGAAGTTGTGAAGACAGCACGTCAGGACACGGTGAACTTGATGATCGTATTTACTGTGGCCTTGAGCACTGCGTGGCCAATGAAGTGGCAGCAGTCGCGTGACGTTTCTGTGGTGTTATGCGTGCCCGTGTGATCTTTAAGTGCCTGCATAGAATTGCCTGCAAAAGTTCGCGGGCATCAAGCTTGGACACCAGGTGCTCACAAGTCTTCAAAAGGGCCTGATCTTTGCTGATCTTCAAAATTGCCATCTTAGTTTACATTTCCACACAAATGCGAAAGCACTCCCTTTGACCATGCGTCGTCCAATGGTGCTTGGAATAAAAAGGTGATGTGAGCTGAAGAGTGACCTGCCCCTGCCGGTCGATAGTGCTCCCGCAATGGCATCGTGCGTTAAACGATCAAAGACATTTTGAAGTGAACGCCGTAAGTTTGCAAATCACCGTAAGTTTGCAAAAGTAAGTTTGCAAGTCCGTAGTCCGTAGTGTAGTGGTTAACGCGCCTGTATTCATCACTGCGTGTCTGAGAAACCAGAGGTACGGGGTTCTTCTGCCCGCGGTGCCCGCCCTTCGTACCAAGATGAGAGGCGGGCGACGCCACACAGCCTCAGCAGCTGAGTGCTCCGTAATGCCCCAGTAACGGCGACGACGACGCCGGCACACCAGTATTGAGCGAGATGTTGACAGAACGACCGAATAAAACGAGTGCTGCAATCGGACAGGTTTGATGGTCTGGCAGCTGACAGCTCTATGAAAGCGGAATCAAATGCGCACAGTTTAATTGCAATTATAGGGAGTTCTCCTGGACCAACGTATCATGGCCATCACGCATCGCACCGGCCTGCTCCTGTTGGCAATGCGCCCTCAGGGTGTGAGTTGGAATGGGAAAAAGGCTCCGTCGGACGACTACCGATTTAAATTGCCTGACAGATGAGCTCCCATGACATGGTATGCACATGGTGACACCCGCCGCATGCGACTTAAAACATTTTAAATTGGACGCCGTAGCCTTGCAAATTGCCGAATGCTGTTCTCCCAAAATGAGTGTGTGAGGCACAGTCAGAGGATCGACCGAACAAAATGGATTCCTCAATCGGCAAGGTGTGTTTTACTGGAAACTGATAGCCTATACCAGCACTATCGAATGCATACAGTTGTATTACTCACGCGCGATTACAAACATTGTTCCTCTGCCGCCGTATTTTGACCTATCAGGCAGCTACGTGCAGGTCTTCTGGCTTTTCCAATGAGCAATGAAAGCAGGTCGTATCAGCCGATGAGCTATTTATATTGCCAGACGACCGTGCTATCACAATGGCATGGAGCGTACATGGTCCCAGCAGCCGCGCATGACTTAAACTATTTTAAAATGGACGTCGTAATATTGGAACTCATCGCTATGACCACTGTCAGCTGCCAGCACAGCTCACTCAAACACTCTTCCGATTTACTCGTCCGATTTTTGGTTCGATGTTTTTCGGGTCGTCCCTCCAAAATGTATCATTTAATGCCGGCGGGGTGGCTGGAAAGTGATTTCCTAAGATACGGCGTATAATTTAAATAATTATCCGTTGTGCGCGGAGATTCTAAACCTGCGCTAGCGGTGTTATTATGGGAGAGCTTTTGGCCCGCAATGCGAATCCCGCATTGGCCGACATTACATTGTTGTTCAGCTTCAAATAAGTCCAATGCGCAAAGCTAACGGTGGCCGGGAAGCACGTAGAGCGCTGGCAATAACAAGGTCGCCCAGAAAAAAAAAGATTGATGGAATTTACGGATCGCAAGTGTGTACATTCAACCGCAGTGTTGTTTTTTTTTATACACAGGCAGGGGCGCAGCCAGAGCCTTGCCAAAATGGGGAGGGGTGGCACATAGTTGAAAAAATCTCCCTGATGGTAACTTGCCTCTCCAAAATACTAGATATACCTTATGTGTTAACAAGAACACGATTTTCTTCGTTTTATTGTTATTTGTACTTTGTAACCAGAATAAAAACAAAAGCCAGAGGCCACCCAATAAATTGCGGAAATCAGGCGTTGAACAACTACATGGAATAAGTAACCGGCGCTCTTCATTCAATACTGGTTCAATGAACTTTTTCTAGCTCTATAAAAACCAGAGCTTTGTCAGAATTCTTCCTCTGGGTTCCGCGAACATATTCAGAACCCTGCGAAGGTAGATTGAAGATCGAAATGGGCCGACGATGTGTGTTAGAATGGCCACGCCAGGTTTGTCTGGAAATGTTCAGCATTCAGTTACGATCATTCAGTGATATAGAATACGTAACGTATTTTTGAACATGCGCGCTCGCAAATCTTAGAAATAAAAACTTCGACTCCAGGCGTTGCAGCATCTGTAGGTCGCGCAGCGTTGGCCCAACGGCTAACAATGAGCCGTGGCTAATGGGTGAATGAAAATGATGGCGCTTCTTAAAGATTACCTTTGAGCGGCTTAGGAAATCAAACCTTACATTTAGAAGGTAGTCAAGGCGTATATATCACCTGTGCAACTTAAGATTGATGATAAGAACGGATTGGCCCATACAGCACCGCAAAGTGGTACTGGAGCTGGACGAGTAGAGGTAAAATATAAATTTGTCGTGTTTCTATGGCTGTTAGCCATCCGGAGGGAAGATTAACGCGGCGCCCGCCACCTGGTGCCACTTGCAGTGGCCAACGGCCGCTCGTTTTTACGGAAGCTACAACTCAGACCATCACCGCCCTTGCCCCCGAGACTGCGGGCGCTTGCTCCAGCATTATAATTTATGTAACCTGTTTCACCAATCATTTATGCAAAGGAATGAGTGTTCTCAGGCAAACATGAGATGGCCTCGTTTCTTGTTTAAAACTCATTTCTACCCATTATGTTAAACAATAATGAGACCATTCATTTCGTTCGGGGCAAAGGCCCCCTCTTGATTAGAACACCAGGTTGGCACATCTTTATTCCCGGTCAAGGGCTGAAAGGCCATTTCGTGCCACCGCGAGATGTCCACCGACTGTCATTCTGGCGACGCGGGGCGGAATCCCTGGTCAATCCGGAGGCCGTTAGAGAAATATCTACCACATTGCTCCCCTCCCCCACATGAGGGGCCTTCTGACCCGTGCAGTTTGACCCGGTCAACAGAAGAACCCTTACTGACGCAATAATATACCTGATCGCCGCAGGTGGCCCAATAATTGTCACAAAGATCCGGTTCCAGCTTCTTTCGTGTTCTTCAGAGATATTGAGAACTGTACGCGGATTGCAGATCGAAATGGGGTCCCACATTTGTATCGACATGGCCAACCCATGCTTGTCCTAAAATGTGCTATTTCCATTCAAAGTTGAGTTCTGAGAAATATTATGTAAAATGGTTTTGAACATGGTTTGGTGGTTTGGTTTGGTGGAACATGGTAAAATGGTTTTGAATCTTTACCAACAGCCTCGATGCCCGGCGTCGCAGTCTCTATCTGCCGCGCGCCCTAGGCTCGCGGCTGATACTAAGCGACACCGTTGGATGAACGAAAGGAATGACGCACCTTGAGGAAGATGGCGGGTGAACTAACTAACCAGTAAGCATGTTTAATGTGGTACACAAGTATTTAAAGCACAACTAAGGTCTAAAAGTGTGTAGGCCAGTTGATGTTTGCTGGCTCCCACCTTCAAAGCTGTAGGGGGGGTGGGGGGCATGCCTCCCCGGGCCCCCTGTTCCTACACCCATGTGTGCGGTCATCACTCTACGTGCTGGCCGGCCACCGTCGACTCGGCGCTGTCATGGGGTGAGTTGAATAGAAAAGGTCGTCGGTCAGTACTAGATTTATACAGCCGGGCAAAAGCGCTCCCGCACGAATATCGCAAGCGAGAGGTTGGGCCGCCATCGCAATGAATAAAATTATACCAAAATGGACGCCGTATCTGCAGAAATCAGAGATCCTACCGGCACAGCAAAATTGATACGCTGCCGCGGAGTTGACTGAATAAATTCGAAACGATAATCCGACTTGTGCTGTACTGGCATACAGCCATGAAAAATCGCTACAACCTCATTCTAAACCTGTACTTCCTTACTCTTGCTTAGTGTCCAAGCCTAATAGCGATTCAAGCTCTGCAAGATACGGAAACGCGAGGTTACTGAAATTTCAAAGTGAAGGCTGAGGCAAATGTGAGCCGAAAGGCAGCATGTATGTTCCTTATCCTTCAGAAAGATATGTTCTCAAGCTCCACTAGTGCGAGGGCTGTGCAATGAAATGGCCCCTTACACCTGATGGTACAAAGCTGCTTAATACGGAAAAAACATCATTACCATATGGTCTTCACACATATATTGCCATCCGGTCCACTACCACCACGGCCCAAGCACTGCCTACGCATCATCCGTGGGCTTTGATCTGTCCAGCATTTCATCCGTCATTTGTCGTAATTTCTCCGCAGCCTTTGCCTGCTTCTGCTTCTTCTTTGCATCCTTAGCCCTCTTTTTCTCTTCCAGCTCTTTCTGCTCCAATATCTCTTTAAAACGAGGATCTTTCGAATCTACCTTGAATCCAAGGTATTCTTTAACTTCCTCTATCAGTCGATCATGCTTCTCTTTCGCTGCTTGCAGTTCTTGTTCTTTCTTTCGTTTCCTGTCGGCAATCTCCTTTTTCCATTTTTCCAAATTGACCATCTTCGCGTCGATGGCTTCCATTCTTTCTCGCACTGCTTCCTCTTTGGCACTTTGCTCCATCTTGTGCTTGCGCACCATCTCTTGAAGGGAGTCGGGATAAGCCAACGACTCATATTCCATCTTGTCTTCCCATTCGTCCTTAACCGGCCATGCAATGGCAGGATTAATACCAGACTGAGAGCCATATTGAGCCCAAATCCTCCGCTGCATTCGCAAACCAGCCAGGTGGGCAGTCTCTTCATTTATGACAGGCGGCTTGCCATGGTATTTACGGTAGTGCCACTCCTTCAAGCCAGAAACGTTTCTTTTCACAGCCGGTCGATCAGTGGTGGTATCTGGCAGTTCCTCATGCTCTGCAGACGCTGAAGAATGCCGAGAGATAATGTTCACTGTTTCTCGTCCTAGTCTTCCTAGGCTACTGTTTCTTCTTAAAGAAAAGTGAAGCATAGCCAAGCTGTAACGACTTACAAATAATGACCCACTCTAGTCCCTTCCGCTCTTCAGCAATGGTTGTCAACTACACCAAGAGACTTAACGAATCATCAGCAGTAATACCCTTCTCAGCGCCCCTCCTTTCACTACTGCAGACCTGAAAAAGAAAACAGCATTACAAACAGCCAATACGAGGTAGCGACTCGCAGCGAGCACCAGACATGGTTAGTTCGAGGTACAACCAGGAGGCTTTGAATATTTCTAAAGGTGCAACATTTCTCCAAGGCGGGCAAACATGACTATTAAGGAATACGTGCCTAAGATGTCATCATACTGTTCGGCATGAAACGTCCTTAGAAATAACTACCTTACAGGTTGGGACCGAGTTGTGCAACAAATCATATCATAGTGCAGATAACTTGGCTAGTGGTCATTACAAAAAAACGTGCTTAATGACGTATAGTAATATAACATAAACAACTGATGCAATGTCTATTTAGCACATAATTTGTGGGAATATTTTTCAACACACTTAATCTTTTTTTAGATGGTGGGAATGACCTACATCAAACAAGCTAAAACCACACCATTAATTGCATTCCCTATTTGAGTTTCATAGCATGTTTCAGTGTAGAAAGGGAAGTTTACCTTTACCTGTGAACAGTGGAAATAAAAATGTCCAAGCTCATCCATGCTCAACAGGATCGTGGCAACAGCTACAGTCCTGTCCCATGAATGTTAGCCACTTCGTGATAGCTGAGAGAACATGCTCAGAAACCTAAATAAACACAAAAACCACGCACCACACACACCGTGCAGGAGCTGTCAATACCATACCTTCTGTCTTCAAAGCCTCATTGAAACGAAGGTCACACAAATGTTTGAATTTCGTGTACTTCCTGCCATTCCTTGCAAAATAATTGGGAGATAGGCGTGATAGATGCAACAACATTTCGGCTACATACCTTTGTCAAAACGATTAAAACGATTGTGAGCAGTAAATTCAAAATTCCTTGCCTCTCCCATCCTGCAACATCGAATGAGATCAGAAGGCAATTCTGAATTTACTATTCCAAATCGTTTTAATCGTCTAGACAAACGCATGCAGCCGAAATATTGGAACATATACACCTCCTGGGTATTTGACAGGGAACGAAGCTAATCGTACTGTCTTACCTATAAGCATAGGGCTCCTAACAAATGCACTCAACAGCCTACGTATTCCTTGCCATCCCCTATCAGCTGGCCATCCGCTGTCTAATACAATACTTACAGTAACTGTGTTCTTCGAGTGTGAAAGCATACAAAAAGCAGCTGATTTTTCTACCTATCACTGTCAAATGACTGTCAAATGACTGTCTACCTATCACTGTCACTTGCCATACCTTACCACGCTTCTAAACCCTGAACTATCAGAAATTTGTCAAAATATTACGCTTATAACGTTACGTGCGCTATCCGGGGCCTAACCACTTCAGGGTAAAATGGGCTCGTCCAGCCAAAAGATGATCTTAAGGTTGTAGACGGTGTTACGTAAAGCCATCTGACTTTGTTTTAACCAAGGGAGGTTCAGAGCAGTTATCGACCACAGCCTAACGCTGTACAGCTTTCACTTTCAGGATAACTACTGCGGAGGACCCAGTAATGGTCCGGCCTTTCTTAACACACAAGATGGTGGTATCTACATAACAAAGTCCTTGACCTGCGCCCCGCCGGGGTCTGAGACAACCGCGCCCGGTCCGGGGGAGTTGATTTCCTCGCTAGGATCTCCAACTTCCAAAAACCTTGCGAGATAAACAAAGATAATGCTGCACAAGTCTCATAAAATCATTACGAACGCACACAATCAAATTTGAGGTCACCAGAGGTCACAAAAGGTCAAACACAACTATTCTGACAGAGCCAGTTAAAGCCTGTGCAAACATGTCAAGACAGATATTGAGGACACAGAAATAAGCATGACGACTGTGGGGAGTCCATTCCAACCATTTGTGTCCCCACAGGGGTCAGGTCAGATAAGGTCATCATTCAATATTGGTCTACCAGTAGCCTTCAGAGATGATGCTTTCACAAGAAGTATGTACAAGTAGTATGAACAAGCACACTGGGACATGAAATTATACATCATCAGCTTGACAAACATGACAAGGGGGTAGTTACATGCAAGGGGGTAGTTACATGTAGTTACATGTTACATACTCATTCATCTATCTTCTCTGCTTCTAACAACACAGTCACTGACCTAGGATTACCTCATGTGACCTTACATGTCCTCACATAACCTACTGGGACCTCATAACATATTATAGCAATATCACAATATTTTTAGCAGAGTAATCAAATTGTGTGTGCAAAATTACCATATAAAACAGTCTATTTTGAGCTTTGTGCATGCTTTCCAGAAGGCAACCATAGAGGTAGGTCATGGCCTGAGCCAAGGTCATGTGCTCTGTGGTCATGTGATGATCATGCAAGTGAATTGTACCCTTTTCATCACATAAAAACACCAAAACAGTCTTCCAAGTGATCAAATGATCTTCATGATGGCTATGGCAGTTCAAAACTCCATGTAAATGTGGAACACTCCCATTTAGCAATGTCTAAACTACAATGCGAAAAGTCAGGTTGAATTATTTAAGCTTACGGCATGATGGCTTCACTGACGGTGCTCAAAACAATGGGCAGTGTTGCAATTTAAATTAGTCAGCATATAACTACATCAGTGGATTCCATTTAAACACAGCTCTGTATTAGCTCAAAGTGACAAATGATCAGTAACATGATCTTACTTCTATCATCAGGTCAGGCAGTCTGTAAAACATGGCAAGTTTCACTGAAATTCTCTTTGGACACAGTCAGAGCAAGACAAGTACTTGAGGCTTATTTTGGAAACTTTTTGACAGGAATTCCTCAATATAATACACTCACATTATTTGCAGGCACTTCATGGCACCATGAGGTGCATATTGCACTAGGGTCAAGATCAATTCAATGTACCGCGCCTGTATTCAAAATGGGAAAGGCTACCTTTATGCTGCCACCATACACAGTTCGGCCACTGCTGTGGCTGTTTACTCAACCCTGTGTGTCCATCTACAAAATCAGATTAAGCACTCAAACAAACAGTGCACACATATAAAACATTTTGCTGGCACCTTCTGGCTCTATAACAGGCAAACCAGCCACAAAAACTCTATGCCAGATATACCAGTGAGCATGGGGGCTATGTTCAAAAAGCAAAATTTTCATCATTTAAGTTAAAAAACATTCAATGCATTTCAAAATGCTGGAAACCTGAACATATAGCATGCAATACAAGATAAAAGATACTGAATTTGGCATGATCCTAACCCTAACATCAGATTGTGACCCTAAAGCATCGAAAAGCAGAGCAGCATGAGTAATAATAAGTTAGATTTCATGGAAATGGGATTGTCAGGAAACGGGAAGATCATGCAGATCCAATCACAGGTGAAATCATCAGCCCCTGCCACGAACAGAAAAATTTACTACACCATTTGGGGCGGGATCGGAGCTGCTCCAAGCATCTCAACTGGGCTGTCACGTTTTGCAGACTGGCCAATCCTGAGTTGTCAACTCCCTCCTATCTTAAAGACACGGTCACACCCATGTCCTCACCTAACTCGGTCGCAGTCACCAACCACAACCTAACCGACTGAATCTGAATCGGAACCAACTGAACCAACTGAACCCTGCTCGAATATTTCCACCGCCTTGAGATGAGCACAGACGGCTAATCAGCGCGCAGCCCGAAACAAGCCGCGGCGCTCGCGGGTCTTTTTTTAGTGGCATCAACTTACGGCATTCGCCAAGAGAGGAAAGCAGAGCTCCCTAATTAATCCCGCACACAAACCCACGGGTGTCGATTTGTAATTCTTTCGTGAGGGCCCTGCTCCCCCCTCCCAATGTTGAGTCGCCCCCCCCCCCCCAATGTTGGCTTGGCCCCATCAACGTTTCTGATTGGATTACTACAACAATGTGGGCAAAGGATGATCATAACTTAAAGGATATTTTCTTTGATCTTTCTACGTAGTCGGGTTTCGCACCACTGCCACAACAAAAAAGTCATAGTTGCCCTCACTACCAGATACAAATCGTAATAGCTGAGGAAATAAACGATGCAATAGACTTCACATACCTAGCGCCGTAAGACACGCAATGGTTTGTGAGGTTAAAGTAAAAAGTAATGGAATATGGGAATGATATAAATCCTTCATTGATCATGATGAATCCTTCAGGACCTGCCCCGGTCCTTCAAAACCAAAATGCGTGCCGCCGCCCATGACCGCCATAGAAAAGCGCTATCGGCGCCATAAGGCAGTCTGAAGTGGCGCCTTCATGTGCCGATCAGAACAGACGTATGCGCCCAGTGCCTGCTCCCTGGATCCAATCCTACGTGATTTCTATACTCTTTAAAATAAAGGTTTTTAATAATTGTTCAAAGATTAAAAGCTAAGTTTAATCAAATGAACTGGGCTTAATCAAGTGAGAAAATCGGGGGGAGGGAGTGGGGGGGGGGGGGGGGGGGAGGCTGACGTTGTGGGGCCTTGGGTGCGGCTTGCCCCCGATAATTTACAAGAATTGACACCCCTGCAAAAACTGGCTGATTCGAAATAATTGTATTGCATTGTCCGCATCGAAATCTCCAGAGTTCATAAAGTCTAGTGGTCAACAAGTCCAGAATCACAGCATCCAGTGTTCATAAGATCCAGAAAATGTCCAAAACCCCAAGACAGAGGAGAATCATAAAGTCTGGTGTTCATAAAGTCGTGTTCATAATGTCCAGCGTCCGTGAGATCCACGGTTTGGGATGCTGTTCCACTTCCTCGCAACGCTTGACATGATGGTTCGGATATTGCCCGATAGACTGGCTACTGGAGCCGATTTCGCCCGCTTCGGCCGACGAGTGACGTCATGCGGTACAGTGCTGTCCAGTTAAACCACTGTGCATGGATATGGACAACGTTTGGTCTGAGCGCACAAATTTTGCCGCGTCAGCACGTCCTCGGCAGCAGGCGCCTTAAATAATTCAAAACTTTGATCCCTGGCTCGTGGCATCGAAAATATCTGGTTATTCGGCAGTACCTGCACGGTAATCGTGGAAAGCACTTATCGGGTTGCCTGCTGTTTGGTATTGTGGGCTATGGATAAAATTATCCGCGGTATTTGTTTCTGTTATTTACTGTATGCGTTGGTAATGTTTCTCATTTTTTGAAGGAATTGATGAATAATGTGTAAGGCTGACTGATTCGATGTCTGCTTCAGGTAGGCGCGCATATAGATCTCCAGCTCCTCGCACGCTGACCTATGCTGTTCGTGATTTTATTTGACTGATTCCCCTCCCTCCTCCAGTTGCAAATTCTTTCACACGCTCCTGCAAACGGGACTTATTCTGAATTAAACATGCCTTTACTCTCAAAGAGAGGGGCTGGGGGCTAACTCATCAGTTGAATCCAGCTACTACTTCCCTGGTGAGACATGTTCAATGGCCCATCCTACTCTTTTCTTCGATTAAGAACGTTTTAAACAGGCGTGGTTTACCAAAATAAGTTGGTTGGCTGAGCTATGAACATACAACGAAGGGTACCTTGATAATACGCCAACGAATTAGTTTTTCTCCTAATTTGGCTCGCTTTCTCACAAATCTGCAGGCTGCGATTCAGGTTACAGCGAGGGGTGAAATCCCTGCAACTGAATAGGGAACCGCACTCCTAGTTGCAAGGTAAATAGGAAGTAAAAAGCAAACGTTGGCCGCGAATGTATTCAACTGCCTGCCAAACGTCACGCAAAACTGAGGAGACTGAGGGGTCCAAGAACCCCCTGGGAGGAGCTCTTTCCGGAACCATGAAGTCCAAAATATGACCATACTGAATGAGAAAAGCAAAAATGTTGTCAAATAAAAATTCTGACAATGCCGTAGCAACGTCTAGCAGTCCAAGAAGCCCTCGCTGGTAAACTCGTGGACCCCCTCTGGCC